GAGGAAGGGACGCTGGATGAAGATTGGATCTGTTTATACCTCTTTTTTCTACCATTAGAACTGTTTTATAAAATTGATGAATGATAGAAAAATGTTGGAATGAAATTACTTGGCTTTAGCAAAGATGTTTAAAGAATTATGAAAGAATATTATGATTATGAGAAGTTGGTAAGGATAAGATTTAAGTTTTAAGTTTTAAGGTTTATTTTATTATAGAAAGATAAGGTCAAGGATTTGCTGGGATAATTAATAACTAGGATACAAAGAAAGGGAGGAGGAGGAGGTCTAAGAAAGAAGGTAATGACAGTTAAGGATTTGAAAATAATGAATTTGTTTTTAAATGTTTTTAAAGTTTTGTGATTTTTGCATTCTTCTTTTTTTCTTCTTTCTGTCATTTTTTCTCATTTGGATTTTTTTCGTATATGGTGGGAAGGGGTTGGCTTTTTTGTTTTTTTTTCTATTATGTCAATTATTTTTACCCTTTGTACTCTTTTCTGCTTCTATTTTATTTTTTCTCTTTTTTGTAACATTTTGAAAATCTCAATAAATATCTTTTTTTAAAAAAGAAGAGGTGGCAAGAATACACAGAGGAAATATACCAGAAAGACATGGATGTCTCGTATACCCCAGGTAGTGTGGTTGCTGACCTTGAGCCAGACATCCTGGAGAGTGAAGTCAAATGGGCCTTAGAAAGCACTGCTAATAACAAGGCCAGTGGAAGTGATGATATTCCAGCTGAACTATTTAAAATTTTAAAAGATGATGCTGTTAAGGTGCTACACTCAATATGCCAGCAAATTTGGAAAACTCAGCAGTGGCCAGAGGATTGGAGAAGATTAGTCTACATTCCAATCCCAAAGAATGGAAGTGCCAAAGAATGCTCCAACTACCGCACAATTGCACTCATTTCACACGCTAGCAAGGTTATGCTTAAAATTCTACAAGGCAGGCTTAAGCAGTATGTGGACCGAGAACTCCCAGAAGTGCAAGCTGGATTTCGAAGGGGCAGAGGAACCAGAGACTAAATTGCAAACATGCGCTGGATTATGGAGAAAGCTAGAGAGTACCAGAAAGACATCTACTTCTATGCAAAAGCCTTTGACTGTGTCGACCACAGCAAACTATGGCAAGTTCTTAAAGAAATGGGAGTGCCTGATCACCTCATCTGTCTCCTGCGAAATCTCTATGTGGGACAAGAAGCTACAGTTAGAACTGGATATGGAACAACTGATTGGTTCAAAATTGGGAAAGGAGTACGGCAAGGCTGTATATTGTCTCCCTGCTTATTTAGCTTATATGCAGAATTTATCATGCGAAAGGCTGGGCTGGATGAATCCGTAGCCGGAATTAAGATCGCCAGAAGAAATATCAACAACCTCAGATATGCAGATGACACAACCTTGATGGCAGAAAGTGAGGAGGAATTAAAGAACCTTTTAATGAGGGTGAAAGAGGAGAGCGCAAAATATGGTCTGAAGCTCAACATCAAAAAAGCGAAGATCATGGCCACTGGGCCCATCACCTCCTGGCAAATAGAAGGGGAAGAAATGGAGGCAGTGAGAGATTTTACTTTCTTGGGCTCCATGATCACTGCAGATGGTGACAGCAGCCACGAAACTAAAAGATGCCTGCTCCTTGGGAGAAAGGCGATGGCAAACCTAGACAGAATCTTAAAAAGCAGAGACATCACCTTACCAACAAAGGTCCGTATAGTTAAAGCCATGGTTTTCCCAGTAGTGATGTATGGAAGTGAGAGCTGGACCATAAAGAAGGCGGATCGCCGAAGAATTGATGCTTTTGAATTATGGTGCTGGAGGAGACTCTTGAGAGTCCCATGGACTGCAAGAAGATCAAACGTATCCATTCTGAAGGAAATGAGCCCTGAGTGCTCACTGGAAGGACAGATCGTGAAGCTGAGACTCCAATACTTTGGCCACCTCATGAGAAGAGAAGACTTCCTGGAAAAGACCCTGATGTTGGGAAAGGTTGAGGGCACAAAAGAAGGGGACGACAGAGGACGAGATGGTTGGACAGTGTTCTTGAAGCTACCAACATGAGTTTGACCAAACTTTGGGAGGCAGTGGAAGACAGGAGTGCCTGGCGTGCTCTGGTCCATGGGGTCACGAAGAGTCGGACACGACTAAACGACTAAACAACAACAACAACAACAATACATCAAACATTAAAAGCTTCCCTAAACAGGGCTGCCTTCAGATGTCTTCTAAAAGTCTGGTAGTTGTTGTTCTCTTTGACATCTGGAGGGAGGGCAATCCACAGGGAGGGTGGGCATTCCACAGGGAGGGCGCCACTACCGAGAAGGCCCTCTGCCTGGTTCCCTGTAACTTGGCTTCTCACAGTGAGGGAACCGCCAGAAGGCCCTTGGATCTGGACCTCAGTTTCTGGGTAGAACGATGGGGGTGGAGACGGTCCTTCAGATATACTGAACCGAGGCCGTTCAGTTCTTTACTGATTGGCTCACCTTAGTTTTCTGCCTATGTCCTGCTATCTTAAGTAACAGGCCCACTTGAGGTGTAATGAGAATCCAAGGTGTCCTTTTATGAAAGTGAGCTGCAAGAAGCCTTGAGCTTGTGCAGTGTCCCACTCCTCTCCCTCTCTTTCAAACCGAGAGCTTTCATTTTCACTTTAAAACAAACCACGGTTCCACACAACATCTGAACTGTGGATTTTTTTAAAGGATAGTTTATATACTGTTTATGATGAACCTGGCCTTTCTTCATTAACTATAGTTTAAACAAACCACAGCCTTGACAACACACGCCCAGGAAACTCTACGGAGACTCATCAATCATTTTGCCCAAGCCTGTGGGGAGTTTGGCCTTACCACCAGCCTAATCAAGGCCAACACCTTGGCTCAGGACGTCACCAGCACTCTGTGCATCAGCACTGGTGACCACACACTTGAGGTGGTAGGCAAGATATCCAGGGAAGGAGAACTTGCCACCCCTCTTGGTAACTGGTTCCATTGTTAAATTGCTCTCCTAGTGTTCAATCAAAATCTACCAATTTACCATTTAAGCCATTTTGAGTTAGTTCTGCCCTGTGGCAACTTGATCCCTGGGAGAGGATGTTAATGCTGATGCCAGACTGTGGTGCAGCTTGAAATCTCTGGAAGCTCTTAAGAGAGGCCCCAGTTAGAATCATGCATTATTTGTCTGCACAGCATTCTGATCTCACAGCATGGCCTCCAGAGACCATCATTACAGTTTTTTGGCTCACTGCCTGCCTACATTAAATATCAGTCATGTGTGACCTACCAACCGTGTTTTCATCAATTGCCATAGGAGGTCACAGGATGCTGTCAATAATCGCCAGAGATTTCCTTGTTTTAAGATTAGGGATCCCTGCATTATGCTCCTCTGTATCATCCTTTGAAAAAAAAAAATCCCTCTTTGCTTGGGAGAGATTACTTCCAGTGTGAGAAACTACTCTACACCCAGTTCCAATATCAGTGCTATCCAGTAGTTCTGATGGGTAGTTATTTCCACATTAGGATGCTGCCTAGAAACAAGTGTGTAAGTAGCACTCCTTAGAACATAGTTCTGAAAATACTTATTGGGAAGTAAGTTCTAGTGAATGTGCTGAGACTTAGGCCTAATTATCTGTGACACAGTAAACCTGTGATTGAACCACACTATTCCAAACTGCAGGGGGAGCTCACGCGATTACATTATTCACCCATCCCCAAAAGTCCTAGGCATGTAGAAAACTAAATTAGAACCCTTCTCCCTAACATGCCAGTTTACAATGTGCATATTTATTTTTTCAGAACTGAAAATATTCAATCAGAAGTGGGCTCTGCAACAAAATGTTGCAGTATGGGGTGCTTCTGTTCAGCATTCCAGCTAGTCAGCCAGCCACACCATCTCACATCCTCTTCCCATGACACTCATTTTCTGCTTTTCGTTGTGACCACAGGGGCAGTTCTCATTCAGCTGTTGCTACCTCCCCTTCAGATTCCCCACTTTAGGTGGGTTTGCTTTTGGGTTCTGGCACTTCTGCAAAAAACAAAAACAAAAAAACCCTTCTTGCATGTTACTGGTGCTATTTGACTGTATAAAGTTCCACACACTAGGATGGTTATGTGTCCTATTTTACAAAGGGCAGCCTGGTATTTCAAGAGGTTTCAGAGGGCAAGTCCTCTGTTTGCAAGGGCTGTGTGGTCCGTCTAGTTTAAAGATAAAGAACCATAAGGAAGAACAGAGACCTTGGATTTGACATTATTTATTTCATTGTTAGCACCTGGTGTGCTCTGGTCCATGGGGTCACGAAGAGTCGGACACGACTAAATGACTAAACAACAACAAAGCACCTGGACAGCAGACTTAGCATGCGCATGTGTCAGTTGGACACAGTCTTCCCCTCTATAGCATTATGCTTTTATTTAAATTGTAGTGATTATTTCTAAATCTGCATATATAAATATAAATTAGCATATGTGAATTTTATGCAAATCTTTGTCCTCATTTTGGGCGGGATATTCTGCATGTGACCAAGGTAGTATCTGCTGATCAGGGAAGACAAAGAGGAATGAGGATCTAGAGAATGTGCAGCAGAGAATATAGTTGTATAGCCTGAACAATGGGGAAACCTTTGTTCAAACCAGAGACAAACTGCAAAGAAAAATTCCGTGGGGAGCAGCTGTGCTGTCAAGTCAGGAAATCCTGCAACCAGATCTCCCCCCTGGGTTTCCCAGCCAGTCATTCTAAATTTTATTCCTGCTGTGTTCTGGCTTAAGCTCTGAAGTGGTCCTGTTCTCTGCAAGATTAGCCTTGGGAAGGGGGCTGATTACCTTTCAGCACCAAGCCCTTCTTGTCTCTTTCAATCACAGGATGTAAGATCCCAGCCTGGAAAAGCTCAGGAACAAGCGAGGCCTCTTGAGTGACATCACTAGTCAGCCCACTGCAATCCCACCCAATTGCGAAAGCTTTTGTGCCTACCAACCCTCACGCCAGGAAATCCAGCAAGAAATTCCACAGGGAAGCGGAAACCTCTCAGTTCGGCTAAGCCGTTTCCTCTCCCTGCCCACCCCACCCTCAGTGCCAGCAGCCATTTGTGCGGAAGATCCTGGTGGACACAAGGGCAGGCTCTACCACATTGCACGAAATTAAAAGGAGCATGACGAGCATTTCCTGCTTGCCCAACCCATTGGAACAAGGAGAACCAGATTTTATAAACCTTTCTACCTCGGAACCATGCTGCAGGTGATAAAACTATGAATTAACATGTCAGCAGTTTATTTTACAAGCTGTAATTTATCAACCTACATCCAATCTCCCCCCCCCCCAAAAATTATTTTCAATATTACTTTTTTCCCATTGTTTTCATTATTTAATCTTTTAATTTGTTTCATTCTTCAGTTCACATGTTTTGTAGCAACTATTGGTATAAAGCTGCTTTTGATGTTCCAAGTGTGACCATGGCGCTCTCTAGCGCAGTATTGCCAACACTGGCTGGCAGCTGCTCTTTGTTGTTTCAGACAGGTCTTTTCCACAGCCCTAGCTCAATATGCCAGAGACTGAACCTGGTATGTGCCCCACCATTTATAGCCCTTCATTATATTTGTTTCTGTTTATCTTGGAGGAAACACATCCAAAAACCACGAGAACGCCCTGAGTGGAAGGGTGTCCTATCTGCCCACCTTGGCACCCGTGGGAAACTCACAAAACCAGCTGAGCCTGGAACTGGGCGCATGCAGTGCAGCTAGGTGAGTGCTGAGTGGGAGGCAGCTCTGGGCAGCTCCACAGGCATAGTCAGGATTTTTTTGGGGGGGGGAGGGGCAGAATCTCAATTTGCTATGCATTTTTATTTATTTTTATTGATTGGGGGGCAGCTGCCACTCCCTGCCTCCACTTGGCTACACCCATGCATTGACCTTGGTGGCTGCCCATCAAAGCAAGCCTAAAGCGAGAGACTAGGCTGATGTCAGCATGTTCCAGGAATCTTCTTTGCTTGTGAGTGTTTGAGGGTTATCTGTGAGCTGGGTGAGATCAAGATGGGTGGCATTTTGGTGAGCACTAGGAGCTTCAGAGGGGCAGAGTGAGGAGCTGCATTGGAAGAATAGTGTTATCCTTATAGGTTTTATTGTGAATTTTGTAACTTTTGTTGTTTTTCCATTTTCTGCACACTAAGAAATATTTTTATATATTAAAGGAGATAGAAATGAAATACATATCATACACGGAGAGAGTTAGCAACAGTAATTTTATTTTCCCAGAATGTTCCATTCTAGAACAGGTATGGGGAACCTTTAGCCCTCCAGATGTTGCTAAACTATACCTACCATCACCCCTGCCATTGGCCATGCTTGCTAAGGCTGATGGGAATTGTAGTTCAGGAAATATCCGCCCCCCCAAAAAAAAGTTCCCCTCACATCTGATCTAGGGGAAATACTGGTAGCTTCCATTGGTGGTCACTGTAGCATTTTGTGTTTTCTTTGAAATAAGAGGCTGACAAAAATCGGTTGTTGCAAGCGGAGAAAAAGGTAGATCCTTCCCACGTCTGATAAATTGTCACAAAACGCATACAGAAAATGAACTGTAGCTCATGCATTTACTTTCTCAAAAAAAGCAAGTCACGTTTGGTTCAGCAAAACAAGTGGCCATGACTACTTCCTTTCACAGAATTGGGTTCTATGGGCTGCAGCATCTTGAAAAGAATTAAGGAGCCCCAGCATCAATCTGCAAGAAAAAGAGCTGCCTCTACAAAGCCTGGAAATACTATCTCCTAAAAGGAAGGATATGCTTTTTCACAATTCCAGTCGTAATCTAGTTTTGTAGTATTAAAAGTGTCACCTAACATCTCACGTCACTCACTCTGATGTCAATAAGGAAGTTAGATAGTCCAAGAGGAAATTACTCAGCATCCTTTACATGTCCCATGGCTGACTAATCAAGAACTAATAGGATGCTAGGAACACTTTTCATGGGATCTTCCTGGTTAGTGTATTTTTAGCTCTAATCTTGCAGGACATAGAACTGTGTGCCAGGATCTTGTAAATGGAAGCAGATAAACCTGCAAATCAGCATATAAGCAATTACAGGGCTGTGTACGACACCAGCAGTACAGTAGCTCCTTCTACACTTGTGGAAAGGGTTTGTGCTGACTGCTTTGTGAGACACCTCGAGCAGTTTACTGGTATACGTTGGAAGCTGCTGCTGAGCTATTAATACTGAGGATGAGGAAGAAGTGCCTTCTCCAGTTGCGTTGGAGTCAAGGAAACATCTTAGGCAACTGCCAACATTATATCTCCAACCATGTGAAGGAACATGGTTTTAGGTATCTCATGTTAAGGATTGCAGGTGATGGGAAATGTTTCTGCTCAAGCATTGCTCATACAAAGATAATGCCAGAAACTCCAGTGCTCAGTTTCGTATGTTCATGTTGAACTGAGCAATCTTTCCTCCATACCAAGCATATTTCTTGGTGAGGTCTCCATGTATCATGTAAAGCCAGACCAGAATAAATTATTCCTCTCCTGAACAGTGATTTTAACCATTGATAACTGTAAAAAGGTAAAGGTAAAGGACCCCTGACAGTTAAGTCCAGTCACAGATGACTTTGGGGTTGCGGCGCTCATCTTGCTTAACTGGCCGAGGGAGCCATAGGACTCCTTAAATCTGCTCCAGGTGGTTCTATTCTGGAGCAGATTTGGTGGTAAAAGCACTGGGGGTGGGGGGTGGAGCAAGTTACTTCACTATTGTAAAAGTCATTTTACATGTGCAACGAATTAGGTGGTTACAACCCTTTTTTTTTATGTGCTTGCAGATTTCAAGAGAAACACCAAAGCTCCCCATTCTGCTATGATAAAAAATGAGCAGGAAAGTATGTTCCCACAACCTTTGACCTCAACAGTCAGTGCCAAAATGGGGGTGGGTGAGGAGGACACTTTGTGCTACCATCAAAGTTATAGAAATGAAATTATTTGCACATGTGTGCATTCAGATATGCTAAAATGCATATTACAGAGAAGTCTGAAGAGTCCTGGACTAACAATCTGTTCAACAACTTTGTCTTGATCACAACGTCTGCGTCCTGATTTCATGCCAACGACATTGTCAAGCTGTGAAGGAACAATTCAATTCAGACTCACTTCCAGAATGAAGTAAAGAAACTTGCTGCACCCCAGCTCCTGTCCACCTAGCAGTTTGAAAGCACATCAAAGTGCAAGTAGATAAATAGGTACTGCTCCAGCGGGAAGGCAAACGGCGCTTCCGTGCGCTGCTCTGGTTTGCCAGAAGTGGCTTAGTCATGGTGGCCACATGACCCGGAAGCTGTCTGTGGACAAACGCCAGCTCCCTTGACCTATAGAGCGAGATGAGAGCCGCAACCCGAGTGTCGTCCGCGACTGGACCTAATGGTCAGGTGTACCTTTACCTTTATTCTGCCATACCTTAGCAACACCACTAATTCCGTCTCAGAGTGATCAGTCCAGTTTCCATACTTCTCCTAGATGAAATTTTAGCAAATTATTGCAATGATGAAAATAATCTTAAATCTGAAAAATGTCACTTTCAAGTCAATGTATGAGGAAATAATCACAGGGGAAAATAATTTTAAACATTACCAGTATTTTTGTGTGTGTGTGCAAACCATTTCACTTTGCTTTTATCAGCATAATTAAAGGATTTTGTGAACATTTTGGATTGAAATTGATAGGCATGCAAGCTCTAAGCACTGAGCAAAACTTTGAATGAGGATGCAAAGTCACTTCAACCACATGTGAAAGTTGGTTTTGAGAAGTTCTGGGAGCTCTTTGTCAGGTGAATATAAAATGAAGCAATAAGAGAGTATTTGTTCTGAAACAAGCAGTTCATGGTAAAATGCCTCAAGTCAGAGTACGCACTGGGGCAGTTTCACACAATACGGACAAGCAAACCAAACATGTATGCTCTAAGTGATGGAGCCAATTCCAGCTCATCACCTAGCATAGTTACATAATACATGTTTACCGTCATGTTCTTGTCACATTAATCCTTTACATGTTTAGATGTACCTAAAGTGGATGCACACCTAAAAATATATAGTATAACTTGGTCCCAAGAATGCGTCCAACATGCACAATGATCAGTTACCCAAAAATTCTTACGGGGGGTGGAAATAATTGGTAAAAAGCAACCAGCAGAAACTCAGTTTTGTGACAGCTTTAATGGCACAAAATGCTTATCGCTACAACTTATACATGTACTGTAAACTGTATAATAATGTTACAAAGTGCTAACTAAATATGAAGAATGCATTACTTTGGCTCAGTTAACTCCAATTATTTCAGTGATGTGTCTTTTTTTAAAAGTTATTTCCAAAGTTTAAGTCTTCACTTTAAAAAAGGAACAGTAAGTAGGTGTATTGTTTTCTTAGTGTTGCAGTTCAGCCCTCTGCATTTTCTTTAATGTGCGAGTTTATGCATTTCTGCTTGATCCTATGTACAAATATTTCAAGCCCGGTTTTTTCACTGATCATTAGAATAACAAGGCCTGCAGTTCCCCCAACTGTAAACAAGTATAAAGCTATTTAACAATATTTAAATTAGCAAAGCTTTATAGTTACTACCACTTTTCAAATTAATAATAATCTGGTCCATTCCATAGAACAACAAAAAGTCATGGTCTTTCAGGCTTGTAGTTGCATATCAATAAATACTGCTTTGTATCATTACATGACAACAGCCCAATAGTGATCAGATATTAAAACGCCAATGGTATTTCTCCACCAGCAATTTCAATCTCATAGCTGCTTGAGTAATAGTACAGAAGTCCCAAAATATAGATATGATAATTTATCACACAGCGTTCTGCAGATTAATTATCATGTAATCTGGAAAGGAGCGAAGCTTTATTTTGTTTTAAAACAAACATGGTCCCAATTTAATATACATTATGCCATGTTGCAATTGTGTTACAAAACAGGGTACAATAATCAAAGCTGAAAGTACTGTCAGACTTTTAACCCTAGCTAGGTTTGTCAGTTTGATGTTATTGTTTTAAACTCCTTACTATGTTTCATCACTTCAAAAATATCCCCATATCCACACAGGAAATAAATACACAGTTGCAAGTAATACAAGTGCTATCATTCAAAGCCTAAGGGGGCAAAGGGAAACCCAGATGTTACCACAGAATAGTAAAAAATAAAAATAAAATAAGCATGTTGTGTTACAGAAACAAAGACTGAAACAAATATACTTTAGAAATGGATTTCATGCTTATTCACTCTGCTTCATGACTATTTTCGCTGGCATCGGCCACCATGCTTACACTGCCTACTTGGAGATCTGATGCAAAGAGAAAAACAGAGTACCTGTTTCCAAAGGTTTACCAACTTATATTTTGGGCGTTTTTGCTGCCAATCTAATACATTCTATTTCAATGGAATTTCACTAGTTTTAAAATTAGTAATGGTTCCCTAAATATGCAGTATTGAAGTTCATCATTCATATCATATTCTATAGATACAAAACAAAGCATTCTATCCTTCAGAATCATGCTACATGTTCCAAAATCCAATACAAATCTACTGAGGGGCATTTGTCTGCCCACATGTGTTGAAACCATTTGGAACTAAGCTTCACATTTTGGAAAAAAAAGTGTATCTGAAGGAGGAAAAGGCTGAGTGTTCCCATGAGCAAGATTCCCATCTAGCTATACAAGATATCACTAAGGACCTTAGGATTTCAGGTATTGCCAAGGGACATTCAACAATAAACCATGGAAAATGGGAGTAATGAAACTCAACCACAGAAGACAGCTCAGAGCTTCATAAATTGTGTTTTACACAACTGCAAGACTATTTCCAGGAAGTATGCCTCAAGTAGCTACTGAAACAATCATCTATTTGTAAATTTGCAAGTGGTTCCAAAACAAGTAAAATCTCCTTTTACATGGAGTCTAGATACTTCAAAAATACTTCAAGTTAAACTACTTTTAAAAGGAAACCTTTTGTTAAGTAAAATGCTAAGGAATACTAAAAGCTTCTTCACATGCAAATAATGCAGTTCTTTCTAAAAACAATTTCTAGATGCTGGACAGGTTTCTTCCTACCAGAAATTAATTCACTACTTCATAGAAAAGACAAGTATTACTCAGTATTAAAAGTTGCTGATTAATCAATTTTTATCCTGCTTTGATTTTTGTGAGCTTTTGCCTCCCAAAAGCTAAAAACATTAGGCAAGAGAATTGTAAAATAAGATACACTTTAGAACAAAACTGCCAATGATTTTGTTTGTTTTTACAACCAACTTCAGTTAATTATGAGTCTTTTACAGACTGGAGGTTCTTATACCCAACAATTTAATCATGCATGCACTGTGCAGATTATTTCTTGTTGTAGTAGAGGAGGCAACACCATCACTGATAAAATTATAATTTGCTGGTGGCATTTTGCACTGAAAGAAGCCCTTGCAACGTATAGGCAATTGTAAACTCTGTTAGGCAACTCTGATGTGTCTTGCAGGATGTGGAGGAAGGCTAGGGAAAGGGAAGAGACTATTGAGACACCTCCACAGAGTTCCAATACAATACTGAATTTCAAGAGTTACTGGAACCTGGATATGCAAAAACAAGGTGGAGGCTGGGAGGGGTCATGCTTAAAGTTGTCTCAAGTTCAAGATGTACAAATGTGACAATAACACCTTCACAGATTACAAGGATTTCCAGGGTTTGTGCACCACTTCTTTCAATAAGTGCTAGCTGAAGGTGTGGTCAGTCGTTTTCCAATGTAGATACTGAAAGGAAGCACAAAGCAAAGTATGTTGCCTTAGAAATTCTCATTACGCTTAAGGTTTTGCTCAGCTAAAGTAATAAGACTAACATCCACCAATCATACAAATATGTTAATGTTGTTTAATACTAATTCACACAACTCATCAGACTGGAATGAACACATCTTGTAAAGAAAGCATATTGTTATCATCTATAGTTGATTCTTCCCAGGATTAAAGTTATTTATTTATTTATTTCATAAAATTTGTGCACCACTTGAATGTAAAAAAAACACCCTCAAAGCACTTTTCAAAAAGATAGTAGCTACTCACACAACAGAATGTTATGTGAAATATCTGAGGGTTCCCCCTGCTTTCCAGTCACCGAGTTTACTTCTATAACATTCTTCTCTTCTGATCTGGCTGATGAAATGAACACCTTGTATTGCTTCACAGGGTTCTCCTTGGTATGAAAAATTATTTTTATTCTTTCTCCAAATACAATGGAATCTCCACTGGGTTACCCTCAAAACTGCTGAAAGTAATTAAAGTGTACAACTCTCCAAGAGTTTATTCACTCAGTTTGCATCAGCATTGGAATTGTTCTGAGACGTTTTGTTTTATTGTTTGTGTGTTTGTCACCCTGGGCTCCTTTGGGAGGAAGGGTAGGATATAAATTTAAATAGTTGTAGTAAATTATATGCATCACTTCCCTTAAAACATCCCAAAGCAATTGTTGAGTAAATTCCCCCATATAAATATACTTTCTAATCCAATGCGGATAAAACCTAAATATAGGTGCTAGTACTTACCCTAGTCCCAAAGCCAAAACATGAGATATGAACAGAGATGGAATGAAAACCTTAAGAAACTCAGCTGAGAAAATGCCACCTTTCTTCATGGCTCCACTCTTCCTCATGCTTAACGAAACAGCTCGTTTAGGATGTCTGAAGTGAAATTCCCTTCAAAAAAGAAGAAATGGATTGCATCTCATAGAATGCACTGAACTGGACACATTTGAAAAAGCACAACAGAGAGCAATCTCAAAATCTAAGAGTTGGGAAGCTTCAGGGAAAGACATCTCACTCCGATTCAGAAGACATGGGAGCAGTAGCTGAAGAGATGGGGAGGCCCGAAATAACATTCCTTTTTCAGGTAGAGAGATATTGTTATCTATCTCCTACTTTTAATATATGCACTAGGGATACCGCATTTAAAATCCCCACGCAGCTTACCATTCATGAGACACAAATCAGTATTATTTTACCATTACAGATAAGATGATGATTATTATTATTACCCCACCCATCTGGCTGGGTTTCCCCAACCACGCTGGATGCCTTCCAGTACATATAAAAACATAGTAAAAGTCACATATTAAAAACTAAACTACCCAAACAGGGCTGCCTTCATATGTCTTCTAAAAGTTGTGTGGTTCTTCTCCCTCCTTGACATCTGATGGGAGGGCGTTCCACAGGAAGGGCACCACTCCCTCGACCATTCCTCATCAGGCTTGGTTTCCAGACCCTTGAGCCTCTTGGTCACCCTCCTCTGCACACATTCCAGCTTGTCAATATCCTTCTTAAACTGTGTTGCCCAGAACTGGAAACAGTACTCTAGGTGTGGTCTACTAAGGCCCCTAGATCCTTTTCATATTTATGTCTGCATCCTATGAAGAGTGCTGCAGCACAAGTAGACTAGGGTGGTGGGGAGCAAGCAGGACTGTTTTCCATATTTCCCAGAAAAAAATACAAGGTACAGAATTTAACTATTTTTGCTAAAAGCCTTGAGAGCACTTCTTACAGTAATCCCTTAAAAACTGCACCACCACAAAGCTTTATATTCTGATACAACAATATTTCCTTCTAAGCAAAGGGCCATTGATTAGTAAAGATTTCAACTCACTTGGGAGGAATATTTTCAGGTCTACTTGACCAGTCCGATACCCAATCAACACTTTTCTTCAAAATGTCCACCTCCTTCTCCCCTTCTAATGTTTCCTCTTCAGACTGAAAATAAACAGGGAGCAACTTCACAAATTTAAGTAAGGTAAAATTAAGTGTAATTCCATGATGTTTCAAGGATTTATTTTCTCTTTGGTTTTATCTTAAATAGAAAATATATTTGCTTATGTTTATGTCAATAGGCATTTTGTGTTATTTGCAACTTAATAACTCAACTGCTCCTTGCGGTAGTTACTGCCCAGAACTGATAGGGAGATGTGCAAAAGATTAGTAGTTCTGACCCTCTTATCCAACCCATGTACTTAAGTGAGAACAACTAAAACTGATTTAATTTGCATCAGTTCTTATCACTTATTTAGAGGGTATCCTCTCTAGCAGCACGTAAGTTGGGGAACTCCTTTCTCACAGACCTGTATCTGGCACCTTCATTGTTTAGCTTCCATCATATGCGCTCTCTCTCTCTCTCTGTGTGTGTGTGTGTACACACAAACACTACTGCCTTTGATAGCATATATATATATATATAGAGAGAGAGAGACAGAGAGGGACTCACCAATTCTTCCAATTATAAACTGTTTAAACTGATTTTTATATTGTTGTTACCAACCCTGGAAACTTTTGGTGAAAGGTGTGTAAGTAAAATAACAACAATATCAAAAACAAAGCTTTCTCACAATGCTCAAGGCCAGCATTTATCTAAAGATGTTTATAAAAGGAAGTGTTTAAGGAAGAATAACTATGATATACTGTAATATTTATAATAGGCTTGAAGACTGAGCACTGTCTGAAATTAAAGGCAACCTTACTATTGATAAATACCCTGAAATCCTAGCTATCACTTCAATGCAATTTAATGACTAGGTCTCCCTGAGAGTATAATTACATACATAAAAGCCTTTTGGCAACTTGCCACAACAAACTCTCCAACACTTGAAACTCTCAGGTGAGATCAAAATTCGTTTTCTAAAATCCTAATTGCAATCAAGGTTTCAAAATAAACATTTTTATTTACAGCAGGTGTGGGGAACGGGATTCAACTGGAGGTCACATTCTGCCCCCGTCCCCTTGCAAGCCCTTTTGACCAAGAGAGGGAGTCTCAACCTGCCACTTGCCAGATGTTAAGTGAAGTACTTTCCTTTGTCGGAGCCCACACCTGACATCATAAACGATGCCAGGTGTAAAGCTAGTGAATGTGGATTGGAGAAAACATCCTAATGGGCCAAATTAGAACTCTTTCCAGGCCTAATTAAGTCCATGGGCCAAAGGTTCCATGCCACTGTTTTACTCAATGCTTTAAATTATATGATGCAGTATATCTCAGGTGCTGAGCCATTGACAAGGTCAAGGCCACTGACAGGACAAAAAACATTAAGCCTAAGGATTTATTTATAAACTACACACTGAATGCATAACAGAAGTGTGTTTTCAACAACTCAAAACCGAGAAATGCAGATTATTCCATTTTTAAAGGTTAAAGCAAATGAAGATTCATTGCTAGAAAACAATTTAAAATTCTGCTTACTAATCCACTTAAAAGCATGCTGCTCTTACTTCAGTTCTCAGTAGAAAATATGGTTACATGTTTTAACTTAAACTGCTCTTTCAGGTAGACTTAACATCTTCACCTCAAACAGTATCATATGGATAGAAAAAGTACCTGAGAACTATTGTCTTTACTAGTGTGCATCTCCACATCAAACATTATCTGTCCATCTTCTTGAGGAGAAGGGCTAGAATAAAAGGGTACAATTACTAATGTTATGGAACTTAATTATAATAATTATCTGCACTTAGAAGTACTGAATGTAACCTGTGTAGTACTGTATAGGGCCAGGTAACACCAGGAGATCCAGGGAACATATAGATTGAGGACAGGGCAGAAAAAGCTGCTGAGAGCAGCTCCATTTCTGGAACAGCGTAAAACAACCATGCAGGTCTTGGATAAAGTAGCACAAGATCTTACTAGCTTGGTCCTACAAGATTTTACAACCCTGAGGTACTTGGATAAACAAAAAACTCACTTAAGGCAGACAAATATTAACTAAAATGCAGAAAGAACATGGTTGCCAGTGTGTCTGCTGGCTTCCAATGCATGTATCAGACTACTGCAATTGAAGGGTGCAATACTATATAACTAAGACTGAACGCCATTAGATTTATTTCTGTACTGCAAATCCCATTAAGAAAATGTTAGTACATTTGAAATTAGGACAAATGACTGTAAAAAAATCACTTGCATGTATGCTGGATTCTAACTCAGAATTTAAAAATTCAAAGAACTTGATTTCTTGTGCTTCCTCAGTGGCAAAAACTCAAAACTCTATGCATATGTTGAAGGCTGGTAACAACAAAGCAAAAGCAAAACAGTTTACATTGCTGCCCAGAGACCACCTAGGTCTGTTCATATCCTCTCTTCCTTTTATTAGAGTAGTTGGTGCCTATCCCCCTAACCATTCACTTCCAGTGAGAAAGTAGGGCCACACCCATTTCTGAAATTCAGAAGCCAGTCAGTTCGTCTTCCCTAGCAAAAGAACAACTACTCTGTTGTATCAAAGAATCATGGAGTTGGAAGGGACCCAAGGGTCATCTAGTCCAACCCCCTGCAATGCAGGAATCCCAGCTAAAGCATCCTTGGCAGATGGCCATCCAACCTCTGCTTAAAAACCTCCAAGGAAGGTTTGACACAGACTCAAATAGAAGAATTTCTTTGGTCATCTTTAAATTGATTAATGTAATCAACTAGTAGTAAATTAAATACAATAGTAGGACCATTTAGGACCAATAGTAGACCCTAAGGATGATAATAGTGGGACCTATGACTTCTTCAGAACACACTTCTATTTTTTTCTAAAATTTTATTATAGTGGTACCTCGGGTTACATACGCTTCAGGTTACAGACTCCGCTAACCCAGAAATAGTACCTCAGGTTAAGAACTTTGCTTCAGGATGAGGACAGAAATCGTGCTCCAGCAGCACGGCGGCAGCGGGAGGCCCCATTAGCTAAAGTGGTGCTTCAGGTTAAGAACAGTTTCAGGTTAATAAGGGACCTCCAGAACGAATTAAGTACTTAACCCGAGGTACCACTGTACTGTAAAATAGAAGGGTGTTTTAACATTATCAGAAAAAGTAAACCCATGCCCAAGGGTTAACAGGAAAAAGGACAGAGAAAGCAATTACAACAGGACATTTTTATTTACAATAATAATTACAAAGATGCCATGAAGAGATACTGCATGGAATAGACTTCTGCTAGATTGCCAAGACTATTTGAGAGATTTGATGGGTGAGTTGTGTTTTGCACCGTATTTGGAAACAAGAAAATGTTCCTCTAGGTCAGATTGACAAATAATTTTGGGGGCGGGGTTGCCATTCCCTATTACCTGTTACTTAGTAGGCTTTAAACACTCCTTGAAACTACAAAGACAGTCATCTTTAACTTGGGTTAGCCTATTTACTCGTACCTGTAGATTTGCACAAGGGGATGAGGGTGATTTGGGGCATAGAGGTGGCTGAACACAAAGAACCTGCCTCAAGATGACCAACATGGCTTACAGCCAGTTTCTAGTTAAGAAGATTGAAAAATATTCTACTTTTTTATTAAAAACCCTCAAAAACTTTAAGTTGATATTCAAATGTGGATGTGCAAGGACAGCACCCAGGTACATGCAACTTTTCCAGTCATTCAGAAATAAATCTAAGTAATTGAAGACTGAAGCCTCCAGAAGTCAATAGGATTATTTAACAGTATTTGAATTGCAGCCCATAGATTCATAGTAGCGAAAGACTATTTGTTCAAAAATAAATGTATATAGGAGGTAAAGAAGAATAAAAAACATTCAATTTATATTCAGGCTAGGAACTGAACTGGCAGCACTTGGTTCAAGAAAAATGTATCTATTGCAGTGAAGTTGACAGAGCTTGAATTCCTACCTGTCACAGTGAGAACTACCTCTTGAACTGCTCTGTCCAGACTCATGCTGGGCATCTAGAAGTATCTTTTCCATGTCTCCATTGTGGATGGAAGATGAAGAAGGAACGTGTTCCAGACCACCATTTTTCGCATTTCCATTATCGTTGCCATTGCCGTTCATCTGCAACTCTACCCAGGAGCCTGTTGAACAACAGATGTTTCATCAGAAACCATGAAACTAAAACACAGCATAAGGTTTATCACTCACTTGCAGAAATATGCAGTCATGCCAAATTTAGATAACCAGAAAGAAGACATCCACAGACACCAAATAATACTTCTCCATTTATCAGCAGAGCAACATTATGAACTATTTCTTAAAAGTAAATTCACACATTATGAACCAGCCACATGTAAATAACTGCTAATATTTGTTAACTTGTGTGATCAGTCATGTTGCGAGATGTTGATGCTGTGTCTTCAATGAGTGTGTCTATGAGCAGTGTGCACTGGAAATGAAAGGAACTCCTGCTGACAGAAATTGCCACTGTATCTTCTATGTCTACGCTTGGAGCTGATGGAACAGATGTATGCATCATTTGCTTTTGAAGTCCTTCTGCACAATTTTACCAGTATCCTGTTCCTTCCCTATGATCAGATGAATCTTGTTCAAAAGGACTTCTACATCTGGGAAAATTTGACACAGTCTGGATTGACAGGACTTAAAACAAGCACACACATCCTGACTCTTTCAAGAAAGAATATATTTTGCTGCCTCAAGTGTAGAGCAAGGACAAAATGTTCAACCTGTACTTTTTGAACAGATAACCACTGCAGTGTTCAGGTATCAACTGTGTAGCTAACACTAAGCAAGTGCATTTGACACTGAAGTCTGGTCTTGAAATTAGCTGGCCACCAGGTGCATTTTGTGCCTGAAGATTCTCTTTTTGCAAACAGCTCCAAACGTCTGGCTGCCATTCTTGGCCTGAGACTCAAGGCTGCCCGCTGCTGGCACTGACATCACTGGGCACAGGAGGACAATTGCCTCCCCTCCCAGCAACAGACTGAGTATGCTCACTGCTGCGAGTGCATGCAAGAGCCACACTCCCCCTTGCACTGCAGCAAAAGGCACCAAAAAGCTGCCAACTGTCAGCACTCACATTGTGCAACCGCTGCTGCTCCCCAAGCCCTCCGGAGGCACCTGCTGCTGCCAGTGCCACCCCAAGGAAACCCCGCTCTGGCAGCAGGTGGGCAAGACATGATCGTAACATGGAGCTACCCAGCATATAGGATACTTCTAAATATCAGGTGCTAGAGCCAGTAAATATTTTTGCATACGGTGGTACCTCGCAAGACGAATGCCTCGCAAGACAAAAAACTCGCAAGACGAAAGGGTTTTTTGTTTTTTGAGCTGCTTCGCAAGACGATTTTCCCTATGGGCTTGCTTCGCAAGACGGAAACGTCTTGCAAGTTTGTTTCCTTTTCTTAACACCGTTAATACGGTTGCGACTTGACTTCGAGGAGCAACTCATAGAACACGGTGTGGTAGCCTTTTTGAGGTTTTTAAAGACTTTGGTGATTTTTGAAGCTTTTCCAAAACTTTCCCGACACCGTGCTTCGCAAGACGAAAAAAATCGCAAGACGACAAAACTCGCGGAACGAATTAATTTCGTCTTGCGAGGCACCACTGTATATGCCTTGCTTGTAACTTTCCCAGAAGAATCTGTCAAACCACACTGGGAATCAGAATGCTGGAACAGATGGACATTGGTTCAATCTAGCAAGGCTTGTATTACAGTGGTACCTCGGGTTACATACGCTTCAGGTTACAGACTCTGCTAACCCAGAAATATTACCTCAGGTTAAGAACTTTGCTTCAGGATGAGAACAGAAATTGTGCTCCAGCGGTGCGGCGGCAGCAGGAGGCCCCATTAGCTAAAGTGGTGCTTCAGGTTAAGAACAGTTTCAGGTTAAGAACAGATCTCCAGAACGAATTAAGTTCTTAACCCGAGGTACCATTGTACATACTTACAGAAAAAATAATCAAAAATATTTCTAAAATCTCCTAGGACTTTCTCAGCTCTGATCATCAGAAAACCAAGGATCATAACATAAATGGTATTTTGAAGCAAAACTTAAGATACCATTTTAACTAGTGGTCACTGTGGCCTAACATGAGTCAAACTTGAATCTGGGTGATCTGGGTTCAATTCTTCTGCAATTTCCATTGTTCATTTCCCCCTTAATGTGTTTTCAAATGATGGGGACACAAAAGTAGTGCAGATGTGCATCTTTATCATAAAGGAACAGTCACCATGTATCAAACACATGAACTGTGGATCTAATTTTTTAAAAGACACAAACTGTATAACTTTTTCTAGCTGCTTTCTGAAACCTGTAGAATTTCAGCATCACCGTCAGTGAACAAAACAACACTCACAGCATTATTTCCTTACCTTACTATAAAATGGGAACAACAGTGATCTATCACAGTGAGGATGAAGGGATTACAGATTGTAAAACACTTTTGTCCACTGACTATGTTATAGACAGTAATGAGGACTGTCAGAGAGTTGGCCAAAAGTGTGTTACTACAACAGGTGTTTGATTAAGCTAAAAATTAAGGTGCAGTTCAGACCAAAAATCTCAGTCTAATAAATCATGGTTTATTATAACAAGCATTGTTCCATGCCCATGCACTCCCTCATCCCTCACACAAGTGAAGAGCTTTAGGATTTGTTAAATCAAAGTTTCCCATTACATCCAAACTGAGAATTTGTAGTTTAATCTCAGACTACAAACCAGAATTTGAGCATGAGGTGCAAGGCAGATAGGCACACACCAGTTATCCCCTTTAAAAAACTGGGCTTTTTTGATTGAGGTCATTAAGTCTGAACAGAGCCCAAGCTTCTTGAATTCCACTACAAACACTACAAAAATGCTATATTTGCAATAGTTACCCCTAAGTTTTGAGGCATAATTCCAAGTGTTGAAGATGCTTGAAGCAAAATATATTGAGACACAACCTTGTCTCCTATGTCTTCTTGTGATTTTCCAAGTTCAAATTAGACTAATCTCTCTTGCTTATACCATAAATACACTCTAGAACACAATATAAGGGGCAGCAGGATGGGTGTTCCACATCAGAAGACTTTCCTGAAAAATAACCAGACAGAACTTTTGTAAAGCACTGTAAGAGTTTCAGGCTGAATTCCAGGAGTTCGGATAACAGTTGAAGAAGTAAGATTGTAGCATGAGATGAATTTCATGTCTTGGAAACATCTTAGAAAATACCGGTTGTTTAAACGAGAAAGCTGAATCATGGCTATGTATGAAACAAAGAGTGACAAACTGTTTTTCTGGGTGGGGAGACCAATTCTGAGTTTATGTTTTTAACTATCAGTGTGGCCTTCCTTCTAGACCCAGGCACAAGTCGTAACAAGAACAGTGATCCAGATGGTCTCTTTATCTGCCCTGTGACTTGATTCTGATGAAATTGTTCACTGTGGTTTTCATATTTTCCTCACTGGCATCATTGGTTGATAAAGGGCAGATTAAAAATGTTTCACATGAATATGTGCAATTTTGCCTTAACGATTTTTAATAGAATTTTAAAAATAGTTTACAATACTAAGCAAATGGGAGAATACCTTTTATTTGTGTGAAGTTCAAAATACAACATGTACATGTCCAAGTTAAAATGAACTTTGATAATGCATGGTCTCAAAGAATTTCAACTACAATCCTCAAAAACCTTATTAAGGAATAATTGTATGCATGATAGTGGACTCATTCAAAGCATATGTTTTAAGAAGAGCAGATTAACTGCCTTTCAGATTAACTTGTCAGGTATACTGGGGGCTGGGAGAGGGCAGGGAAGAAGAATGCTGCTTTCAGGCTAGCCATCTTTTAAATCATTAGTTCATATATATGAAATCGCCACGCATGTGAGACGATCAAGAATAATTTCACTACTGTATTATGAAATCCAAGCCGAAGCTATTTGGATGTTCCTCCATCCTGATCCACAAACAAAAGGTTACACCGGACCAGCTGACAGACCCCGGATATAAGAGAAAAACAGCACACGTCAGTAATATTGACTCAGCCACTGAATAAACTCATTCTCACACTCTAGCTAGTTCCCCAGCATCCCAATTATTTGAGATAGCCAGCGACTAAATTAGCTCACCCTGTCAAAACATGCCAATTCACAGATCTCTCACGGCATACCATCTGACTCGTCTGCCACACTCATATCTGCCTGCAGCTATTGAAACTTACTTATAAACCCTACTGAAACCAAGTTTAGGCAATTTGCCTTCAATGAGCCATACTTCCAAGGTATGTTTAGGAATGCAACATCAACCTCCCAATTCTTTCTGTCTAGAACAGTAAATAAACAAGAACAAACCATTCAATAAGTCCTTCTCTCACAAAGATCTATTCCATTCTTCCCACACTCCAATCCTTTCCACTTCCCCCTTTAATTTCCAAAATTTAACTCATCAGCTCCATCCATAGTCATCTCCAGCCCATTATTTTTCTCCTACCTGTGACCACCTAAACTTCCTTCTTTCAAAAAGCCTGCCTCTTTACTCCTGATCACTGTTCCACTGCTGTTGCACACACCCAGTTCCTTTCATTTCCAAGGAGGCTAGGGATCCAAGTACTGTACCTCAGACAGACAACCAGGCATCCATCACTTTACTGGAGTCTGGAGCCAAGTACCAATACTCATTCATAGCTTGGGGGGGGCAGGGAAGCGTGGCGCAGACACAAAGAAAGGCCCCCACAATCCCTTTCACACTTTATCAAAAAAGAAATGAAGTTTATCTCAGCACTGGCAGCAAAACTGCTGTGAAATAGCGTGCCTTAACATAAGAAAACTTAATTATTAAATTAAAACGAAATTAAATTAAATTAAACAAAAACGAAGCAGAAGCTAATAAGTAGAAAACGAAGAATACATATGTATATATTTTAAGATCGTTGTTTTACATATTTTGTGGTGGTTATTTTTCAGCAGGAGTTAATCACGCTAGGAAGCTCCGAGGCAGAAAATGTGTAGGTCCACGTAAACAAAAGCACATGCTGCTGTTTTGGAACTGGCGAGGCTTTTTGGCCAGGGCTGCATCCCAGCCGCCTTGAGGGATGCGAAATCTAATTAAATAGGCAAATAAGCTTTGCCCCCCCCAGGTGCCCTTCCTCGGCTCCAGGCCTCCCCACCCCCCTTTCCCGGCGCCCCCTCCCTCTCCCCCTCCCCAAATTCCTGCCCCCTCCTCCGCCCCGCCCTCTCCCCACCAGCGTTCCACCGCAGGCCCCGCCCCCTCTGAGCCCCGCCAGCTCCCCCCCCATTGGCCAACCACCTCTCGCGCGGCCCAGCTGCCGACCAATCCAGGAGGGCATGGTGGGGGGGCTGCTGAGGTGGTCCCTCCGCCACCTGAGGGGATGCGAAGTCGCTTCCAGGCCGAGGAGCCTGACGAGAGCCAGGAAGGCGAGATGAAGCCCCCCCTTCCCGCCCCCACTCACTGTTGAGGCCTGCCTCGGCGGGCGTCCCGTCAGGCGGCGGGTTGTTGTTGTTGTTGTGCTGGTGAAGCGAGTCCTGAGGGGAGGACATGGCGGCGGCGGCGGCGGCAGACGCGGCACGGCGAGGCCTCTGCTTGCGGGGCTCTGTTTGTATGCTGGGCAGGCGGAGCAGCAGCAGCAGCAAGCCCAGCCGCCCCGGCGTCACTGCGCACGCGCCAGGGCCGCCACGCCCACGCGCCGGCCCCATTCCTCCCTGACGCGCCTCACGTCCGCGCGGGGGTGCGGTCGCTCCGGCGGCACCGCGCGTGCGCTCTCGCACGCGCTCGCATCCCTCTTGCCCCGCCCCGCAACGAGCCGCCTCTTACACTGCGCATGCGCTGGTGCCGCCTCCTTCAGGCCCATTTTGTGTTTCTCAAACTTGGGCTGTTGTTGGACTACAACTCCCATCATTCCTGACCGCTGGTCCTGCCTGCTAGACATCAAGGGAGTCCAGTAGTCGCTGGCGACCGAAGTTTGAGAAACAGTGAATGACTCCAGACACTTATTTGTCTTAACAGGACTTGGGGGCTCTTGTAGCCCCCCAGGGAAAGGGGAGCTGTGGGCTTCCGGCTGTTGTAGCTGGACTCCATCTCCCATCAGCCATCGCAGCGTAGAGTGAGGGATGGCGGGAGTTGTAGTCCAGCAGCATTAGCGGTGTGGGCGCGGGATCCCCGTCCGCGCTGCCTTCGCCCTCTTTTCCTCGCCTCGGCACATGACGTGGGGGAAAGCTAGCTGTCCATAGGAAAACTACGGTAGAGCCAGGAATTTAATGTATGGCCATGGGGAAAATAGGTAGCAAAAACCAACAAACAAAAGAGTCTAATCTTACTCCTCGCTCAAGATTTTCTGTGAAATAACATCATTTGGGGAGACAAAGAAATCTGCAGGCTCAGATGTAGTATTTACTTTTCCCATCCCCTGGACATGGATAGGACCAGGTTCCAAATCTTTGTTCAGTGTGACTATTTATTATCACAAAATACTTCTCAGGAGTGTTTGAGTCACAGATACCAGAATGTGCTTTCTATATGCACAAATTAAACACACAGTTTTAAAGTGGTGTGTAGATTATGTGAATGTCAACATAGGGCAAAATTGGATGTCACTGGTTAGCAGATTATTTCCTTCACACAGGATCCCTCTGTGACAAGACCAATAATAATCTTAAGGTGTTTGCAGCGGATCGCTTTATAAATGTGCCACTGGCATCCAGCTATCGTCACTCAAGTATTTTCTTTCCTACGGGAAAAGTATTCAAACCACCTTTTTGTGATAAAAGTATACTGATTGTATGGTTATGTCACAGGTTACTACTAGATGGTCCCTGAGACATCAGCACCACTCTCATAATCAGAGACCCTTTTCAGGTCAAGTGACTTCGTGTCCATTCTCTGCTCCTAATCACTATCAGGTCTTTTATTTGTGTCAAATTTACAATTGTTGCAGAAAGCACATTCATCCAACCTCATTTGTAGGTTCTGCCCCAGTTTTCAAATAACAGCACTGCTGATCCACTGGGTACAATTTATTGAGGTATTGCCAAATTCTGATCAAAAATACTGGCTTTCCACATGCAAATAGATTATGAGAGGTTCATGATCAGAGTAGACCCAACTGTCAAGGGATCCAATCTTCTGAAGACTGCACCATGTCTCATTTTCTCATAAAATGTTTTGGGTCAGTTATCTGAATATTAAATAGCAGAAAGATTCTAGGAGGCTACTTTCAATCCTAACAGTTGAAAGTCCCACAGAACTTGTTCAAAAATAAGCATGCAAGATACTACATCCCTAGAAAACAGGGGTTTGTGTCAGTGCAGCAAAATTTTCTTAGGAAAACCTATCCTGAGGCCCTAATACTATAAAAAAAGTTGCTTATTTATTAAACCTTTGTCTTAAAAGTTCAGAACAAGGATTAAGGAAGTGCTCCTGCCCCCCCTCCATAAGGACCCCCTGCATCCATTCTTGAAAAGCAGTCATGGAGATTCCCAGGGGTAGCACTTGGGTACTGGAATTATCCTGAAACCAGTACCAGTAAAATCAAACCTTTCATTCCAAGATGTTTCCGCATCAATCTTACATGTATTAATCCGGAAGGTTTGGATTCCCAACAGAAACCACACTGCTTGCACAATGTTTAAGATGTGTTCTTAAACACACACATAGTAAACGTGGCGCATAAGCACCTTGCACTCAGCTACATTAGTCAAAAAACACTTTAAATGCATTATAAACATGCAACACCAGGTGGCGCCAGAGAGCAAAAGAATTATGTGATTTTTGCATAGCGGTTTCCCCCCCTTTTGTTAACAATTTAATTTCTGACTTATTTATAGCATTTTTTCCTGTGTGTATATCCACCTTTAGTGCTTAGATTCTGAATGACATGCAGACAGCTACTGTCATTTATTTGTGGTCTTGAAGCATTTTCTGATCACCGTGACTTTTCAAGTTTGTCTTTAATGGCAGGAGTTTCGAAAAGTCAAATGAAAAAAGGAACACTCATAAGGTAAAACTACATTTCCATTCAAGTTACCAGTAGCAACAGAAATACATAAAATATAGGGATACTCAAGAATGCAGTATAATTTTTAAAATCTATTTAAATCACTTTATATTAAAATTTGCACGACGTACTGCTTAAAAAACAAGAAATTTTAATGACATCTTTTTAAAAAAGAAAATAAAAGAAAGCACTGTCATGTGAGTCTGGATCCTAAACAAGGCATTCAATAAAATTAGGACAAAGGGGTTAACATAAGAAAAAGGTTAGTCCCATAAAACCTTAATTGTAGTCTACAAAAGTTCAACCCCCCCTCCCCAATTCAGACAAAGAGCTCTGTTAACAGAGGAAAAGAGGGGGAAAGGGAAGCATTTACCAATATATGAAATGAATGAATGAATGAATGAATGAATGACTGTTCAATAGAATCCAAGAGGTTGGTTTTTTTTAAAAAAAAATGCAAACTGCTCTTAAATACTAAAGTGACATTTTAACATTTTCATATAGGAATAAAAAGAACAACCCTTCCTCCATTTCCTAATGAAAAATAATACTGGTTAAAATCAATGCCAAAACATTTTATCATGCGTCAAGTTATTTTTAATAATAAAAAAAGAAATTCATATATAAAGAGGTAGATTAAAAAGGGGAAAAAAGAACAGATTCACCATTCTGTCACTTTTATTCAGTAGAATCCCCCCCCCCCACCTTTTAGGATTTTATTTTTTTTATGCCAGAAATGGCAAAGAGTGATTACAGTCAATTGTTTATTAAAAACCTTTTATTCTTTGCAACACAGACCCCTTTGACCCATTTTATGTGCTTTTCACTTTTTTTTCTCTATGCACCACCACCATGGGGCGGAGGGGAGGGGAACGGGTTTTTTTTAAGGGAAAGGAGTCCAGGAGGCATAGGAGGAATGCTACAAGCCACAGCAAGAATGAGCTGTTGTTTAATAATAAAAAAGGGCCACAAATAATACAGTAATGAGGTTACACAATTAAATCCCACAGCATGACTTGAAGGCTTTTCCCTGTGGCAGACGTCATCACAATGGAAGGCATAAAAAACTGGAGGAACCAAATGTTGATAATAGTCCAACCTCTAGTCCATTAGGCAAGATGGTGCAAGTAGTCGTTGTGTTAAAAAGTGCCCTAGCCTCACCTAAATGGCTAGCAGACATGGAGAACTCCTCAACAGAGAGAAACCATCCACATAGCTATCTAGAAGAGTGTGTTGTCAAATATGGCACATTTTTAAATACTGGGAAAGATGTGCCACAATGGACTTCTCTCGCTCTCTCTTGCTCTCCCGCACTCTTGTTTTCTCCCCTCTATTGTTTACGGGTACAAATGCTAGATTCATCTATCTGAACTATGCAGGAAGTGGACTCCTCTGCTAGGAACACTAGCTCTAATTCACTTTGTCTTGAAATATATACAAGTTGTTTGTAGTGGCTACGGCAATGATATTTTCCTTGGGATGCCAGGCTGTGTGGAGGATTTTCTTGTTGAAGTCTAGGCTGTCAACACTGATCTCATCCTTCTTCCGTTTGCCGCTGGCGCAGACTTTGCGGGGCTTTAAGACGGTGCGGGGCTTATTGTTTTCCCGAGAAGCTTCTAAAGTGATATCCCGCTTTGTGTTCCTATCAAACATTCTGAAGAAGTTGTTGTAGGAGCCAGTCATGACGACACTGAAAGATGGAGAAGACAAAAGAGAGTTTCCAGGTGTGTTTCCTTGCTAGAAGCTTTTACTGCAGTTCTTTTTATTCAGGGAGCTGAATAAATATTCATGGGGAAAGTATCCTCTCAAAAATACAATTGCATTTCAACAGCATGGGCACTTAATACATGAGCACAGGAAGCTGCCATATTCTGATCCAGCTAAGTATCAATGCTGAGCGATTTCAGTATACTTATCTAGGATCAGCACCAGTGTGTCTCTAACTTCGGTCCCCAACTGTTGTTGAACTACAACTCCCATCATCGCTGACCACTGGTCCTGGCTGCTAGGGATGATGGGAAGTTAGAGAAACACTGGAGATGGCAGAAATTGAACCTGGGAACCTTCTGCATGCAAGATAGATGTTCTAACACTAAGCCTTCTCAGTGCTCAAACGGTTTAATGATTAACTATTTTCATGGTACTGAATCATGCGTGCTTTAGGAAATGGATTTTTGAACAGAAATTTCCAGTTTTACCAATACAAAACAGAAACTGGAACACCAACATGTACAGTTCTTACACTAAATCACCTTGCACATAAAATTAAAGGGAACTGGGATGCCCGCTCTGTTAAACAGCTTTCAAACTGCTAGGTACCCAGTAACACCTCTGCACTGCTTGCTTTTGAGGGACGCGGGTGGCGCTGTGGGTAAAACCTCAGCGCCTAGGGCTTGCCGATCACATGGTCGGCGGTTCGAATCCCCGCGGCGGGGTGAGCTCCCGTCTTTCGGTCCCAGCTCCTGCCTACCTAGCAGTTCGAAAGCACCCTTAAGTGCAAGTAGATAAATAGGAACTGCTTTATAGCGGGAAGGTAAACGGCGTTTCCGTGTGCTGCGCTGGTGCTGGCTCGCCAGCTGCAGCTTCGTCACGCTGGCCACGTGACCCGGAAGTGTCTCCGGACAGCGCTGGCCCCCGGCTTCTTAAGTGAGATGAGCGCACAACCCTAGAGTCGGACACGACTGGCCCGTACGGGCAGGGGTACCTTTACCTTTACTGCTTGCTTTTAGAAGGATTGTCAGAACTTGTTTATCAAACCCTGCAGTGAATGCAGTTCAGCCAAAGGAGCCAGGTAAATTCATGGCTGCAATGTGATGATCCCTGCCAAGGAGATGGGGAACTTTGCCCTCCAGAGGATGTGGGACTTGAATTACCATCAGCCCCAGCCAGCACTGTCAGTTGTCTGGGATGATGGGAGCTGTAGTTTAGGAGTAACTGAAAGGTCACAGGCTGCCCATCCCTGCCGTAGCAGTCTGCCGTTACTGGGAAACAGTGAATGTCCTTCAACCCCACATACAAAAATGCAGCCATTCCAAAATACCAAACAAACAAACAAACACCACCTCATTGCAACTATGAAAAGAATCAAGATGGCAACACTGAAATGGCTTCTCTCAGAGCTCCAAGAACTGAGAATATCTGGAGGAGTTTGAAAACTGTGTTAAGAATCTGTTCATTTGGGCTTCTGGTTCCACTCTGCCTTAATGGAGGCAGCCCCTATGACAGCGGGAGATCGTAGGTAAAGGAAAAGCAAGGATGGTTGAGAGCAAATCATCCTTGCAAATTCCACCCAGGGTCGGGGGGAACGAGCTTCAATTGTAGTTCGTCTCGGAACCTGGCTCTCGCTCCGGCATGGAATGAGGGGGGCAGGGAGGCACTGGGCCTGGCAAAAACCCTCCAATGCTGCCATTAAGAAGCAGAGGTTCTCCTCTTAATTTGAACTTAATTGGATTAAAGTACAGGCGCGTGCTGGAAGAGATGAGATCACAAACTGTGGAAAAAACCAACTGCAAGGACTTTAAGGTTTGAATCTGTGATAAGACTTCATTCGGTGAAAAAGACGGTGGGGGGGGAGCCTACAGTTTCTTTATTTAAAGTTTTATTCTCTACATTTATGATTTGGCAACCCTCCTCTGAATGTTAGTTCAAATTATATTTGTACAAGAAGAACTTGGATTATAAATATGGCATATAACATCAAACGGAACTGTGTGTTAAAAAAAAAAAAGGAGGGGAGGGAAGCTCTATTTTGCAAAAGGTTTACGATGGAAACTTAGAACTGACTCTTCCCCATCCTTTATTATATACAAAGTGAACTGAATAACGCTAAGAGGACTTGGAATTTAATTTAATTGGAAGGATAATCAGCTGGAAAGAAGGATGAAAGGAGTCTGTGAGTTGCCAAGGAACTGGTAAGGTTCTTTATTGAGTCATCTGCAGTCTGACAGACCACTCTTTTTCCTAGGCTGAGGGGGGAAATGGTGACAACAGTTTATTTACTGGGACAGAGAGACCTTCACAGCTGTTGTTAAAGTTCTTGGTGCAAAACAATGAAGCACGAGACAAAGCGATGGAGATATTTCTGGAATAACAATGGGATACCTGCTCCGCCCAAGGCATGGCGGATAACAGCAATAATTGGGGGAAAGAAAGACATAACATCTTACAAGGACAGGACGAAACACCACGGACAGAATAATTGCCACACACAGGAAGAACAAGGATCTAGTGTGAGTTCCTCACTTGAAGTTTTATAAATCATTTAATGTATCAAATGGATAGAAGTTATTAATATTGCAGTTGTTGTATAAGGGATTATTATTATGACCGGAATATAATTTAAACTAGTAAGATTTTGGAACGCAGAAATAAAGGAAATAATCAAATGATAAAATCTAGCATGTGGGGAGGGGGCACTTTAACTAAATTATATAATTTGGTACTTGAATGATTGGTATTAATAATTGTATTATAAATTGGTATTGTTATAATAGGCTATTATTGGAGTGTAAATGAAAACTAATACAAATTTATTCCAAAAAAGAAATCTGTTAATTTGTTTAGGGCATTTTAAATCCCAGGCAATCAGGGCAGCAAATGTGGTTCCTCTTCATTTTGCCAACAACTTTATGGCGTAGGACAGCCTGTGAGATGGCGACTTGCGCAAGGTAACCCAGGGAGCTTCACGTCCTAGTGAAAATTTGACACTCTTAACTACTATGCCCACAGTCTCTTACAGACTTGCCATTCCTATGACTGACTTCATATTTTATTTCCAGGAAGCAGTTCGTGCTATACTGGGAATAGTGACAAGCCCTCTAATCATGACAAAATTATGACGCAGTTGCTAAGAAAATAATTATGATATAATTACAATTGTGTGCCTCTTAGGTATGCCTGACTTTCACACTCCTAAGAGCCAGAAAAGGGTCACATCACTCCTGTGTAGTAGAGCTAGACTAATAAACCTGTAGTCTGATCAGACATTGAATTAGATTGCAGCTCTTCAAGGTGTAGGTGGAGAAGCCTCCAGTATGCAGGAAGATAGCCTATCATTCTCCTACGCAATGTTTCAACTTTCAGGAAGGATGTTTTACATTTTAATTAATCAGGCACTCTGGACTGCATTGTCCAGGAAGAACTGCATCATCACCCCTTTCTTTATATTTAAATTCTTTATTTAAATGTATTTCTTTAAAGAAAAATATCCATCCATATGGAGTATGAAAATTAAATATTGTTCCCTGTTGGCCTCCAGCAATTGAACTGACAGGGGACATTCTTATTATTCAGGCTGTAGGAGGCAAGTTTGGAGAAGAAAGCAGTAAGTGGAATAAAGATGCACCGCACTTTTAAATAACTGCTCGTGCACATTAGCTTTTAATGCAGCTTTTCTTTGTAGAGGAGGGACCACAGCTCACTGAGAGCACATGGCTTGTATGCTGAAGGTTCCAGGCTCAACCCCCAGCATCACCATTGTAAAGAAAAAGCCTCAGGTAGCAGGTGGGGAGGAAGACTTCCTACAATACCAGGCTGGAGGGATAAATAATCTGACCTAGCAGTTATGGCCCTGAAATGAGAAAAGGAGGCCAAGCACCAAACTGTCCACAGGCAAGGCTGCTTTTAAGCCTGAAAAATTAATGGCACACATAACGATGCACCCATAATGATGATGGAACTACAGCAGGCAATTAATCAAGCCAAAATGGGCAAAACACCAGGACCAGATGAACTGTCAGCAAAGTTTTATAAGAAATTGTAAGATAACATTGTCCAGCCATTGAAAGATGTAATGAATAAGATACTAAAAACAGGGAAGACTCTTGGAGAAATTCTTATATTGCACTCATTCTAAAACAAAAACCAGACTTATTGTTAGTAACAAACTATAGGCTAATTTCTCTATTAAATGATGACTGTAAGCGGTTTGCAGCTATATTGGCAAACCAGATAAAAATGGTACTAAAAGACATAATTCACCAAGATCAGACCAGGTTTTTGCCTGGTTGACAGATGAAAGATAATGTAAGGAATATAACTGATAGAATACTTGGAGGTAAGAAATTGGAAGCAAGCAGCATTGATGTTTAAAGATGCAGAAAAGGTCTTTGATAATATTTTGTGGACTTTTATGAAGAAAATGATGGAAATGATTAATTTCAGAGAGACCTTTTGGAAAGGAATATATTCAAATCAATATGCAATGCTGATAGCAAATAATGAGCTAACAGAAAAATGTAAAGTAACAAAAGGGACAAGACAGGTGCTCCGTCACTGTTGTTGTTTATATTGGCTTTAGAAGTCTTAGCTGGAAGAATAAGATCTGATGTATCAATTAAATGGGTAACAGTGGGTCAGAGAGCATATAAGCTGAAGGTATTTGCCATTGATGTGGCATTATCAGTAGAGGAGCCATTGGTTAGTATACCAAAGGCTTTAGAAGAAATCAATGAATTTGGAGAAGTAGAAGGTTTAAAACAAAAGCAAGCTGAAAATTTTGGTTAAAAATGTGAATGATCAAATGAAGAAAGATCTACAGTCGACTGGACTAATATTTGAAAAGAAACTTAAATATCTAGGAGTGTGGCTGATAGCAAAGAATATAAGTATTTTAAAAGACTATGTTAAAGTTCGGGGGGAAATTAAGAAAAAATTAGAGATGTGGGGAAGAATGAATCTGTCCTTATTGGGGAGGATATCAGTGATAAAAATTAATGTGCTACCAAAAATGTTCTTTCTACTTCAAACAGTGCTAACGATCAGCAATACAGGATGTTTTATACAATGGCAAAAGGCTATTACTATATTTCTCTGGCAGGGAAAGAAATCAAGAATAAAATACAAATTGTTGATACGATTCTAAAGAGAGAGGTGGATTCTCCCTGCCAAATCTGAGAGCATATTATGAGGCATCCTATCTTTGCTAGTTAAAAGAATGGATAGCATTAGAAAATACTTATTTTTGGATCTGGAAGGACATGATAATAGGTTTTGTTGACATGCATATTTGTGGTATGACAAGGTTAAAGCCCATAAGGGCTTTTTGAATCATGTTATAAGGAAGACGGTGTACAAAGTATGTAATAAATACCAAAAAAAAGAACAAAAAACATTGTGGTGGTTCTCTCTAATAGAGGCAATACAGTGGTACCTCGGGTTAAGTACTTAATTTGTTCCGGAGGTCCGTTCTTAACCTGAAACTGTTCTTAACCTGAAGCACCACTTTAGCTAATGGGGCCTCCACGCCTCTGAAGCACAATTTCTGTTCTCATCCTGAAGCAAAGTTCTTAACCCGAGGCACTATTTCTGGGTTAGCGGAGTCTGTAACCTGAAGCGTATGTAACCCGAGGTACCACTGTATATGTGAAAATAAGAAATGAGAAACCATTGGGCGATATGGAAGCATATCAAGAGATAAAATTAAGGAGATCTGAAGATATAAGAGGTTTCGTAATCGATTGGCTGCAGTAATATCATTTTAATGAAGTATTTAAATTGAATTTTAAAATGGTTTTTCGACTGAAACCTCCCAATTTGAAAAAGAGTTGTTAGACATTAAAAGTAAATTAATTTCCAAAAATTATTGTAAACAATTAAATTCATTAGCAGGATTGATTTATAACTTCTAGTTAAAATTTTGAACTAAGGAATATTAAGGATTTATGAAAACTTGGAATTATAAAGGAGATGGGGGAGGCGGGATTCTGATATAAGGATCCACAAAAGAGGGAGAGTTTCTGCTTCATTGACTATGCAAAAGCCTTTGACTGTGTCGACCACAACAAACTATGGCAAGTTCTTAAAAGAAATAGGAGTGCCTGATCACCTCAACTGTTTCCTGAGAAATCTCTATGTGGGACAAGAAGCTACAGTTAGAACTGGATATGGAACAACTGATTGGTGGTTCAAAATTGGGAAAGGAGTACGACAGGGCTGTATATTGTCTCCCTGCTTATTTAACTTATATGCAGAATTCATCATGCGAAAGGCTGGGCTGGATGAATCCCTAGCCGGAATTAAGATTGCCGGAAGAAATACCAACAACCTCAGATATGCAGATGACACAACCTTGATGGCAGAAAGTGAGGAGGAATTAAAGAACCTTTTAATGAGGGTGAAAGAGGAGAGCGCAAAATATGGTCTGAAGCTCAACATCAAAAAACAAAGATCATGGCCACTGGGCCCATCACCTCCTGGCAAATAGAAGGGGAAGAAATGGAGGCAGTGAGAGATTTTACTTTCTTGGGCTCCATGATCACTGCAGATGGTGACAGCAGTCACAAAATTAAAAGACGCCTGCTTCTTGGGAGAAAAGCGATGATAAACCTAGACAGCATCTTAAAAAGCAGAGACATCCCCTTGCCAACAAAGGTCTGTATAGTTAAAGCTATGGGTTTCCCAGTAGTGATGTATGGAAGTGAGAGCTGGACCATAAAGAAGGCTGATCGCCAAAGAATCGATGCTTTTGAATTATGGTGCTGGAGGAGACTCTTGAGAGTCCCATGGACTGCAAGAAGATCAAACCTCTCCATTCTGAAGGAAATCAGCCCTGAGTGCTCACTGGAAGGACAGATCGTGAAGATGAGGCTCCAATACTTTGGCCACTTCATGAGAAGAGAAGACTGCCTGGAAAAGACCTTGATGTTGGGAAAGATGGAGGGCACAAGGAGAAGGGGACAACAGAAGACGAGATGGTTGGACAGTGTTCTCAAAGCTACAAACATGAGTCTGACCAAACTGCGGGAGACAGTAGAAGACAGGAGTGCCTGGCGTGCTCTGGTCCATGGGGTCACGAAGAGGCGGACACTACTGAACGACTAAACAACAACAACAAAAATTGAAAAACTGAAAAATAAATTTGTGAATGGCTTGGAAACACACACACACACACACACACACACACACACACACACAGAGAGAGTTTTACAGGGGGATTACATGGTAAAAAAATATTTAATGGCATGCATTTGCACAAGGCTCCCTTGAAGCGGGAGGTTGGGGGATTGTTAATACAGTTCATCTGGAATCCACAAAGCATCCTGAGACAAAGCCACATGGCAGGAGACGAGAACAGTAAAACTATGACAGCTGAATGAACGAAAATGACAAGTCAACAAGAAGTTCTTTTCACCTCACTATTTGTACTCTCCCTGCCCCCAAAATAGTCTCCTAAACATCTGGTTTAAGGCAAAAATGTGAGCCTGAGATAAGGGAGGAGAGGGAAGCACATTTCATTCAGGTATTGCTCAACTAAGGAAACAGTACTTCAAATCACCGGCTTGCATTCAAGTGCTCAGAAATAAAAGAAAACAAAATAAGTCGAGACTTGCCTGTCTGATCCGTTCCAGCAGCACTCAAACTTGTCAAAAATGCAGTCATTTTCATAAAGTGAACAAAGTTTACTTCTGAGGTATTCATGTACCTAAGGAGGAGGAGACACAGTGGTTGGGCATGACGACAATAAATGAATTGTTCAATATTTTGAGTTTTTAAAAACATCAGTATCTATTATGAAGCCAAATATGGAATTTTAATCATTAAAATTGATATAGTACATATTTTATTTTCCACTTTTTATTTTTATCTTACTTTGTTCAATTAAATTGTTCTTAAGAAAAATCAGTGAAATATATATATTAAAAAAGGTCTCATCCATGCAGATTCAAGGACATACGTATTATTTAGACACGTACACTGTGATTTCTGAAGTCAAATCTGAGACCCATTATCTTCATAGCATACCTGGTATGTTTCCACAGGTCTGTTTTCCATATTTAAATCCCAAATTTTCACGGACAGATAATCCCTAGTCATCATATATCGACCACTATGGCTGAATTTGACATCAGATATGGAGGAGATGATTTCGGAGAAAAACGATCGGTTGCTAGGGTCTTCTGGCTCTTCAAACACTACAAGCAGAGGACAAGCACAGTGGTTCTATCATCACATTTCATGAAGATAAACATTCGTTTCTCATGCACATTGAAGCAAAAAAGGAGTAATATCACTACTGGGGATCCCAAATGGATGTGAAGAGAAATATTACACATTAGTTGCCTGATTGAAAAACAAACAAACCCTGAGGCAATGTTGTTATTTTAAACCAGAATCCTCACAAAGTGAGACAGACCTCCTTATACAGATGCATACATTTCCCAGGAGAGGTGTAAACGGTTCAAGGTCTCCAGCCAGGCAAACTATGTTTTGTGCCAAAAATATCCAAATCTACCAGCCTATGTAGGATCATAGAATTGTAGAGTTGTAGGTGACCCTGAGGGCCATCTAGTCCAACTGCCTACAAACACAGGAATCTCAACTCAAGCATCCATGACAGATGGGCATTCAACTTTTGCAAAGACCATGCAAACCGAACTTTATAGAATACCTTTTTTAAAAAAATGAAAGCAATTTGCTAATAAACATGGAGGGAAGTATGGAGCAATCTGAAGCCTAATTGTCAGCCACTGGAAATAATTCACCCACTCCAAGTCTGACTATTAAGATCTCAACAAGCACTGCCCACAAACTTTCCAGACCATCTCTGCAGCCACTGATGGACAGAAGCTTGTTTTCAAAACAGCAACGTGGAATCTGAAATCCTCAAAGTGCCAAGTTCTGAAACCGATCTACATCTTTCTAGGCCTTGAATGAACTTCTACTGCCTTGAATGGACTTGGAGGAACAGTACAGACCAGCTGTTCGCCTCTACCATAGTCTCATTATTATGACCTGTGTGTTGCTCTGCTCTGCTGAGTGGCAGTGGATAGAAGCAATGATGTTTTTAACTGTACTGTTTCTACAGGGTTATGGCACCCCTTGGGGTTGGCAAGCTTAAACACCCTCGACATTTTCTTGCTTGACTCGTGATTTTCTCGAAAGAGAGAAAAAACAGCAACAAGAAGTTGATTAGTACTGAAAGAAACTACTTACATTTTGAATGCCTGTCGCAGAGTGCAGATGCCCTCATGTCACAAAGACGGATTGTTCCTTTGCTACTGCTGTATACAAATGTGTTACAGCTGTTTGGATGGAATTCTGCTGCCGTTATCACCTCTGTCAGCTCTTCCATGTTGGCAGGCTTAATATCTACAATATCTAGAGATTTATTATGTTAAGGACTCTCCTTTTAGCAAGTTTCACAGCCCCCTTTCTGCACTGTAACCAACCCGCAGGGGAAAGAGATTTCTGGAGAATGCTGCTCTTTAGATCCCAGTACTATGGGGGAGAAAAACCTTTCTACCTATGTTATCCAAACCATACATACATTCTGTAAATTTCCATCACATTTCCCCATGCTCCCCTCCCCCATAAATAGAACCTTGCCTTGTAAGAGAGTTGCTCCAGCAGCCTATGTCATTTTCTTTGCCCAATTTCACACTTTTCCAGTTCTACAATATTCTTTTCGTCCAGTCAACTGTGCAGAATGCTCTAAGCCGGGTTGTACCACAGATTTATATAATACTGGCAGTTTTGTTTTTGATATGGTCCTAATGTTCCCTGACATGGAATTCATCTTTTTCACAGCAGAAAAAGAAGGAAGGAAGGCAATACTACTCTAAGATAAATCAAATGATCTTCCAACGAACTGAATATAAATTCAATATAAATACATTTTTGAGAAAAAGATACTAAAACTTCTGTCTGTAATTTCCAGGTGCCACAAGTTAATCCGTAGGTCATCAGCAGACAGGTATGTTTCATAATCACTATTGATGGAGATAGAGTTAATGTGGTATGTATGTGCATTGGCAAATATTCTTCGTGGACTGGCTTCCACCATGAGATCCATGGGCCTGAATACTGGCACCTGCAAAGTACAAGGGAACAGAGACATCTTCAGCAGCGGTGAAGTAGTGGCAAATTCTGAAGCGCAGGAACACATCATTACACACCCCAATGCCCTGTCCCTCCACGAAGAGCTAAAAAATGCAGGCGGCTATGATGAGCTAGATATGCACATATATATCCACCCCACAAAACAACAACAGTGCACAGTACAATACCCAATTTTCTAGGATCAGTTGACAGTGATGGAATAGATGTTTCTAAAATAAATTCAGCTTGTAGAAGAGATCTGGCAAATGATTATGCAAGAAAGTATTACCATTTAAAATGCAAGCATGGAGTACGAACCCCACCAAAGAAAAGGAAGAAAGTGTCCAACCTCTCTGTTTGATTAGTTGACTTCCTCTATGCTAATCTATCACAAACAATAAGAAAACACGATATCACCTTGTTCACTTGCCAGAGCAAGGAGGACCCATCAGTTCACCCAGTGCTTCATCAGATGTCACATTCATTCCTGTTCTGCAAAAAGTGCCCTGGAGCTGACCTCCCCTGTGTTTCCCTTCCACTGTATCATTGGGGAATGAAGAAGATTTTACGATCTCCAACCATAAATCTTGAGGGTGGTCCAGCATCAATTCCTTGCATGTATGCTAGATCCCTTGTACAGCAGAGTGACGATGGCACAGCTTAAGTGCTGAAAGAATCAAGTTGTGCATGGCCAATGGCAATTAAACACTCATGGAAGCAGTAAAGCTCAGCCGAGCACTGTTTACTTGAAAGGCAGTATCAATCTTGTTGGCAGAAGACTATTTACAACTTTACTACCACACAGATAGTAAGGCACACTTCAATCCTACATGCTGCCTGCACACAGCTCAGCAGTCTCTCCCCTGTAGGAATCACGCAAGTCCACAGCTAGATGCTCCACATCTATTTATAGCTGAGGTAGACTGAACAATCTTGCACCTCAATGCTTCAAGAATCTTCAAGAATCTTCTCACAGTTTTTGGAAATGAATGGCTCTTTCTCACTTACTCTAACAGGGAAGTGCACCACCAAATGCTATCAGCATGAGAGGCAGAAAGCCAACATCTCTTGGCATGGGAAGATCAGGGCTCATAGGAGTGGCGGTGGTTGTTTTGATCTGCTCAACATGGCACTGGGCCTTCGGAGATTGAGAAATAGCTGTAGTGATTATCTGTTGATTTGGACATCATGCCAAACCACAGTTAGCCAGCATCTGATCTGAAGCCTGTTTTAAAACTGTGAGCCACTGTGGGGAAATCAAGACTATGCACGTTGCACCCTTGACATTAAGTGCTTGCCACACGTGACAAATGAAAGTGTTACTCACCCGTAATGTTGTGACTGTAGTAGGGTCCCTATACCGCCCATCTTCTTCTTTCAAGTTATAGCCCTCTGGTCTTTTATCCCGTTCACTGATTTTCCATAGTTTTATTGTTTTATCTGAAATACATTACAGTGGTCGCAGTGAGCAGCGTTAAGAGTACCGAAACCATGACCAATAAAACATACTGATTGCACAAGGGAAGACAATTCCAGCTAGTTAAAGCTTGTTCATAGTTTTTATTTTTAAATAAACCTTTCTTCCACTGATGCTGAACAGTGGGCTGATAGTGCCCTGGCTTTGATTAATTTCCAATAGCAGAGGTGGCTAATCTGTAGTCTTTAGGATACTGCTGGTCTCCAACTCCCATCAGCCCCAGCCAGCATAGCAGATAGTCAAGGGATGATGGGAGTTGTTGTCCAGCAATATCTGGAGGGCCACAGGTTAATTACCCCTATCCTATAGGAAAGGGTGTAACAGCCTCAGACCAAGGCTTTTAGTGTGGCTGCCCTAATCTGTGGAACAGCATTCTTATGCCCGCTATCCAGAAACAAATCAAGACATTTTTCCTCCAACAATAATTCCCAGCTGGATGAACAGGTCTCTGCCACTGGTGTCTACTTTGTATTGTTTTTAAATTTACTGTCACTCAGCTATGTCACCCAGTGCCGGTCTGCTTAGTAGAACACTTTTTACTAGCTGGTCAACCTGAATGATACATTACAAAGTACAGGTCCCATTCCTGAGGAGATTACAATCCAAATTCCAATGCTAAAGGGACAAGAGAAAGAATGGAAATGTGGGTATGGCTAAACTGGGGGTTGCCTATGTATTTATTTCTGTTACAGTGGTACCTCGGGTTACATTCGTTTCAGGTTACAGACTCCACTAACCCAGAAATAGTACCTCGGGTTAAGAACTTTGCTTCAGGATGAGAACAGAAATCGTGCTCCGGCGGCCCGGCAGCCCCATTAGCTAAAGTGGTGCTTCAGGTTAAGAACAGTTTCAGGTTAAGAACGGACCTCCGGAATTAAGTACTTAACCTGAGGTACCACTGTACACATATTTTAGACTTAGCAGCAGTGGGGTATGGGGACAAAGGACAGTATAAACAATGGTTCTGACTACTGTGCAGGTTACCCAGAGCAGCTTGCAGAACCATGAAAAGATGTTTTCAAGTCTAATTTCATGCCTTATGGCACAGAACTAAAGACAACAAAGAAGCCCTCTTTTTGAAGTAGGAACTCAAAAGTGCACAGCTGGTCAAGGAGCCAGAAAAGAATATCCTGGGCTTCAGATCTTACATTCAGGAATCCTGATGGGACAGACAGCAGAGCCAGACTAGAGTCTAGTGATACAGTCCTGCAGAAATTTCACCAAAGTGTTGGAGCTTCTCTCTGATTGATAACGTCAGCTAGCCAAGGAAGAAGGAGGAGCAGCACTTTGGGAGGGTGAATAAAAGGAGCAGTTTCTGAGAGAGTTGGATTTGAGATGGGAGATAGGAAGCAGGGCTGGGCAATAACTGCTTTCCAACATTGTAATATACCACCTGCTAAACATTGTGGTACGGCGGTATATCAAAATGTCAGAAAGGAAGTGGCAAGGAAGAAGGCAGTTGCTGGTCGCTGTGAGGTCGCTTCTGCCTCTTCCTAAGCAACTCCTCCTCCAGCACCCACCATCCACCAACATTAGATGGGGATATGAAGATAACAAGAGTCCTGAAGAAGCAAATAGTCTAAAAAGAAGTGGAGAGGGCACACCTTTCACTTTAGCCATCAACTGCAGCTCATGCCTAAATTAAGAGAATGAAGAAAAAGGACGGCTGCACAAATAGGTCTATAGGAAGACCTGTCATAAATCAAACACTGAATGAGCCTTACCATTTGTAGACAATAAAAACTGAGCAGCATTTTTCTGGGGTAACCACCTAATTTTGTTGATCTTCTCTTCAATTTCTAAACTTTTCAAGTAGTCAAACTCTGGTTCATGGCTTTGAAAGGTACTGTAAACATTGTATTCTCCTCTGCTGTGAGATTGCGTTTTGTTCTGAAAGGGGAAGGGGAGAGGGGAGAGAAATTGCATGGAATTCAGTGAATAACCAGTGTAGTTAATGTAGGCCACCTACAGATTACAATTAGTGCGATACAAAGAAATTAGAGCCACTTCACAGACATGAATTATTTTTGAGGCTGTCATTTAAGCAACAAACTCTTAATTGACCAATTATATGAGCTTACTGATCAATTTGCATTAATGAACACAAACATTCTGAAGCAATGAAAAAGCATTCTTTAGATCAAGGAAAGCGAATCTGTGGTCCTCCATCCCTGCCTGATTTCAAATGTGTAATAAACAGCTATTGTGCTGTAGGACACCCTAGTCAAGACTCACAGATGCTCTTCCCTCCAAACTGCTATCCAAAGCTAAACCTCTTAGCACTTGTTTAGCCAACATCTGCAATTCCAAGAGGGTGATGAACCACACTCAAGGGCGTGAGGATGCCAACGCCATTTAAAACATCCCAGGCACCTTTTCAAGCAGGAGGCAGGTTTGAAGCCAAATTCCAGCCCAAGGTAATTAACATTGCACTGGCATGAATCCCGCCTTATTAACAATTACAGGGCAGTATTCATTTCCTGCCTTCTAAGCTGTTCCACAATGCTTTGCACGGTTGCACTGCCACCTCATTCCAGCCCAGGCATGACGACAGCTTTCATGTCAGGTGAATTCTACGAAGAGATCCTGTTTCAACCGATACTGCTCTGTGGATAGCGACTGGGAATCACCTGTTCTGATGGGTGGTGCTTGGCCGATACACAGGAAGCTACCTTATATGAGGTCAGACAAATTGTCTTTCTACTCCAGTGCTATTACTGGACACCTTAAGGATCACCTTTTCCCATAACAACCTGCTCAGGAATAAAGTTCTTCTACAGAGACCCTTCTCAGGGCGCTGCCACCAACCGAGGTCAAGCAGATAGCACCCAGCCCTCCTGTGGGGAAGTGGGTCCGTGCGCCTGGCTGATAACCAGAAGTTTGGTGGTTTGAGCCCACCCAGGGACGGCTGTGGGAAGAATTCCTGCATTGCAGGGGTGGCTAGATGACTCTTGGGGTCCCTTCCAACTCTGACATTCTATGATTCTTAAGAGTATTATGGAATTCCCTCCCTAGGACAGCTCACCCAACACCCACTTTGTTATCATATAGGTGGCAGGCCAATACATTTTTTTTTATTCTCACAGGCATTTTAATAAATTGTAAAGAATGAAGCAAGTGGCATTTTAAACACCAGGCCGGTGTTATTTTATCTCACCCTGTAGTTAAGATTGTTTTGAACTGATTGCTGAGTTTTTTTAAACAGCAGACAAACATAATCTGGACAGCATCCATGCAAAAAGGAATGGACAGGATTTCATTGCGACATTAAGATGGACAGGTAAGCAATACTGACTACAGGCGAGTCCCACCTTCCAATCAACAGATAATGAACTGCTCTGGGATTTTAGGAAGATTTTATGAAAACAGACATTTCTTCAATAAATATTCTGATCTGTAGCAGCTCTTCAGAGCTTTAGTAGAACTCTTTCTCATCACCTGCTAGCTTCAATTAACTGGAAATGCCAGAGACTGAACCCAGGACAAGCCTGTACCTCACCACTGAACTTACGTCCTTCTCTCTTTATGTCCTTCTCATGAAACGCGTAATGAACAAGACAATCCACCACAATCACGCAGGTGTGGAACAGTGTACCCCACTGTTGCACAGGGAGCATTTCATCAACACAGGTGGGAAGAGAGCAGCTCCTGCAGGAACAGAGACCACGGTCTGCTCCCAGTGAGGGTTTTGACATGAATTCTGGAATGGACATTTCCTCTGAAGAAACATACACATTTCCAGAAGCTCGATAAGCCTTTTAAACAGAGATAGGGAAACATTTGGCCCTCCAGCTGTGGCTGGGCAACATCTCCCATCAGCCCCAGACAGCATAACTAGGGTTCAAGAATGATAGGAGTTGTAGTCCAGTAGAAGCTGGAGGGCCACAGGTTACCCATCCCTGTCTCAAAATACCTTTTCTGATTTCCCTAAGAAATAGATTTTATATATTAGATTCTTTTCAATTTCATTTATCTCAACCATAAACCACCACAAAACAGTAAGGGCAGTTTAATAATGAGAACAGATCAAACCAGCAGATAACACCAACCCTAAAATACCGTTTATCCAATATATGCAGTTTTGATTATATTTTGTGGCGGCCAAGCCAAGAATTGGCTGCCATCTGTTTTATAGAGTTCTTGCTAACCTTTCTGCAATATATGTTATTTTAAGCATTACCCTCCTGAGTTCCTTAAGGAGGTTATAATCTTAGCTGATTTAAAAACACCATACCACGAAACTGATGTTTCCTATTTCCATAAACTCCTTTCCCAAATTTGGAACCTAGTATGTGAAACCCGTTTTAAGGTTTTAAATATTTTAATGTACTAAAAAAATCAGCTTAAAAAAACCTGTTAGCCACCTTTTGTTCGCTGTCTCGGTTGTCCAGTTGAACCAGAAGGGCAGGATATAAATGTAATAAATAAATATATATCATTGTCCCCACTAGATGGCACTAAGAGATCAAAGTAACTTGGGAAGGAAAAATCCTTACCAGAAAGAAAGAGTACAGAAAGAGAGTGTGATTGTGTGAGAAGAGAAAGGTACAAAGGCTAGAGGAGTTGCAAAGATGACTTATAAACCGTAAGAACCTCCAAGAGCTTTTTATGTAAAAACCGCCCAGTATACGTACCAATATACATACAGTATACGTACCGATATACGCTACAGTATACGTGGTGCTGTGGGTTAAACCACAGAGCCTAGGACTTGCCGATTAGAAGGTTGGCGGTTTGAATCCCCGCGACGGGGTGAGCTCCCGTTGCTCGGTCCCTGCTCCTGCCAACCTAGCAGTTCGAAAGCACATCAAAGTGCAAGTAGATAAATAGGTACCACTCCGGCGGGAAGGTAAACGGCGTTTCCGTGCGCTGCTCTGGTTCGCCAGAAGCGGCTTAGTCATGCTGGCCACATGGCCCGGAAGCTGTACGCCGGCTCCCTCGGCCAATAAAGCGAGATGAGCACCGCAACCCCAGAGTCATCCGTGACTGGACCTAATGGTCAGGGGTCCCTTTACCTTTACCCATACCGAGGCAAGACATCCTAGGCAATCAGAGGAACGTAAGACTCTCTGGCTGGACCAGCCCAGTGGCCCATCTAGTCGAGTGCCCTGTGCTCACAGTGGCCAACCAGATGCCTGTGGGAAGCACACAAGCAGGACATGAACGCACCCTGCCCACCTGCAACTCCCAGCACCTGGTACTCAGAGCCACATTGCCTCTGACAGTGGAGGTAAGAGCACAGCCATCATGGTTAATTGATATAGCCTTTGCCTCCATGAATCTGTCTCATCTCCTTTTAAAGCCATCCAAGTGGGTGGCGCTCACTGCCTTTTGTGAAGCCAATTCCATAGTTTAGCAATACCCTGAGTGAAGAAGTACTTTCTTTTGTGTGCTCTGAATCCTCCAGAACGAGATCTAGTTACAAGAAAGGGAGAAAAACCTTTCTCTATCTACTTGATCGCACCATGTATAATTTTATGCATCCTTATCATGTCAACTCTTACGTGTCTTTTTTTCTTAACTAAAAAAGGCCCAAAGTGATGGCTCTACTGTCTTTTTAGGCCACAAAAGAGTACCGTATTTTTCGCCCTATAGGACGCACCGTCCCATAAGGCGCACCTAGTTTTTTTGGGGGGAAATAAAGGGAAAAAAATTATTTCCCCCCCCAGGCGCGGGGCTGGGGCGGGGGAGGCCCGAGCTTCCCCCGACCCCAGCCCCCAAACAGGCAGCTCTCTGCAAGCAGTGGGAGCCCAGCGCTGGCTCCCGCTGCTTGCGGAGAGGTCCGCGAAGCCTGGACACACTGATCTCAGCGCGCGCAGGCTTCGGCATGCCGGCACCTCTCCGCAAGCAGCAGGAGCGCTCCCGCTGTTTGCGGAGAGGTCCGCGAAGCCTGGACGCGCTGATCTCAGCGCGCGCAGTCTTCAGCATGCGGGCACCTCTCCGCACGCAGCGGGAGCGCTCCCGCTGCTTGCGGAGAGGTCCGCGAAGCCTGGACGCGCTGATCTCAGCGCGCGCAGGCTTCAGCATGCCGGCAACACTCCGCAAGCCGCGGGAGCGCGCCCGCGGCTTGAGAGGTCCGCGAAACCTGGAGAGCGAGAGGCGTCGGTGCGCACCTCGCGCTCTCCAGGCTCCACGAAGCCTGCATTCGCCCCATAGGACGCACACACATTTCCCCTTCATTTTTGGAGGGGAAAAAGTGCGTCCTATAGGGCGAAAAATACGGTAACTCTTAATTTCAAGGTTGTGGGTTCAAGTCCCACATTAGGCAAAAAGGTTCCTGCATTGAAGGGTGGGGCTAGATGTCCCTTGCAGTCCCTTCCAACTCTGATTTGTATGATTCTATGAAATGAAATGAAAGGACGTGGGTGGCGCTGTGGGTTAAACCACAGAGCCTAGGACTTGCCGATCAGAAGGTTGGTGGTTCGAATCCCCGCGACGGGGTGAGCTCCCGTTGCTCGATCCCTGCTCCTGCCAACCTAGCAGCTCAAAAGCATGTCAAAGTGCAAGTAGATAAATAGGTACCGCTCCGGCGGAAAGGTAAACGGTGTTTCCATGAGCTGCTCTGGTTCTCCAGAAGCGGCTTAATCATGCTGGCCACATGACCCGGAAGCTGTACGCCGGCTCCCTTGGCCAATAAAGCGAGATGAGCACCGCAACCCCAGAATCGTCCATGACTTGACCTAATGGTCAGGGGTCCCTTTACCTATGAAATGCATAAAACAGATGTGCAGTACTTTCTAAGAACCATGGTTGTCTGATGGACACCTTATGAGCACAAACTGGTTGAGTGGTTTCAAAGCCATTTTAATGAAAACAGACAAAACATTTGCTATTCATATGACATGGTATTTCCAGTGCTCATAAATGTTCAGTGCCTGTTCAAAGGCACAATATCAGTTATATTTACTGCAAGAGAAAATCTATGTAGGGCAATCTATTACAGGCACAAATGTAGGCTACTTGAGAAGGATTTTAATAGGACAAAAGAAGAATGCTATTTGAAACTCAATGACTGTAGGAAAAGCATTGCTTCAGTAAGTTACACACAATGGATTGGATAAAAAAAAACACAAGGAGAAGGAAAAGATGCATTAGTGCTACTCCCTGGACTCCTGAGCAAGAACAATCAGAAGAATTCTTGCAGAACTATGAAGCACCTATGAAGATGCTTAAACCTAGCTAGATCTCTGGCTCATCTAGGCTGTATAGGTGCCAGCGGAAGAAAACATTTACAACCCCTCACCTACACTGGCTGGCAGCAACTCTCCAGGTATCAGGCAGAAATATATATTTCCTAATCCTGCTAATAGATAGATAGGGGGCAATGGCTTCCTAGAATCTCCTGCATGAAAAGCTTGTGTTCCACCAAAAAGCATTGACCCCTTGCTGATTTTAAATTGTTTTTCAAAATATATTCAACATCTATGGAGAACTCTTCTACCAACAGATTTACTTTTCCAATAATTAATAAATGGCCACCTGTTTTCAATAAATTGGTTGCATCATCAATCTTCTGTAGGTTTTATACAACAGTGATTTGGAATACACAAGCACTGGAATATTCTAGATAATGGTCGGCATTATCTGTTCTGTAATACTCAGCATATAAGACAGTAAAGGAACCACTTCTTAGTATGATTATTTTTACAACAGTTTGGTGGGAAAGAAACAACAGCCCAAAGAAACTGAACATGTAGTTTTGTAATAAAGCTTGTTGCTCTTACAACTGTATAGATATGCACATGGGAATAAGTTCCAGTGAATGAAATAGGACTTACTTCTGCAGAAAGTCACACAGGTTTGCACATTTTTTAACTGCATTCCTAATCTTTAGCCAGTATTTCCTTACAATCAGTCATGGCTACCATAAATTATAAATTTCATATGTAACATTTCTACACTGGGTTACAACAGTAGAATAGCATGCTGGTACTTTTTGGCGTAGTTCTTGTTTTCAACTTATTCTCAGAGCACCATAAACTGGCCATAATTTTCAGGTAAAAGATGCAATTCCCTCTTGAAATCTATAGAGCAGGGTGGACGCAACCCGTGGGCTACATGTAGCCCTGGAGGCCTTTTTTGGCGGCCCTCAAGTAACCTTTTACCCCACAGTCCTCACCCCAGAGCGTAAGCCAGTGGTGTCCAAACTTTTTTCAAAGAGGGCCAGATTTGATGAAGTGAAGGGCTGTGAGGGCCGACCAAAGTTGTTAACCTTTTTTTTTAGGATTAAAATTGTTGCCACAGGGGCCAAATTAAACCGACCGGCAGGCCAGATTAGGCCCCCAAAACGAACTTTGGACATGCCTGGCATAGGCGAAGCACTGGGATTTAGAAAGGAGGCATGAGGGCTCTGACAGGGTCCTAGAGTCCTCCTGCCTCCTTCCCGAAGCCTAGTTAGCACTTGCTCAGCTTTGGGAAGGAGGTGGGCGGGCTCTAGCACCCTGCCAAAGCCTCGTGCCTCCATCCCAAAGCCCAGTGCCTCATTTACCTGGGTCATGAGGTCCTGGGGCGTCAAATTTTGGCCTCACTCTCCACTCCATGTGACGAGGCACTGTGTGGCCCATGGGTTCCGTAGTGAAGTACTCTTGCAACCCACTTGATATGAAAAGTTGGACTGCCTTGCTGTAGAGGAAATTGGGTTGTGGGTATGAACAGACCACACTGACACAGAACTCACCTCCTGCTCTTGTTGAAAGATAACAACTCTACCGCCTTTGTCTCCTGTTGCTAGCAATTCTCCAGAATGATTAAACTCTACTGTAGAAATTATATCTGCTGTATAATAAAGAGAAAAATGTATGTTAATATATTTTCTGTGTACATTTTCATGAAAGACATTTACACAGCAATCAGAAAAACTTGCACTATGATGAGGAAAACTTCCTCCTGCGATTTGGATTCAAGTTCCTTCTTATCCACAAAGCTCACCTTGGGCAGTCACAATTTCTTAGCACAACCTATTTCACAGGTTTGTTGTGAGAATATAAGGCAAGAAGAATCAGCAGGTATGTTGCCCTGATCTCTTTGGAAGAATAAACAAGCAGTTCTAAACTGTCAGCTGCACCAACCTTGCAAGGTTGTCACGAGGATACAATTGGGAAGGCAGGGAGAAAAGATGGGATGCACAAGGACACTTGACAACTGGTACACCATGACCCAAAAAAGGGGGGGCTCAAGGAACTTGCCTAAAGGCACCATTATTTAGCAAGCTCACATTTCATTCACTTTTGTGTCAAAGGCAAAACACATCAATAGCCACCACATAAGCCTTTCCATGGAGGCGCAGGTTGCAGCCACAGCAAAGGTGGCATTTTCCCATCTCTGCCTTATTAAGCAGTTGGTCCCTTACCTTTCTCGCCCTGACCTGGCCACAGTGATCCATGTGAAGGTCACCTCCAGGCTTGATTATTGTAACTCGCTCTACGCGGGGCTGCCCTTGAAGCTGATCCAGAAACTCCAGCGGGTGCAGAATGCGGCGGCGAGGCTCCTTACAGGGTTCTTGCCGCGGGATCACATTCATCCAGTGCTTTACCAATTTCACTGGCTCCCGGTGGAGTACAGGGTCAGGTTTAAGGTGCTGGTTTTGACGTACCTACGGGACTGCCTATCGTGGTATGCCCTGCGGAGGACCTTAAGGTCCACAAATGACAACATTTTGGAGGTCCCAGGTCGCAAGGTGGTTAGATTGGTCTCAACTAGGGCCAGGGCCTTTTCAGTACTGGCTCCGACTTGGTGGAACGCTCTGTCACAAGAGACTAGGGCCCTGCGGGCCTTGACATCTTTCCGCAGGGCCTGCAAGACAGAGCTGTTCCACCTGGCCTTTGGTTTGGACTCAGTCTGACCCTTATGTTTCCCCCTCCCCTTATGGTCTTGATCTATCAGCTACTTTTAAAATGAGGCTGCATTTTAAATTGCATTTTAACCTGTATTTTAAATTGGGTCCCCCCCCATTATGTTTTTACTGTGATTTTATTGGTGTTAGCCGCCCTGAGCCCGGCTCTGGCTGGGGAGGGCAGGGTATAAATAAAATTATTTTTTATCATCATCATCATCATCTGACTTCAGGCATTTCTCCTCATGTGACAAAACTGCTGTCTGAGGGTGAAACTGGTCCCACCCGTGAATCTTCTGCAGTCCGTGGGCTGGAGAAATGTCTGCAATAGGGAAACTTTTTAAATGCAATACAAGAATGTTCTTTTTGGGGTGTGTGCTCAAGATAGGGGACACAATGGCAGAGCCCAGCCCTCCCACTCGCTCAGTTGTTGACTGGGCAAAGGGGAAGTGGCAGCTGCTTCCCAGCAGCAAGCTACCCATTTGGAAGAAGCAGCCCACTGAGAAACCTTGAAGAGCATGAAGAGCCACTCCACAGGGTTGTTGAGAGGATAAAATGGGGAGAGGGAGAGCAGTGCATGGCACCTTGAGGTATCTGGAGGAAAGGCGGGATATAACAGTAAAGGCTGCAAAGGCAAATACATGCTCAAAGGAGCTTTGCTTGTTTCAGGATTTTTCTGCACCAATGCAGATTCATCAGCGGAGAAAGGGGCCTTTGCTCATTTCAAGATCCCACCACATTCAGTAGTATAGCAATGGCAGGGCTGAGGAGGCGGCAGTCTGTCACTCACCTTAACCTCCCCCTCCTGCAGCCATAACTTCCAATGATGACCACAGCCAACTGCAGTGGCGTGATGTTCACAAGGCAGCCACCACCACAGTGTAGGAAGTGGTCCACTGGTTCAGCCAGTTCAATACTATCTGCACTGACTGGCAGCAGCACTCCAGGGTTTCAAACTAGGGCCTCTCCCAGCCCTACCTGGAGATGGGGGGCGGGGAGAGATGAACCAGGGACCTTCCATGTGCAAAGGCAGATGTTCCAAAACTTCAGCTTTCCCTCCAAGTACTGCTATTCCACCTGTAAACCCCAAATTGGGGAGAGAAGCAGAAGTGGTCCCCTCACTCGCTCCCCCACATGCACACAGACATGCACTGTGCTGAGGCTTTTGTCTGGGAGCATCCAAGAGGTCTGGCTACTGGCATTCTGTGGATGCGTGAGGCTTAGTCACCCACTTCCAAGGTAGAAGGAAATGAAGGGCAGAGATGGACAGAGACAAAGGAAGAAGCTGAGCAGGCCCTAGCAACTGCTCAAGCACCCCTGAAGGGTACCCACCTCACACACGGGAACCATGGGAACCTTGTGGCACAAGGCAGGTTGCCAAGAACAAAACAAGACTGTTGTATTCGGTCTCCCCACCACCACACACTGCCTCAGCCTCAATGGTCCTGCAATACGAGGCCAGGGGAAGGAGGATCAGAGAGGAAGATAAGAATGCATTACGTTGCTTGTTGCTAAGAGCTGGCAGTTGGCCTTTGCTACCATTACCAATCTGCCCTTTTCTTGCAAACAGCCAAACAAAACGTTTTTGCGATCTTGTAGCAGTGCAATGATTTGAAAGCTCAAAGCCTAGAGAGTAAAGCTGAGCTGGAAAAAATATATATACAGTACAATATGTGGCATGTGTGTTTTTGCATGTATATGCACCAGGGCTGGATTTAGGTTTGATGAGGCCCTAAGCTACTGAAGGTAATGGGGCCCTTTATATGCCCAGCTGTCCTTTGTCAACAACAAATTGTCACTGTTTTTTGTGTTGAATATATGCTATAGAGTGGAACCTCCGGTTACGAACTTAATTCGTTCTGGAGGTCCGTTCTTATCATAAAACAGTTCCTAACATGAGGTGCACTTTCGCTAATGGAACCTTCTGTTCGCATCCTGGGGCAAAGTTCGCTTCCAGGAGCACCTACTTCTGGGTTAACGGAGTTCGTTACCCAAAGCGTTTGCAATGAGGATGGTATGTAACCAGAGGTATTACTGTATGGTTATTTATGGACCTAATAGGTATCTAAAGCCATTTGCACATAACAAAATATGTATTTTATCAAAGTAGTTGTTGAACTGAAATACAATTAAGAATAAGTATATTTATAGTGAAATACAATTAAGAAGAAGTATATTTGGGGGGGGCAAGAGAGTGGGGCCCCTAAATCCGGCACTGGTATGCACAGATGAATGAGATAAAAACAGGTTTGCCAGGTCTAGAGGTATGATCTGAGGTTTTAATGTCTTAGCATTACAGTGGTACTGCGGGTTAAGAACTTAATTTGTTCTGGAGGTCTGTTCTTAACCTGAAACTGTTCTTAACCTGAGGTACCACTTTAGGTAATGGGGCCTCCCGCTGCCACCACCACGCGATTTCTGTTCTCATCCTGAAGCAAAGTTCTTAACCCGAGGTACTATTTCTGGGTTAGTTGAGTCTGTAACCTGAAGCATCTGTAACCCGAGGTACCACTGTACTAGTCTTGGTATCTCCAAAGAGTGCAGAAACAGGCTCAAAGAGGCAGACTGTTTTCCACTTGGCTTGAAATTGTCTTCAGTTCCTTCTGCACCCCCAGCCACACACTGTCTAGTAAACTCACATGCTGCCTTCTGTTCCCACCAAAGCCCACATCCTACTCCCACCAGGGCCCTTCTCCATTTCACAAAGTTTCCTGACCTGCCAGGCAAAAGCCCCTCAGTTCCGGGCTCCATCCACTGGATCACAGAAGCCCCAGAAGCCCTGGTGACACAGGCTCATTTTCAAAGAACTCCAAACATTCCTCAGGGACTGGAAATAATTCCTTATTGGTCTCCTTGGCAGAGCCCATGTAGAAAACCACTTTTACACTCCAAAATCCTCAACCTCTGATATATAAAGTCAAAGCTAAGTTTTAACCTGAAAATACACTCTTCTGTGTCCTGTGAACTGCTGAGCATGTAATAATGAAACTGTTGACTACCCCTTTAATATCATCTCAGCTTACCATTTAAACTATTTTATATTTTCCAATTTATTTGCAGAAGGATCTCTCTGAACTCTTAATTATCTCTGACTGCTACTTGGCTCCAGTTCATGTTTCTGTATTTGTTTTCAAGGGTCCTTTGCAAACAGTGACCTGGTTCAGAAATCATGCCAGCATATAAATAAGGGATCTTAACTGTGCCTTTGGTATGAAACTGTATATCTGTGATCCAACAGCAACCCAAAAGCAGAAATTGTGGCTGGAAGCAAGTTGCCAAATATGGTGTGTGCTAACTATGGTTTGGAAGGATGTCTGAATTGACAACCCATGAACTAGTCTGGAGTGCTCAGCAGACAGAAAATGAGACCAGACGTGCAAGCACCTTTGAACCATGGCATGTCTGTATGCTCAGAGACTAAAATCATGGTTAAATTCTAAACTCAAATTAGAACAAGTCATGGTCTAAGCTGAGGCAACATACTTAAGTCCAAAACATTTATACCAGACAGTTCCTTGATTTGAGGATATTCTTCATTTGAAGCATCAAGCATATATCCTGGTTTGGAGTAGTAAAAAGGTAAAGGACCCCTGGACAGTAAAGTCCAGTCAAACTTGACTATGGGGTGTGGCACTCATCTCGCTTTCAGGCCGAGGGAGCTGGCGTTTGTCCACAGACAGCTTTCCAGGTCATGTGGCCAGCATGACTAAACAGCTTCTGGTGCAATGGAACACTGTGACGGAAGCCAGATTGCATGGAAACACCATTCATCTTCCTGCTGCAGCGGTACCTATTTATCTACTTGCACTGGTATGCTTTTGAAATGCTAGGTTGGCAAAAGCTGTGGCAGAGCAATGGGAGCTCAACCCGTCATGCAGATTCGAACTGCTGACCCAACAGCAAGCCCAAGAGGCTCAGTGGTTAAGACCACAGTGCCACCTGCGTCCCTGGTTTGAAGTACAGCCTGCCTCATTAGTGTGGATCATTGGCTTTAAAAAGGGATTGGGCAAATTCAATGGAGAGTAGGACTATCAATGGCTACTAATCATGATGGCTGTGTATTACCTCCAAGGTCAAAGGCAGCATGGCTCTGAATAACAGCTGCTGGGGAGTAACAGCAGGAGAGGCTATTGCCCTCGTGTCTTGCTTGTGGACTTTCCATAGGCATCTAGTTTGTCACTTTGGGTAACAAGATGGTCTTGTTCAGTATGGCACTACTTAACTGCTAAGACAGTGATGCAACTGAGCATGCTTTTACAATCCTGCCTGGAAATGCTGCTGTACTACTACTGGCAGGACAACCAAGAACAGTAAAATTGTCTGCATTGGAAGAACTGAGCCAACCTTGCAAGGGGGAGGGGAGGGGGAAAGAGAGAAAGGAGGGCTGCCAATGTGCCTCCAACAGTACACAGCTCAAAATTGGCTTTGGAAACTAATGCAGGATGGCACAATGCTATAAAGCCAATGTATTGACAGGAAAAAAAATGCTCCGAAAAGAGCTAAATCACCTAATTAATCAAAATGTGTACTTTGTGCAGGCAGTTAAGATGAGTCAGTAAAACCACTGAGTGCCTATTTTATACAGCATCTTGAAGGGAAAGTTGGGCGGGGGGGAACTACCAACAGAATATCAAAACATTATTATGGTCTCACCACAAGAAATAAGACCCAGGAACCTCTCAAGTGAACCTGGAGGACAACGCCCCGAGGCTTGTTGGCTTAAAACTTTTCTGGTATTGAAACTGGTCATTAACATATTGCAGGAGCTTCTCATGGTTTTCTCCAGCTGCCTATTGTTCAGTACAGATTTTGTAATTCATGGGGTGTGGAACCGTCTCTTAAAAGCTTCACTTTAAGAAACTAATCAATCGGGGGGGGGGGGCTTGTTGTCAATGGTCCCTTCGGGCATCACCTTGCAGCACTGGGATTTGTGCCGGCTTACAAGCAGGCGCAATTCCCAAATCCATCTATAAAAATCAGCATTCCCTCACAATCCCATCTCCACGTTCTCCAGTTAAACCCAACATGAATATCTCTGATTGGTCCTCTACACAATTTCCCTTCCTGATGTAGGTGAAACTGACAGGGCTCCCCCCCCCCCCTAAAATGAATTGGACCAATTTTAAGAAGGAAAATTTACTGCAGTGCTACAACTGAAAGTTAACATATCAGCAGATCTTAGCTTTTCAATTAAAATTTATCCAAAAGGCAACTTGCTTTTCCTTTGTGGACAAGCCTTCAATCTATTTTATCTCAAAGGGGTGGGGGAACATGAAGCTGCAAGGCTAAACAGAATGATGCTCTGTTAATAACTACAACACACAGTACCAAACTACTCCGCACATAAATAAGCCACTAGAGCAGTAACCAGGCAAGCATTTGGAAGCAAAGAAACTCACCGTTAAAAATAGTGCGTTCCCATACCTTGGTCAAAGAAACAAGCAGACATCAAGGCACTGGTGTTGAACTGGATGGATTTAATTGTGTTTGAGAACTGACAAGGGAAGCATTTCATCTTCCGCAGCACACCGATTTGCTTGTGTATTTTCATCTGTGTTAACACCCTTGTTGCCAAACAAAATGAATGCGACTCTTTTCTTTGAAATGGTAACTGGTATCTCAGTGATAATTACGGGGGAGGTTATTTTCGTCCTTCAGTGCTGCAACGGGCAACAGAGAATCCAGAGAACGTGCCACTTCCTGGAGTCTCCTCCCCTCTGTGCATGCTATTTTTTGCTACAGTCTCTAGGTGGGGGCCTTGCAAGCGCACAGGGCTGCTCACCCCACTGCCCAGGAACCTGCAAAGCGATCCCTACCACAAGGAGGACGTAAAGGCAAAGGACGAACAGCAGAGAAGCCAGTGTCCCTGAAGTGTGTCACAGCACTCAAATATGCACAGCATCCGATATACTGTGCAGCATGCTCTTCCTTGTGCTCACAATCCAACACAAACAAAATAAATCACTGAGAGAGAGACAACAGCCATCTAGCACTGCACACCAGCTGATATACCTTGAAAGCGAAGGTCAAATCAATGAAGACAACCTGCTGACAGATCCACCAGAAGTCACACCAGGAAAGCACATGATCCATCTTCCCTTTAAATAAGCCGACGTTGGACATTTTTTTCTTAACAGCAGGTGCCTCAGGAGTCCAAGACAGCCTTGAATAGAACCAGCAATTGGGAGCTGCTCCTGAGCCCTGAACCATTATCTGTCCTTCATGACCCCATGGTCTCCCACCCCACTCCGCCCATCAATTGTGCCTCATTATCTTTCCTCTCACCTTTTATCACTCCCTGCCGAAGTGCAGTGGAAACATGTGGATGAAGCCATTCTATGGAAGTCTGCATAATCAGAGTCAGGCCTTCTTGTGTAAAACTCTACCCCTAAGGAGCCATATGCCATAAATCTCGCCCGCCCCAATAAGACCTTTCTTATGGAAGTCTCAGAAAATATAACACACATGTTTTAAGGCAGGAATGGGGAGACCTTTTTCAGTCCAAAGACCACATTTTACTGGTATAGGTGCAATTTATTCAGAACAAAAGGCAAAATTAATTGTGAACAATGTAGTGACAGAAGAGTTCAAGACTGAGAAAGGGACACGACAAGGCTGCCCAATTTCTCCACTGCTTTTTATATTGGTCCTTGAGGTTTTGTTAAACATGATAAGAAAGGACCAAGAGATCAAAGGTATACAAGTGGGAGTTAAACAGTATAAATTGAAAGCATTTGCTGATGATCTAGTATTGACCCTACAGGAACCAGAATCTAGCACAAAAAGGGTATTGGAACTGATTCAAGAATTTGGGCAAGTAGCAGGTTTTAAGCTGAATAAGATGAAAACTAAGGTTTTAGAGAAAATTTTAACTGTAAATGAGAGAGAGAAATTTCAGGAAGAGAGAGGACTAACATTGGTTAAGAAAGTGAAATATTTAGGGGTTAATATGACTGCTAAAAATGTAAATTTATTTAAGGATAATTATGAAAAATGTTGGATTGAAGTGAAAAAAGACTTAGAAATATGGTCAAATTTGAAGTTATCACTGTTAGGCCGAATTGCTGTGATAAAAATGAATGTGCTGCCAAGGATGTTCTTGTTTCAAACATTACAAATTTTGGATAAAATGGATTGTTTCAAGAAGTGGCAGAAAGATATTTCCAGATTTGTTTGGCAGGGCAAGAAGCCTCGAATAAAATTTAAGATATTAACTGATGCTAAAGAAAGAGGTGGATTTGCCCTGCCAGACCTAAAACTCTATTATGAATCAGCTGCTTTTTGTTGGCTGAGAGAATGGCTGCTACTTGAAAACACTGATGTGTTGGACCTAGAAGGTTTTAATAATGTACAGTGGTGCCCTGCAAGACGAATGCCTCGCAAGACGAAAAACTCGCTAGACGAAAGGGTTTTGCGTTTTTTGAGTCGTTCCGCAAGACGAATTTCCCTATGGGCTTGCTTCGCAAGACGAAACGTCTTGCGAGTTCTTGCGAGTTTGTTTCCTTTTTCTTAAAGCCGCTAAGCCGTTAATAGCCGCTAAGCCGCTAATAGCTGTGCTTCGCAAGACGAAAAACCCGCAAGACGAAGAGACTCGCGGAACGGATTAATTTCGTCTTGCGAGGCACCACTGTATTTGGTTGGCATGCATATTTGTGGTACAATAAGGTAAAAGTACATAAAGCGTTTAAAAATCATATTGTTAAGAAAAGCATTGTTTAATGTATGGATAAGATATAAAGATTTGTTAGAAAAGAAAACCCCAAGATGGTTGTCACCAATGGAAGCGAAGGCACAGAAAAAACTCAATATGGAGGACAAATGGCCGAAATATTGGGAAATTCTGGAACAAGAGGGAGACAGACTAAAATTGCAGAGCTTTGAAAAATTGAAAAATAAAGTGCGAGATTGGCTCCATTATTATCAAATAATGGAGGCATATAATTTGGACAAAAAAGTTGGTTTCCAGGTGGAAAAATCAAAATTGTTAGATTCCAAAATTAAGAATTTGTCAAAAATGTATAACTTGCTGTTGAAATGGAACACTCAGGATGAAACGGTGAAATCTGCTATGATTAAATGGGCACAAGATGTTGGACATAATATAATGATGGCTGACTGGGAACAGTTATGGACCACAGGTATGAAATTTACGGCATGTAATGCCCTAAGAGAAAACTTAATGAAAATGATTTATAGGTGGTACATGACACCAGTCAAGCTTGCAAAAATTTACCATTTGTCTGAAAATAAATGTTGGAAATGTAATGAGACTGAAGGTACATTCTTTCACCTTTGGTGGACGTGCCCAAGGATTAAGACATTCTGGGAGATGATTTATAATGAAATGAAAAAGGTATTTAAATATACCTTTTTGAAGAAACCAGAGGCCTTTCTCCTGGGCATGGTCGGCCAAACGGTGCCAAAGAAGGATAGAACCTTTTTTATGTACGCAACAACAGCAGCAAGAATACTCATCGCGAAGTATTGGAAGACACAAGATTTGCCCACCTGGGAAGAATGGCAGATGAAGTTGATGGACTATATGGAACTGGCGGAAATGACTGGCAGAATCCGAGACCAGGGAGAGGAGTTGGTAGAAGAAGACTGGAAAAAGTTTAAAGATTATCTACAGAAATATTGCAAAATTAATGAATGTTAGAAAAATGTTGAAATGAAGTTATATGGCTTTAGTAGAAATAATATAAGGAATTAAGTACAGATAGGTTAATAGAGTATTAAAGGAAAAAAATAAGGTTAGAATGAGTTTAGATAATTATAGGATTGAAAACAGAGGAAGATGGAAAGGAATTGCTGAAATAATTAACAGAAGTGGAATACAAAAAGGGAGGTGTGAGGAGGTCGTGGAAATAAGTGAATGAAAGATGGGATAATGAAATTGTTTGATTTATTTTATTGTCTTAATCTTGTTTTGTTAATTTGATGTGTTGTATTGTATTGTTTTTCCTTTTCTTTTCTTTTTTCTTTTAGTGTTTTTGGAAAAATAATAAATATATATATATTTTTTTAAAAAGGCCACATTTTACTGTACTCCAGGCTATGTTCTGAGCAGCGCTAGAAACCAGCCAGGTGCCAGATTCCCGAGACTCTTGCATTGCAGGCGGTTGGACTAGATGATCCTTGGGGTCCCTTCCAAATCTGCAATTCTATGAAAAAGACCGTGTGTGTGTATGTGCGGAAGCAGGGTGTGGTTTAAGGAGACAGTCCCAAGGGCCAGATAGAGAACCAGAGCACTGTGTTTGGCCCCTAGAGCCTGAGGTGCCCTCCTGCCCATTTCAAGGAATGAAGACCCAGCTTTAACAAACGTTTCAAGGCCCATGAATCTTAAGCAGTTCTAGGCAACATGGTGCTTGCCAGATATTGTGGACTACAGCTTCCATCATCCTCAAACAACGGTTGAAGGGACTCATAGTTTGTAACAAATAGAACAAGGGTTCCCGATATGTGGTATATCAGGGGTCCCCCAACTACGGCCCGCAGGCTCATAAATCCAGCCCGCTAGCTGAAACTGTGCCGGGTTTCTGAAGGGCTGTCACATGGAGCATGCTTGTTTTCTCCTGCTCTGGAGGGTAGGACTTCAACGGCTTCAAGTTACAAGAAAGGAGATTCTGACTAAACATTTGGAAAAACTTTCTGCCAGTAAGAGCTGTTTGGCAGTGGAACAGACTCCCACAAGAGGTGGTGGACTCTCCTTCCTTGGAGGTTTTTAAACAGAGGTTGGATGGCCGCCTGTCATGGATGGATTTAGCTGAGATCCCTGCATTGCAGGGGGTTGGACAAGATGACCCCTTGGTCCCTTCCTTGGTCCCTTCCAACTCTAAAATTCTGTGATTCTATGATCCCCCCCCCCCGAGTAAGTTTTGTATGTGAAAATGGATCAAATTTGTTTTTGATTAGCTAATATATTGCACATCTTTCTAACTGTTTCAAGAGTCATTTGAACTTTCAAATATTTTTATCTTAATACTGTCCAACCAATTTAAGGTGAAATATATGTGTACTCTAAAGATTGACCAAGTTGGGAAATTACGATCATCAGCAGGTCTCCAACGTTTAGGACGTCAATAGATAATTTTATTGTTTTATCTATTTTGTAAATCGTTTTGAAGTTTTTTTCTACAATCAAGCAGTATATAATTTTAAGGAAATAAATAAATAAACAAATCGGGGCTTGCTTTTGACCATATTCCCCCATGGAGCATTAATGTATCCATACCACCAGAAGACTGAATTGGCATGGGGGAGAGAACACAGAGGTTGATTTCAGGACACAAAACTGAGGAGTGAAAACAAAACACCTTGCAATTGGTTGGGAATCAGAGCACAATCAGCACAGCTATGAATGCAAGGTGTACAGCTGTTGAGGGTAACCTCTGGCCCTCGAGATGTTTCTGATCCAAAACTCCCACTATCCCTGTGCTTGCTGGGGCTGATGGGAGTTGTAGTTTAGCAGCATCTGAAGGGCCAAAGGTTCAGCACGCCAGATGTATAGGAACAATGTAGTATAATACTTGGGAGGGTGTGGAGAGGTAGAGAGAGGTAGAAAATGTTTCCAAAATTGGCTCAAATCAGACAAGTCACATGACTCGCTATATCTTACAGCAGGCTTCCTCAACCTCGGCCCTCCAGATATTTTTGGCCTACAATTCCCATGATCCCTAGCTAGCAGGCCCAGTGGTCAGGGATGCTGGGAATTGTAGTCTCACAACATCTGGAGGGCTGAGGTTGAGGAAGCCTGCCTTACAGAATAAAACTAGGTATCAGATGATCAAACATTTCACATGTTTAAGAGTGCAGCAGTTCTGCATTTCAGTGAGGTTTGCATACAAGCAGCAGTTTGATGGACTTTGTTTTGGGACACCCACGTCTGCCTCAGTTTGATATGTTTGAATGCAGACACTGATGTATTTAGCACTATCTGCCTGGCAGTTAAATCCTTTATATAGAAACTCTTGTGCACTGAGAATTATTTCAAAATCCAGTCCAGTTCCCACACCTGTCCAAACTTCCTAACTGCCAAATCATAAGCTGGTAAGTGGGACTCGCCTAGAAAGGGCAACTTGTAACACCTGACTTTCCATACACAGCATGTGAGAAAGTGCCACTGATGCCTTTGCAGACATAGTTATTCTTGATAGTGTAGTATATTTGGCAGGTACTGACATCTTCATCTAAATGTCACTCTTTTGAACAACGATCTTACTAACAATATGAAGACTACTTCATTACATTTTTAAGGTGGACCCATGAAATATTAGTGTAAGCAAAAGATGTGCATAAATGCTCAGTGTATTTGCAAGAGAATGTGCCACATGCATATGTGCCCAGAAGGTGGAACTTTTTCCCCACTCCCTGGTTCCTATGACTGGCTCCTCTAGGTGGTACATATTAATGCAATATCACCAAACCTTGGTGGTTTAATAAATATCATGGTACTAAGTGTGGCAAACATGTCATGATTATCTCAACATATAACCAAAAAAATGTTCAGAGAACAAGATTTGAAATGAATACATGTTAACATCCAAGTATGTATGTATTCCTTACACAGAGACTCTGACCTTTGTTAACTTTGGATATTTTCAGTCCTGTGCGTCAAACTTTTGCTGGGTCAGCATCATTGCTGGAAGGCATCTGATAACGGGCATGTCCGGCAATACATTCTTTTTGGTCTGAATTTGATGCCCCTATAAATTTTGTATTGCGAAAATCCTCAATATTTGCTAAGTGCCCATAGACTTTTAAATTATATTCCTGTAGTGAAGATGGCAAGAGCCATGGCTGCACTGAGCTCCTAGGGATTCATCAACTGTGCTGTCTGGCTGGTCCCCACACCACCAACACCGCCACCTCCACTGCTGCCACAAACAAGGGGGAGCCAGGGGTGCCCAACGCAAAAACCGAGGAGCCCATGTGGAGGGTGTCGTCCCCCCCGATGATCTCGGCCCCACCAGGACTGAGATCGTCCCATCAACAACCCAACAAAGCTCAGAGGCCTCCGGAGCTGAACAAAAAACCCACAGCAGAGCCCTGATCACTCACCAACCGCTGCCGCTGCCACAGCCACTACCACTGCAGCCACCAAGGAAAAAAGAAAGAGGAGACCAGGAGAACCAGGGAGGCTGCGAGGAAGAGCACAACTAAATCTAAATAACTTTTTTAAAAATTAAAATGGTGGCGCCCATTAAGGAGGCCTGAACCAGCAGAGGCCACATCCTCAGACCGCCGCCTCACTCCAGGCCTCATGCGCCCTGCAGGGGAGCCAAAACTGCCTGTGAGCCAAACTACTGTGGTTTTTGTGTGTGTGTGTGTGTTTTTGTTCTTTTAAAAATCCTTTATTCTTATTTTTTCATTTCCCCCCATGCCTTCTCACTATTATTATCATCACTTTCTATTTTTTTAATGTTTTTTTTATTTCAACACTTCGTTTTAACTTTTAAATTCTCTACTCTTTCCATACCCCTTTCCCCCCCTGAATAAATAAAATATTATATACCTATATACATATATTTCCCCATCCATTTTCAACAGTACTTTTTTGTTTTTTGTTTATTTTTATCTCTTTGCTCTTTTATAGTATAACTTGAATCACCAGCACAATTTTTGGTTTTTAATACAATCCTGCTAGCCTTTAATTTTTAATTCTTAGCTGTGAACTCCTAACCTCACACCCCAATCTTGACTCCAGTACCTCATTTGTGCGCATGTGTGTGAGTGTGTGTTCACATACAACCCCATCCCCAGATTTAAGGGGTGCGAGGGGAGCAGAGAGGGTGGAATGCTCTGTTGCAGAAGCAAAAATCCTTGCACTTGAGGGAGCGTTTGCATACTGCTACTCTGGATATGACCCTTGCTATTAGAAGAAGAACATTTGGAAAACATAGAGCAGAATTTGGCAACCTTTCTGCCATGGGCGTAGCCAAGGGGCGCTGGGTGAGGCAGCTGCCCTGCCCCCCAAAATCAATAAAAATACATAGCAAACTGAGTTTATGTCCCCCCTAACAAAAGGCCTGGCTACGCCCAGTCTCTGCTCCACAGAGCTTTGTGTAAAAGGACAATCTGCCTTAACTGGAGGAGGGAAGCGATAAGAAGCGGGTGGACAAAAAACATGAATGCCATAAATGGCAATCTTTAAACGGATGCAGGAGGCTTGTGGAGAATGAGGAGGCCCACAGAGAAGGCAGGGCAATAGTGAGCCATTGTCCGGCAGGCTTCAGCACAAAGCTTTTAATGCAGTCATTTTTAAGGGGAAGGAGGAACATAAGAGAGAGGGGGAGGGAGCCTTGATCAAAGACTAGCATAATGAAAAGTGTGTGCCGTGTTAGAATTGAATTACAGATAAACTTGTGACCTGTTCTTGGACAGCACACAGATGGGTGTGTCTGAGTACAGCAAGGCTAAGGAACCTCAAGTGAATAGCTCTCCATTTCAAGTCTTAAAGGCAGCAAAGGAGTATCTTATGGCTGCCACCTGAAAAGCCAAACCATTAAAAACAGAGCAGACCCTGCTCTCTTAGCCACATATGCTTGATACACAGCAAGAATCAGGGCAGTATCCTTCCCAGAAAACAACAAACCTTTGCGCTATAAAAGAGGATGATTTCTAGTGCTGGTGAATGACAAACCCAGACAGGTCCACGCACTTTCCCCAGTATTTTAAAGCAGTGTTAGAAACTCTGATATATGAGCAAGGCACCAAATGGTTCCTTAAATCAAGGTTACAGTCACCAAAACAGAATGTCTAGTTGCCATTTTGGGGTGAGATGGCTCTAATTGATTATCACTGTGTTCCTTCCAGATACCTTGTTCTATGTCAGGGTGGGGTCTGTAGCAGAATGCATTGCAAATAGCCCCGCATCCAGTTCCCAGGATCTCCAGGCAAGGCTAGGGGAAGCCTCTGTCTGAAGCCCTGGAGAGCCAGTCAGTGGAGACCAGCCTTTGCAAACAAATGCTTTTTGACTACAACTCCCATCAGCCCCTGCCAGTACAGCCAGTGGTCAGGGATGATGAGCAGTTGTAGTCCAGGAAGACCTGGAAGGCTGTTCTTGTCAGAATTGGCCTAAGGCAGCTCCCTGGCTTTTTAGCATTAGATAACAGTGAAGGGAGTTATACAGGGCAGAAATTTCTGGCTTTTGTTTTCTTTCTCTCTCTCTCTCTTTTTTAATGGGGCCATACTAACTGGATCCTGCTTCAGGACCACTCAGTAACCACAAAGCTTTTTGCTGAGTGTGGATGGTACACTATTTGAAAACAGCTGTCTGCTGGGGCTGCCCGGCCTGTGTCAATCAACATGTTCTGCTGCGAAGAAATGGGTGGGGGGTGCACCTCGCAGATCTTAGCCCTCCGTACTGCAAAAGGATGGGCTCACTGTTTCTCCCCCCCCCCCACTGCAATGGGATCTGAGCACAGGGTTTCGATTGTCCATCTGAACCCTAACCCAACACTTCCAAACAGGTACTACAGCTACACACCTATTTTCCACAGTTTGTGAGAAACAATCATTTCTTCAATATATTTTTATATCCTTTTTTATGTGTACGATTGATTATCAGTTGAACACCTGGCTAGCTCAGATGACTACCCTGAGCTAGGTTAAGAACTTTGAGAACTTAAGGAAGAAAAGTCACTTGATCCAGGGACAGTCCATGTATATATTCACCTATTCCTATCTCATTTTCTTAATCGTGGCAAGGACCATTTATAACGTAGGGATAGTCTTCACAACAGTGAGCAGGGCAGTGGGGAGGAGTAAGTGAAGACAAGCGACAACAATTGCGGTAACTATAACTGCTCCTGCTCAGGCTGCACAGAAAATTTATTCTGATTGTGCCGATAAAATATAACTGACAGAATTCTACAAGATGTGGTATTAGTGTGTGAAAGCAGTCAAAATCCAATGATTCCCAGGCATGTACCTAAGCAATTATGTGGGCTTCTACCATTTCCCCTTCCAACAGGAAGTTCTTGGGCTTCAACAAATTACCGTATTTTTCGCTCTATAGGACGCACTTTTTCCCCTTCAAAAATGAAGGGGAAATGTGTGTGCATCCTATGGAGCGAAGACGCCATAGCCCCGCTACCCTCTCCCGGCTGGAGAGGTGACGCGCGGCTATGGCTGGAGCCTCTATAGCCGCGCGTCACCTCTCCAGCCGGGAGAGCACGCGCGGGGCTAAAGAAGCCCCCGGCTGGAGAGGTGACGCGCGGCTATGGCAGGATCCTCTTTAGCCGCGTGCCACCTCTCCAGCTAGGAGAGCGCGTGAGGGGCTAAAGAAGCCATAGCCCCGCGACCCTCTCCCAGCTGGAGAGGTGACGCGCGACTATGGCAGCAGCTTCTCCGCTGCGCCTTTCCGCTACTCCCTGACCTGCTCTTTGGGGCTTGTGGTGGGCTTCCCCCCGCCAGCCCCAAAGAGCAGGTCGAAAGGAACCTGAAGCCCGGAGAGCGAGAGGGGTCGGTGTGCACCGACCCCTCTCGCTCTCCAGGCTTCCAAAGTAGCCGCCTGAACACACCTTAAACGGCACCTTGTTTTAGAGCGGGAAAACAAGAGGGGGAAAATTCTCCCCCTCTCTGCGCAGCGCCTCCTGCCGCTTCGCTGAAGGAGCGCTGGGCAGAGAGGGGGAGAATTTTTTTTCTTGTTCTCCCCCCTCTAAAACAAGGTGCGTCCTATTGTCCGGTGCGTCCTATGGTGCGAAAAACACGGTATGTTCTGGGGACCAGCTGGAGTGACATGGAGGAAGAAGCATGGTCCTTTGGATCTGTCACCATGTTTTAAAAATAAAGAAGTTATCTAGTTAACTATTCATCATTATATTCACTCTCATCAGACTTATTCCACAAGAATAATAATTGATGACATCAATCTGCACAATATGTATCTGAATAAGTTCAAAGTAACTGAGCCAGTTTTAAAACCATTTTACATTAATGTCTGCATCAGATCTGAACAGGATGAGACAGTATGGCAGATGTAAGCTTGTCTGTGGGGAGAGGAGATGCTACTATCTGCTCAGAGACCCAAACTGATCTTGGTTAGGCTTCTAATTGCCAAGAAATAGGAATACCTCCCTGTGAAGTCATCATACTCCCAATCAACCCAGGAATATCAGCTGAACAAAGCACTATGGCCCTTTAGCACCCCAACATGTCTAATTCTTTAGGACCCACACATGCCAGGTTGCCTCCCATACAAAAGCTGCCCTTCTCAAACCTTCATTTTGAGAATGCCAAAGTACGGTGCACTAATGAAATAAATGTTATGCCCAGCTTCATCTGCCCAATTTACTCCAGCAGTAGAATGCGGGAGATGTGGCACTTGTCGGGTGCGCCAGACATTAATATTGTTCCTTGATTAATAGAAAGGCCACATTTGCATACTGAAAAGCAAATACACAAATACTATTTGCAGAAGTTGCATCAGTTATTCTGCACACACATAAAAGTATACACAATTCTGCTTTCTCATCCTAACCATGCCTACTCAGAAGCAGTGTTCAAAATTAGTCCGGCGTCAGTCGCATTTTGCAACAGGCAGCTGGGCTTTTGGGAGAATGTGGCGATGTCCAGGCACCATATTTTGTGCCTTGGTGGCGGCAGTGGCAGAGGATGGCAAAGAAGGCCAAAGCGGGGTGCTGACAGCTGCAGCAAGAGGTATCGCTGTCGCTGCTGCTGCAGAGCCATTTGTGGCTGCCACCGGGAGCCCCGCCAGCGCTGTGAATGCAGAGCTGCTCACTCTGCTTCTGCAACTTCAGCAAGACCAGTGACTGCAAGATGTCTGCAGCCCAGTATTTGGGCTCATGGATGCACTGAGATAAACAGGCACCAATTAAAATAAAGTAAACAAGCACCCATGACAGCAGGATTTATCCCCCATTCATCAGCTGACGAGAAGGGTCAAATTCTGCTTAGTTCAGCAGAATTCAATGCAAGCCCCTTACTGAATTAAGGGTCTTGATCCTGAATCAGTTTCAATTCTGAGTCTTCAAAGTGCCAAGTCATTGTGATGTCAGGCAACAGATAGGCAGGTGTCTCTGCCCACATGTCAAACAATCTTGATGAAGATATGGCTCACGCAACCAAAAATGCTCTCCACTTCTGACATGCATCCAGAGTTTTGCTCAAGGGGATTCTTATGCCTTTAAGGTTCAGAGAAGATAAATGCATAACCGCAGTTACCCTTTAATTATGTACGGTCTTATGAAATGATCTGGTGCCACAGTTGTAAAATTCAGAGCACCACCATTAGCTTATATAAAACCAAACATTTGTCTTGACAGAGCTGCATGTTTTCATGACATGGCATCTTGGATGCTTGAGGATGCTGGCACTTGTAAACATCCTCCCCCCAAAGTATTTCCCAAGGGCCTTCAATTTAAGGAGAGTTCACTTAACTGATTCATCTGTTTGTTTTAATTTCAAGACAGCCAAGACTTCATTTCGTTGTAATTCTGAACTCAAATTAGGTATTTGTGAAAATCCTAAACAACTTTCCTGCAATAAGAGGATATTCTATTATTTACTCAAAATATAGACTGGTTGGTCATCTAGCCAATAAATACCAAATAGCATTCCCTTCCACAGAAATAAGATGTGCCTGAGGCTTCCTGGAGTGACTCGTAACAAGTTATACCAAAGAAGCTGACTGATATTGAAATCGTAACAGGTTTGAAACTGCAAAAAGAAATCATCTTAGTTATTCTGATCTTTACAGTCTGGCTACATGAAGTGGGTGTAACTTTGCAAGAGAAAATGACTGTGGGTAATTCATAATTAAATAGTGCTTAGCAATCACTGAAGTGCTTTCAAGTGTTCAGAAAACTTCAAACACATCATTTCAGTAATTCTTACAACCACCCTGTAAAGTATGCCAATACCATCCTAATCTCCATATTACAGGCTTGAGGTTGAGAGTGATGTTCTTATGCTACCTTACTGGTAAAGGTAAAGGTAAAGGTAAAGGTAAAGGTACCCCTGCCCGTACGGGCCAGTTGTGTCCGACTCTAGGGTTGTGTGCTCATCTCACTTAAGAGGCCGGGGGCCAGCGCTGTCCGCAGACACTTCCGGGTCACGTGGCCAGCGTGACGAAGCTGCTCTGACGAGCCAGCACCAGCGCAGCACATGGAAACGCCGTTTACCTTACCTTTACCTATTTATCTACTTGAACTTCAGGGTGCTTTCGAACTGCTAGGTGGGCAGGAGCTGGTACCGAAAGACGGGAGCTCACCCCGCCTCGGGGATTCGAACCGCCGACCATGTGATTCAAAGCTCCTTAGTCATTATGGTTCAGTTTATGCCAAACCAAGGTTAAGGACGTTTAACTAATTTGTGGTGATTTCTGAATTACAAAACCGTGGTTTCTTATCAGGCAGCAAACAACTATCAGAAACCACAGACAGTATCCAATGAAGTCTTTCTGCTTCTGCAAGGATTTGCACTTACACAACAAAACCACCCCTCCCTCTGCTCTCCCTATATGCTCCGGCGCCCTCCTCAAATCTGCACAGGGGTGAGAAGCAGCACACAGAAAGGGGGGGGCAGGTCCACTGGCATGATACCTAAATTAACAAACCATCACTATGGTCATCTACAGAGGCAGAAAGGAATAGAGAAGCCTGGGGAGGAGCATTCAGAGTTGGAGGTTCCCCACCCCCTGTACTGAACACCACAAGCTCTTCCAAATCCATCTGTGTTGTTACTAGCTCCCGAACACCTTTTACTGCTGAATGTAAAATGTGCAAAACCTGTTGAGTGTGGTTTTGCTGACATTCATATTGCTCATGTTTGCAAAACTGAACTGAATTTGTTCAATATATTAAATGGCAGGTGTCCTCCAGATATACCAGGAGAGTTCACCCATCTGGGGTTAAAATCAAACAGTGTTCTTGACTATGTATTGGTTTCTCGGGATCTATTTTTGAATGTCACCTCTTTTAAAATTGATAATGCCCAATTTAGTGACCATCTTCCCCTGACAACCAAGTTATGTGTTGACTGGCACCTGCTCGTGCGCTCCCACCCAATCCCGGTGATTGTGGAGCCGTCCACTAAAATAAAGGGGATTAGATGGTCCCCTGCCCTCGCCCATAGATATATGGATTTTATCCGAGAAAAGTTTCTTGGTGATCAGCCGGACGTAGGAATAGTCCCGCGTGATCCTATTACCTGTTTGAATTTTTTCTCTTGCCTGATAGAAGTTTTAACTCGTTTTTTACTTCTCCAAGCTATGGAGTTAAAAACGATTATTTTAAATTTGGCGCCCCTTGGTTCAACTCTGCTTGTAAACTAGCCAGACTCCATCTACATACAATATATAATGACTATAAACTTTCCGGCGCTCTGGCCTTACCTCCATCTTATTCCCTGGCTAAAAAAAGCATACAAGCAGGCCCAGAAATCGGCCAAACGGGAATGGCATTTAAATCGCTGGCAGACTATAATTTCTACCGCAAAATCTCATAACTCCCGGAAATTTTGGTCCTTAATAAAGGGAAGAAACACGAAATACCCCTTAACGGTGATCCCAGCCCCTACATGGGAGCAGTTCCTGAGAAAATATTTCTCAGTGGCAGAAGCTCCGGCCACTCGCTGGAGACCTTCTAATCCCCTTCCCGTCTGGCACAATACCGACCCTGCTGAAATCCTAGAATTGATAGCTGAGCTGAAAACTGGTAAGGCCCCTGGGCCAGATTTGGTCCCTGTTGAGGCTATAAAGCTACATTCTGCATGGTGGGCAGGGATTTTAGCTAAAACGTTTGACGCAATAAATGCCACGGGCTTAATACCAGGTACGTGGAAGGAGGCCATTATAATTCCTATCTACAAAAAAGGTTCTCCCGGTGACCCAGGGAATTACCGGAATATCAGTCTGCTATCGTCCATTGGGAAAATATATGCCCGTTTTTTGCTGGCAAGGCTGATGAAGTGGTCAGCTGAGGCTGACCTGATTGGGCATGAGCAAGCTGGATTTAGATTAAACCGATCCACAACAGATCAGGCAATTATTCTTTATCACTTAGCCCGGAAATACTCGACACCTCGACGGGGCCAACTTTGCGCAGCCTTCATAGATTTGAAAGCTGCGTTTGATAGTATTCCGAGGCAATTACTATGGGATAAACTTGCCTGCTGGGGAATAGATAGAAGGCTCCTGTGGCTTATCTCCCAACTTCATGCCGGGTCCGTGGCCAGGGTAAGAATATCCCCTGCTGGAGACCTAACTAACCCAGTGCCAGTAAATAAGGGTGTACGCCAGGGTTGTATTTTAGCGCCTCTTCTTTTTAACTTATTTATCAGTGATATGAGGAACCCATTAATCGACTCACAAAAATTTATCCACACCCCCCGTATAGCAGATTATCGTTGTCCTTTACTTCTCTACGCAGATGATGCGGTACTACTCTCTTACTCCAGAGTGGGTTTAAGGAGGGCACTAAAGATTTTTGCATCATATTGCCATTCTAATCATCTGTCTATCAACCACACCAAGTCCAAAGTACTGATATTTTCAAGGAGTCGAAAATTATATTCATGGAAATTGGAGGGCACGAAAATTGAACAAGTACATAAATTTAAATATTTAGGAATTTATTTTCAATATAATCTAGGGTGGAAAGAGCACGTTGAATATCTTCAAAACAAGACAAAAGCCCTATCACACTCCCTCCTCCGTTTTTCTACTCTGAGGGGCCTTATTCATTCCTGCGGCCTTGAAAGTGTATAGCATCAAAGTGATGGCCACAATGGCCTATGCTGCACCTTTATGGGCTGCCTTTGCAAACCTTTCACCTTTAGAGTCGCTTCAAAGCCAATTCTTACGCCGACTTTTAAAACTACCAACATGCGTAAGTAATGCGGCTATTCGCTTAGAAATGAAGATCCCCTCAGTGGAGTTAGTTTTATGGAGGAGAGTTTTGATTTATTGGATATCCCTATGGCATAAACTACCGAACCACTATCTCATTCAATGCATGTGGCGGGATGACTTTACAAATTTGTGGTCAGGAAAAATCCATGCCAAATTGCTGTCCTATGAGATCTCGCCCACGGAATTGCTCAAACTGGATCTAAACGCGGCAAAAAGGTGTATAAATCAAAGGCTGGATGATGTGGAGCTATACCAAAATTTCTTAGCTGGTGGTGGAGCCTGCTCCCCGTTAAATCTCGGCATAACCCCTATCTATCGTGCTCCGTCCTACTTAACATCGCTTATAGCCGCATCTCACCGATATGCCTTCATTAGAGCCAGGTTCAATGTTTTCCCAACAAACGTGCTGAGACATAGATTCACTAAGGGCCAAGTCCCTTCAATGTGTGCTTGTGAAATGAAAACATCTGAATCTTTACATCATGTTATGTTTATCTGCCCTATGTACAGTTTAGCTCGCGCTAGTATACTAAACTCCATAATCCAGCCTATGGCTGACAAACCAGTAGACCTACAGCTTGCCTGGGTTCTTCAAGATGTAGATCCTTATATTACTCTACAGGTTGCTAAATTCCTAACAGCCGTTCTCTCGTACAAGAGACGGAATGGAATGTTAACTGATTATTGATACTTATAAGAATTTTTGATATTGACATCAGAAATTGATTTAGCGTAGTGCCCAAATTTTTAACTTTAATCTTAAATTTCTGTTTTGATTTGCCAATATTTGTCCTTGTGAGCTGTGAATTGTGTTATATTACTTGTGGCTTGTTCGAGACCGCTGTTTTATTTGATTTGTTTTGTGTGTTGTGCTTTATGATGGGCGTAAAGCCGAATAAACATTTGGTTTGGTTTGGTTACTCAAAACTGCAGTTAATATCTGCTAGATTATTTTAAGCATATGAACACAGTTAAATAAAATATTATAAACACAAATCTTGATAATTTTAATAGTGCTATTTGGTCACTTGAAAAAGGATCACCACTGGTTATCTGATTTAATTCTGCTCACCAGCACGTAGTTTAACCTCCCCCCTCCCACTTGTACACTATTAGAAATATGTAACCTTTTTTGAAAAGTCATCAACAGGATGGCTGGGATACACCATCGATGTCATGGGCTGGAGGGAAGTGGTTGCCACACTCATATTTGCACACAATCTGTTGCTCTGATCCTGTTCAAAAATCTGACATTGGGCCAGTTCAGATTTAGTGCTGAACCAGTGGTGGGGAACCCGTGCACCATGTCATAGTTTTGGGTTATAAGTCTAGGGGAGCCCTGAGCTTCCATGCTTTGTTTCCTCATTCATGACCATGAGAAGGAAGAGACTGGAAACACCCACTTCCAGGTTTAACACAAGCTTCATTGCCATGGTGCCATCACATCCAACAAGGACAATTTGCAGCTGATTTAAGCAGTGACTTAAGTCAAGATGCTGATTCCTCACCTTGGGCCATGGTTGCTGGCCTGAGGGCAGTTGGAGTCCAGCAACATCAGGAGAGCCACAAGTTCCCCACCCCTGACAGATCCACATCATATATTCAATGCACACCCAATGCACATGATTCCTCCCCCTTCACAAGGAATCCTGGGAACTGTAGTCTGTTAAGAGTGCTGGTATTTGTGTCTCTGTGGGGTGGGAGAGAACTACATTTCCTAGCGCTCTTTGGAGGAAGAAATGTTCTTTAAATATACATTGTACGTTTTCTAAATGTAGTGTGGATCTGCCCAAACTGTAGTTTAGAGTTGTCAAACTGTAGTTTAGGGTTGTCTCATCTGAACTGGGGTTAACTCAAGCAGGTGTTTCCAGTCACCTCCTGTGGCATGTGCCAGAAGGGGAATGCTTAACCTCAATGCCCAAACTGGTTCTTCCATGCACTGCTGAATTATGCTTCACTGTTTTGTCCAAACTGGGCCAAAATACCTGGGAAGCAAGAAGCAAGAAACTGAAACCTCACCAGCTACTAGAAACAAAGAAATGGATGGTAAGCTTGGCCAAACTGTGTAATTTTCTATGGAAGCCTTTAACTCAACTGGCTTCTGCCCAGAATGGCCTCCCAGGTGGTCTCTCTGCTAGCCAGTGATTAGAGACAAAATGCACAACTTCAGCAAATGTCCTTGGGCAGAAATTGGATGGAGGCTCCATTCTCAAGGAGTTTACAACACAGTTCTACACAGTGTCACTCCACCTCCAGGCAGAGGAACTCTTAAGCATTCATTCTTCTCCTATGCTGGAGCCAAGCTGCATGCATACACATGCATGACCCTGCAGTGACTGATGTACAAGAGCTGTTGAACCACTCCGGTGAGGGTGGTGGGACAGACAAGATTCCTGCTTCCTTTTATGAACCATTTTGGGTTACAGCAAGCACTAGGCTCTACTTCCATTGGCAGCTCTAATCTCATCTCTGCTTTCACCCCAGAACTCTGGGTTTCATGCTGGATGCAGTCATTCAAGTTGCTACACGCTCCAACTGTTGCTTAAATAGCTGCCCCCAAGATAAAGCTTTCCCTGGATAGGGGTTTTGATTGTCAAAGTGGCCAGTGAATGGCCTGAAGGCATCTAATATAATTTCATATCTGAAGCACAGAGTGTGGATGGTATATTCCCCATGAAGTCCCATGTATGCTGCTGGAGCTTGGTGGAGGAGGAGCACAGCACCAAATGTAATAAACTGCTATAAAAGTGGAAACTGCACAGGTAAAGCCAGTCAGTCTGACATCCATCAATTTTGTATGTCATGACTATATTCCTCCAACCCAGAGGGAGAAATGTATATAAACACACAAAACTGAACAAGCATGCTATTACACATTTTTATAAAAACATTGGATATTTCTGCCTTTTTTCAGTCAGTTTCATTCCCATGTGGGAAACCTGCTGAGGGTACCAGGCTAGTGGGAGATGGAGCCAGAGGTTCAAAGAGGAGTTGTGACCAGAGACAAGAAAAAGTCAGCACGAACAGAGGCAAATGTAGCAGAGAAACACACGTGAGTCTTTGTTTTGTACAGGAGGCTGCATTCCTGTTACATAGAAGTCAGTGGATTCTACACACATATGCTCTAACCACTGCTCTCTATCGAGGCAAGCAACAGGCATTGTCTCCACTTTAACAGCACATTCCAGCATGGCAAAAACACTCCAGGAAGGTGTACAGCATGGCTGGTGAAAGGGAGAGTGGCCTGGGAAGTGGGCGCAGTCAGGGGAGAATCTCAAAAGGAGTCTGTTTTACCCCAAAGCCTGGGGTTCCCCAACCCAGTTTATACCAATATACAAACATGCATTGGGGCCACTTTATTACAAATCATGAATATTTAACTCTGAACATGAGCTCCCCTGCTTTTGTAGGTATTTTCTTTGCTATGTTCAGACGGCTAAAAGAATAAAACAATTCACATTTTGCTACTAGGTTGCAAAAGTAGTTTGTGATTAGGGAAATTGCTATAACAATTTTACAAAGCAGCTTAGAAACAAATGCAAGGTGTTGCATTTCTGAACAAAAACCATTAACCCTTGTCACCTCAATTAATTGCTTTCTATATTTAAGGTTTGGGAAGGGAGGTGATGTTGTTCGTCCTCTTAAAATGCAGAGCAGGCACAGAGAACCAATAAGGGAGTGATCCTCTGAACCTCTTTACTACACAGGGCAACAGTGTGACCATGTGTATATTCCCCGGAAGACACAAAGCCATTTCCCAGCTCATTAACACAAAGTATGTTTTTCAAACTTGCCTTCAAAGCCACTTATGGTTTGCCCCCTTCTTTGCTTTTTATTCTGGTATCCTGATTCATCCCTAATCTTTGCTTCTCCAACTCTATGGCCTTAGGACACCCACATTTCTCACCTGTACCTTTTCTCCTTTGCTACCTCCTAGTCTTGAAATTGCCTTCCATAATCTGCGTTATGTTGCCACCACCACCTTTCCCTCAACCCCACCTCTTCCATGAAACTTTTGGCAAGTCCCAGCTGACCTGCAAAGTCTTAGCTTATTCTGCATAGTACAGGCAGCAACTGCTTTAGCTACATCCGATATGTGTGCAACCACACATACATACACCACACCAAACCTGGCAGTGACATGAAAATGTCATAAAGACATCACCAAAAGGGGCAGAATGTGTTGGTGGGGGAGTGTTTTCAATGGGTGTTCGGATTACACACAATTTCACACAAGCGCACAATGACCTAGAATGAAACCCCTGTGCATATGAGGAATTGCCTGCACTATTTTGCTGAAATATTCCATGGACAGTGCAAACCACTGAAGCTCCGCTCAAATAGGATCTTTGTCAACCCCCCTTCCAACTTTCACTAGCATTGGCTGTACATCTTCAGTCTTAGGGAACACCAATTTTCCTGTTTAAAATTAATTAATGGGTGCTGAAATAATCAGGATCATGAATTCTACCCCCAGTAGCAAATTGCTTGCAATGGTTCCAATGAATAATTGCAAAATACGTTGCCCTGCTTAGATGGTTTATAATTAAAATGAACACATCAAAAATGGTGGAAATACAAAATTTGACTAGTCTATAGGATATTGCTTTTTTTAATCTTTCCAATCAAGGTGCTTAACATTTCATGGTGGTACCTCAATCCAACAACCATAACCGAATCAACATACAAATTCTCCTCTGCTGTTAGCTGAAACAAACTAAACAACTCTGTATGTGGTTTACAAAAAATCATTAACAATAACGTACAACATTTCAACACCTTCTAATACATGGAATCTGAAATAATATCTACAATGCCAAAATAATGACATATGCAACCTAATATCTCAAAGCCAAACAGTCCGAATATTCCTGAAATAAGTCCATGAGAATGGCTCTCTATGTGTATACTTGTGCTGGTGCGATCCCGATGGAACTCCGACAACGAGATACCCAAATTTCAATCTCCGTTTCATGAATTTTCTTCTGGTCAACCTGAAAAAGAACTATGCAACAGCAATTCTATGCTCCACCAAATAAATCAGCTCCAACCTTAGAGTGGCACTTTGCTCTTTTTTTAAATGGCTGATTAAACAAAGCAAACTGAAACAAAGCAAACATGACTCAACATACCAAGAGCCAGGTTTCTATGACCTGGGATAAAAAAAATAATCCTTGAGAGGCCTTTTGCCTCCTTTCAAGGGGGAAGTTGCCAAGTGAAAGTAGTATAGGGCTATTTCTGAATGGGGGGGGGCAAAACCCCCACTGTAAACACAGCAGAATATCAATAGGCTACACAGCACACAGAAGCCAACAGCTAGTGCCAGCTAAGGCACAACTTGCTAGATCAGTACCTGCATACAGTATATCAAAAATGCTTTTCAGCAAACATTTCAAACAACCACCACCCAGCACTAAAAATATTGCAAACTTGGGAGAAAGGCTGTCCTGCTGCTAGACAGCTTAGTCAATATAGAAAGCTTTGACAGAGGTAATGTTATGTTCCATGAGAGTCTGGTGGTCCTGCACTACCAGCACTGTGTCAGTAGCCCAGGACACAACTCTGCTCTGGATCAAGTCTGTATAAGACTATATGGTCATACCTCAGGTTACAGACGCTTCAGGTTGCAATTTTTTGAGTTACAAACGCACCAAAACCGGAACAGGTTACTTCTGGGTTCGGCAGTCGTGCATGCGAATTGCAACCTGTGCGTGCGCACACGCGGCGCTGCGGGTTGTGAATGGTGCGGGTTGCAAACGTGCTTCCTGCACGGATCACGTTTGCAACCCGAGCGTCCACTGTATAAACTACTTCTTCACACAGGGCATATTTGCTCCCACATGAGGCAATGATGGCCAGCAACTTGAATGGCTTTAAGAGGCTGAAACAAATCCATCAAGAATATGGCTGCAACCCCCAACAGCCATGTGATGCCACCCCTGTCAGAGGTGATAGAAGCCCCTGTTAGAGGCTTCTGAAACCAGTTGCTGGAAACGGGGAGGGGAGGGGAGGGTGCTGTGATGCTCACGTCCTGCTTGTGAGCTTCCCAGAGGCATCTGGCTGGCATGGATGCTGCACTAGACGGACCACTGGCCTGATCCTGCAAGCTCTTCTCATGTCCTAATGGCTTGTGAGGGGAGGCTGCTAGATTGGAAGTGCTACTTGTATCCTTCACAATATCTGCTTTCTAAATAATGCTTTAATTCAAAATACATTGCTTCTGGTAAATGAACCCCCCTAACCGCTAGAGGGCCATGAAAATTTGTGCCCCAGACTCATCTACCCATGTACCAGCTGAAACCAAAGTGATGCATTGGTTGCCAGATGTAAAATACAGTGTTACCTCGGGTTAAGAACTTAATTCGTTCTGGAGGTCCGTTCTTAACCTGAAACTGTTCTTAACCTAAGGTACCACTTTAGGTAATGGGGCCTCCCGCTGCCGCTGCACGATTTCTGTTCTCATCCTGAAGCAAAGTTCTTAACCTGAGGTACTATTTCTGAGTTAGCGGAGTCTGTAACCTGAAGCAGCTGTAACCTGAGGTACCACTGTACATGAGCATTATTTTCAGCTCTCCCAGCCCACCAAACTGAAATGTCTAACCAAGGTGATAATAGATCGGTCAAAGTGATCACGGAGGAAGCATTTCCAGATTCACATTTTCATTTTCACCCCTTTCAATTTTTTTTTTGGGGGGGAGGGTTTTGTTGTTGCTTTTTTTTTTTTTTGCTATTCCTAGAACATTTGGAAGTTCTTCTTAAGCTCCCCTGGGCATCTGGCCAGCCACTGTTGACAAAAGGATCCTGGACAAAACAGACATTTGCTGTGACCCATCAAGACTACTTGTACATCCTTCAGAGATGTAGAGACTGGTATGCCATGAAATCCCTCCCCGCTGCTGAGAGAGATGGCAGGTTCTTCTTTCTGCAGGGTATGAATAAGTAGAAGTCCCTTCTTACTATTAAAGCAGCCTTTCTCAACCTGTGGGTTGCCAGATGTTGTTGGACTACAACTCCCATCATCCCTAGCTAGCAAGGCGAGAGTTCAGGGATAATGGGAGTTGTAGTCCAACAACATCTGGCAACCCGCAGGTTGAGAACCGCTGTAAGGGATTCTGGCTGTTTCTAACCTGTGTGTGTAAACAGCCTTATATAACCAACATATAAGTCCAATGAATGAATGAAGAGGTTAATACCTGCCAGGCTTAGTGAAGTCACTTTCCCTTACCTTGGGAGGAAATGAGAAATCAAGCCTATTGTTCAACCTCCAGCCTGCCTGAGAAGTTCAGCATGTGAGGAGATCTGAGCTGGTTACTCCAGCTCAGCCACATGGTTCTCACAAGTCACTCTTGAGTTCCTATGCCAATAATTTAGGAACTTTCACCACTGCAACTAAGCCAAGTTTTACTGCCTGTGCAAGTTTTCCTGAATTCTGTAATGAAAAAGCACCTGACCATTTATAACTTACCAAACGTGTGGTCTTTTTCCATGGTAGGGGGAAAAGGAAGACTCACAAGGGCATATTTAAAAGGTCCAATATCCTATATTTCCATGTGCAAAGATCCCAAAGAATGAAATATTTAGCCATCTACCCAAGTGACAAAAAAGCACCAGGCTAAGTAAGTGGCTGTGATCTGCTCAGTCTAACTCTTTGTATGTAGCACAGTACTTAATGCTGAAAGTTTTAAATGGTCAAATTGAAAACTTATAACCTAATCATCATGAGAGAGCAAAAAAGTTTTGACATCCTGCAGCTTTTATAGATTTATAGAATTATAGAGTTGGAAGGGACCCTGAGGTTCATCCAGTCCGACCCCCTGCAATGCAGGAATATGCAGCTGTCCCACAAGGGGATCAAACCTGCAACCTTGGCTTTATCACCACCAGGCTCTAATCAACCGATTCCCCAGCCCTTCAGTTTCTTCCTCATTTTATCAATACAGTGGTGCCCTGCAAGACGAATGCCTCGCAAGACGGAAAACCCGCTAGACGAAAGGGTTTTCCGTTTTTGAGTTGCTTCGCAGGACGAATTTCCCTATGGGCTTGCTTCGCAAGACGAAAATGTCTTGCGAGTCTAGAGAGTTTTTTCGCTTTCCCCCTTTATCTAATCTGCTAAGCCTTTAATAGCCTTTAATAGCCTTTTAGCAGCTAATCCGCTAAGCCTTTAAGCCTTTAATAGCCGCTAAACCGCTAATAGCGCTAATCCGTTAAGCCGCTAATAGGGTTGCTTCGCAAGACGAAAAAACCGCTAGACGAAGACTCTCGCGGAACGCATTAATTTCGTCTTGCGAGGCACCACTGTAGTTAATATGTGAATAGTTTGTATTAGTAAGGGAATGAGGAAACTGAAATATTTGAACTAAAATACTGGTTATGTCCTTTCAGTGATCTGATAAAAGCAGGACCCATGCAATCCCTCAGGTTAATTTGAAGCCATATATCAGTTACATTATTTCAATGATAAGATGGAAACTGGGAGCCACACAGAGGTGTTGGGGAAATACACAGATGAAAATTAATCTGATCTTGCAATCTCTCAACATGCAGGATCTCCAGATGAAGCTACAGCCAAACTGATACTCATGTGAAAGAAGGTAATTTGCTTTCAAAATGCAAAGTGCATTATTCTGGAAAACCAATTTCTCTGCACTGTGCACACAGATATCCACACATTAGTAGTGTGTAGGTCACACTATAAATCTGAATCCCATTCTTACCATTATGGCTTGAAAAATAATAACAACAAGCACAAATCCCTCTTCTGAAGATGAATAAATGTTCCCTGAAATGCTATTTGCTATACAGCAGAATCAAACTGAAGGGTTTTAAAAAGGGCAGTTTTAACACTCTGTTTCCAAGGGGGCGGGGAGAGAAACTAAATTTCCTGCATACCTCCCAAGGCCATCTCTGCTCCTCCAGCCCAGTCTCTTACAATACCAAGACTGCCCTGTTACTCTGTGCAGCAGGCTCAGAGAAAGGCAATGGGCAGAAGATTTCATGGTGGCTTGCCCACACCTAATTGAGATTGCAAACTCCTCAAGGAATGTAGACTGCTGAATGTCAGCAGCCAGTGATATCAGTTGGAAATATACAGTACTTACTTGTGTGTGCTTTAAGGTTATGTACACATACACATACACACATGCTTTCATGGTCTAGAGACCACTTCATCAGAGATTTCAAAAGTCAGAGAGGGGGAAAGAAATGCAAAAAAAGAAGAAGACGGTGCTAATTGTGTTGATTATAACACAAATTTCCAGGCATTGATAAGTGCTTTAACACCTGCAGTGAGATAAGAACACCATATCTTGATCCAAGCCACAGGTGACAGAACTGAAAATAAATAAGCTAAGGAAATGAAATGTGAATTTCACTGCAAAATAGGTTGCAATCCAGAAACAGCTGAAGTTTCTCAGCACTACTTGCTTCAGCTTCTGTACAAGCAACTCCCAGTTTCTGAGCATTTGACAACTGTGCACAGCGCCAAACCCAGAAGTGACCAAAAAATGTCATAAAGATGTCACTAAAACGTTGCCGAAAGAACAGAGCTGGAGCAGAACAGGGTGTTTGCAGGCTTTTCCAATGAATGTTCGATTACACGCAATTTCATGCAAGTACGCAATGACCCAGAACACAACCCCCACGCAAATGGGGAGTTGCCTGTACTGAATACGGATCCACCTGACAAAAAGGGTTTCGTTGCTAGAGTTACAGAGCAGATATCCATAGCCATAGCTGAAGTATTGAATACAAAAGGAGTGACATATTAAATTGCAGAGTTCAATATACAAGTTTTAATCTCTTTTTAGCCTGCTATGTTTAATTGTCTTTAAAACACTTTAATTACTTGTTTTCAGTTATTCACTGATAATATTCCTTGTAAAACTGCTTAGAGGTGTTATTACAATCAGGGGGTATATGTAATTTGTTAAATAAAAATAAAATACATGCAATTTGAAGACCATTAATTTCTTCTTACAAGTGAAGTGATGGCCCTACTTGTTTATAGGTAAAGGTAAAGGCTGGACCAAAGGTAAAGGCTGTGACCGACTCTGGGGTTGTGGCGCTCATCTCGCTTTATTAGCCGAGGGAGCCGGCATACAGCTTCTGGGTCATGTGGCCAGAATGACTAAGCCGCTTCTGGCGAACCAGAGCAGTGCACGGAAACACCGTTTACCTTCCACCGGAGTGGTACCTAATTATCTAACTTGCACTTTGACGTGCTTTCGAACTGCTAGGTTGGCAGGAGCAGGGACCGAGCAACGGGAGCTCACCCAGTCTCAGGGATTCGAACCACCGACCTTCTGATCAGCAAGTCCTAGGCTCTGTGGTTTAACCCACAGCGCCACCCGCGTCCCATACTTGTTTATACTTTCCCTGAAATTTAGTACAGTCACCAGGGGCTAAAAGAAGAAGAAAAGACTGTGGGCCAGACATGGTTACTATTATGATCTGGTGGGCCCTTTTTAAATAGAGATTAAAAGCCTAGTTATCACAAAGATAAATTAGAACTCTTCAGCACCAAATATATTCAAACAGTAAACTTTGCAAGGTATTTCTTTTATAAACCTGGAATAAAAATGCATTGAATTCAGCTCTTCAAACCCAATCACAATTCTGCAATTATAAAATTAGGACAGAAGCTTGCCTGCCTGCCTCAGGGGGTTGGCAAGTAACCCAAATAGCAAGGTTTTTAAGGCAAACCAACCTACCATTTGTGAGTCTCGAAATGGAAAAGCACATTCACATGTATGCCTCAGTAAGGTAATTATTTCTCCTTCAGTGTACAACAAAAGAACAGTGGACCAGGAGAAAGATCAGAGCAGTTCCCAGCACTCCAGCTGAATTACTATACTCATCTCTGGGAGGATGAGGGTTGAGGGGAGCAGGGAAGAGAATCACTATGTTGTTGCTGCAACAGTATAACCACCCTATTACAGTATAATAAAATCACTGTTTTTGCTGTGAAAATTGAGATTTTAAAGTTCAATAGTTTATAATGTTCAGATCCTATAAAATAATGTAAACACTCTGCACTGAATGTTCCAATGCAATTGGTATTATGACTCAAAATAATATCCACACAAGGTATATACCGTATGTACAGTCACAAAGAACTTGGGGAAAAAATACATGCAGACACCTGGGTATGGTCTTCGTTTCAGATGTCTTCTTCTTTGTGCTCATTATTGGGTCAACTTTGATGGGTGCTGACCCAATAAGCAGCACAATCTTTACATTTATCAATATATCGCAACTGTCCTGAAGAAAGCATCTGAAACGAAGACCATACCTGGGCATCTCATTGATTGGAGTCCTTCATGTACACAGTCTTATCTTGAAGTTTTACTCCACAGTTGATCTATTGAACTATTGATCTCATTATATTGAACAGCAGTTTGCAAAACTACATATACAGTGGTATCTCAGGTTACATACGCTTAAGGTTACAGACTCCGCTAACCCAGAAATAGTACCTCGGGTTAAGAACTTTGCTTCAGGATGAGAACAGAAATCGTGCAGCGGCAGCTGGAGGCCCCATCAGCTAAAGTGGTGCTTCAGGTTAAGAACAGTTCCAGGTTAAGAACGGACCTCCGGAACGAATTATGTACTTAACCCGAGGTACCACTGTATATATTTTCTAGTGATAACTAGAACAAGGGTAGCCCAGACTGTGGCAAGGCTACAGAGCTGGCCACAGGAACTCCTTGCCACCAGCACTACTTGGGCTTTCAGCAGCAATGCTAGATCGAGGAACACATGCAAGGTATCTATCCACCTGCTCTTTCAAGGGGAGTGTGACCCCATTCAATACAGTCCAACCACTCAGTTCCTGGATCTGGGGCTTCCAACCCACAACACCTCTATTTCGTTGGGATGTAATTTCAGTGTTACAAATGCAGCCCATAATCACCTCATCACCTGCTTCATATGGAGACAACCTGATTTGACCAGCAGCATTTTATTTTATTTATCTGCGGGGCTGCCTGGCCTCATAGTGGGGTAGTACAAAAGAAAAGGCACCTGGGCATTTTGTTTTGGCGCCCACAACCGAGGTCCCAGGAGCCACATGGCTCCCAGCCATTCCTATCCCAGTTTCTAACACTGTATCAATCAAACCTGGGCTCATTGTTTGAGTGAAGCAAGACAAGGCAAATCAAAGCTTAGGTTTGCACAACATGCCTAGCCAAACCAAGGCATGGATCATAGCAGCAGCAGAGAAGGAAAGAAGTTGCCACAGTCTCCTCTTTGGAAACTTGCACGTTTATAGTAAGCCACAGTTTGGCTTGGCCAGTTTCATCAGCAATCACATTGTAAACACTCAGTTATCCTATGATCTGAATCAATTTCAATGACACATAGAGGTTTCTGGTCCTCTTAGCTGCAAAGATGAGTCTAATAAAAGCCATATAAATTGAGAGGGGCTAACTATCAAAAACCCCAGAGTACAGTAAAGCAAGGGAATGGGGCTTCACCATTTTGCATACCTTCCTGTTGAGAACAGCACAACTGGACCTCACTGAGAATATAATTGAATAAGTAGGGCTACGTAGCAAGCCAAGAACTTGCAGAGACACAGTGCAGCAAGTACCATTTTTAGAATGGGATTGTGTCATCTAAAGCCACTGGCCATTGCTGCATATTACGGAAGCAAGTTTCATGTGTCCATCTTGAATCCACTGGCCAGTCAATTCCACTGGATGTCCCCAAATTCTAGTATTAAAGTAAGAGAGAAACACTTCCTGCTGTACACCTTCTCCGTGTATTTTATAAGTCTCTATTATGTCCTAGGGACGCGGGTGACGCTGTGGGTTAAACCACAGAGCCTAGGACTTGCCGATCAGAAGGTGGGCGGTTCGAATCCCTGCGACGGGGTGAGCTCCCATTGCTCGGTCCCTGCTCCTGCCAACCTAGCAGTTCGAAAGCATGTCAAAGTGCAAGTAGATAAACAGGTACCGCTCTGGCGGGAAGGTAAACAGCGTTTCCGTGCGCTGCTCTGGTTCGCCAGAAGCAGCTTAGTCATGCTGGCCACATGACCCAGAAGCTGTACACCGGCTCCCTCGGCCAATAAAGCGAGATGAGCACCGCAACCCCAGAGTCAGCCATGACTGGACCCAATGGTCAGGGGTCCCTTTACCTTTACCTTTATTATGTCCTAATGCCCTGATCATTTTGGTAGCTTCTTTTGTGTACCACAAATCAGAAAAGTACATTAAAGAGCTTGTAGCACTTTCAAGATAATGAAAAGAACTCTCCCCCCCCCCATGCCCATTTGCCTAAGAATCTGAGCCATGTGGTACAATACATGTAGGCAGCTTCAATGTGCTCAGGATTCTCACACCTTATGTTTCACAATGTGGTGCCCTTCAGCGCTCCCTACATTATTCCCACCCCATAGTCAATTTCTCAATGTGCAAGCTGTCAATCATGCTTCAATTTTATTTACCATTTACCCCTGTATTAATAGTTAAGACCACCTCAGGTAGAAAAATGTTATTGCATCCTATACCTGACCAGCATAATTCAATATGGGTAGAAAAGTGTTCTTTTTTCTGGAAGCAGCCCAGTTTTGGGCAAGTCTCTAGGTGACGAGTTTCAGGGTTGAAGGCCTATCTGACCCTCCCTCAAGCTTGACTCTCATGTTGAGGGAGACCTAGGTTTTTTTTTGTGGGGGGTTATTTGTCCTGTCTTCACGCTTTTTATGATGGAGGACCGCTGTAGCCACCCCCAACGACACGTTCTCAAGATGGAGGGGGAGAGAACAGCTGCAGTCGCCTGCGGTTCCTGCGCAATGTTTGCCATCTTGCCAAAGGTTGCAGGCAGCTTTACCTGCAGCAATTGCATGTTGATTGCCCTCTTAAAAGACAAAGTGCAGCAACTGGAGGAACGTGTAGCTACGCTCCAAAGAATTAGAGAGCTGGAGCTCTTCTTGGAAGCAACAGAGCACACCGTCTCCACCAAGGAGGAGACAGGGGACTCCCTGAGAAGGAGGCTAGTTCACCAACACAGGAGCCAGATATATGGAGAAACGTGACTCAAAGAAGTAGGAGGCCCAGGGTTCGCTCTGATTGTTTAGAAATACACAATCGCTTTGAGGTCCTCTCCCCTAGCATGGAAGACGAAGAGCAGACTCCATTTGAGGATCTCTCCCTCATTACAGTCGATCATGTATATGAAGACGAGCAGCAAAGTCAGTCCTCAGGGAATGTGCAGGCGACCTTGGAACGGACAGCTCACGAAAGAACCCCGACCAAACCTAAGAGGAGGCGTGTAGTGGTGATAGGGGATTCCCTACTGAGGGGAACAGAAGCAGTGATCTGTGGGCCTGACAAGATGTCTCGGGAAGTGTGCTGTCTCCCGGGCTAAGATCCAAGATGTAACTGAACGACTGCAAGGAAACATAAAACCCACTGACAACTACTCCTTCCTCTTGGTTCATGTGGGAACCAATGACACTGCAAGCAATAGCCTCCAGAAGATCAAAAGAGACTACGAGGCTCTGGGCAGGAAATTGAAGCAATTAAATGCACAAATTGTCATCTCATCTGTCCTCCCAGTTGAACGAGGTGGCCCAGGGAGAGAGGGGAAAATAGTGGAAGTGAACAGCTGGCTTCGCAAATGGTGTAAACAGGAACAGTTTGGATTCTTAGATCACGGACTGCAGTTTCTTGAAGATGGACTTCTGGCAAGCGATGGGCTGCACCTCACAACGGTTGGGAGAAATGTTTTTGCCAAAAAATCTCAGAAACCTCATCAGGAGGGCTTTAAACTGACTAATGTGGGGGAGGGAGACAGTGCTCCTGAAGGTAGGAGTCTATCAATTGATGAAGATGATCATCCAAATGTCATAGACCAAATGGAGCAAACAGCACGCAGACCTAGTGGTGGGAGGACAAAATCCTTAAATAAGAGACACGGGGGAATGATTAATGGACTTCAATGTCTGTACACTAATGCGCAAAGCATGGGAAATAAACAAGATGAGCTTGAGCTCTTGGTACAGCAAACTAAATATGACATAATAGGCATCACTGAAACCTGGTGGGATAAGTCCCACGATTGGAATGTAATAATGGGGGATACAATCTATTTCAGAGAAACAGACCAGACAAGAAAGGAGGAGGAGTGGCGTTATATGTCAGGGATGTGTATACCTGTGAAGAGATCCAAGATTTAGAACCTCAAAGCCAAAGTGAGAGCATTTGGGTCAAAATTAAGGGAGAGAAGAATAACAGTGACCTCATTGTGGGAGTTTACTATAGATCCCCAAGCCAAACGGAGGACATAGATGATGCCTTCCTGGAACAGATGGCCAAGCATGCAAAAGGAAGGGAGATAGTAGTAATGGGGGACTTCAATTACCCGGATATTTGTTGGATGTCAAACTCAGCCAAGAGCATAAGGTCAAACAGATTCCTCTGGCCTTGCAGACAACTTCATTGTCCAGAAAGTGGGAGAAGCAACAAGAGGAACAGCCATTTTATATCTGGTCCTAACCAATGTTGATGACCTGGTTAGTGGGGTAGAAGTGGAAGGATCATTAGGCGCGAGTGATCATGCTCTTCTGAAGTTTACTATACAGCGGAAAGGAGCAGCCAAGCATACTAGGACTCAATTTCTTGACTTTAAGAAAGCTGACTTCATAAAACTTAGGGAAGTGCTGGGTGAGATCCCATGGACAGTAATACTAAAAGGAAAGGGAGTTCATGATGGCTGGGAGTTTGCTAAGAGGGAGATAGTAAAAGCACAACGTCAGGCAATACCAATGAGACGGAAACATGGAAGGTGCCTAAGGAAGCCAGGGTGGCTATCTAAAGAAATTTTAACTGAGTTAAGATTAAAAAGGATGTGTACAAAAATGGAAAAGGGGGAAACCACCAAAGAGGAATTCAAACAAATAGCCAGCACGTGTAGACACAAAGTCAGAAAAGCTAAAGCACAGAATGAACTCAGGCTTGCTAGAGAGGTTAAAAGCAACAAAAAGGCTTTTATGGGTATGTTCAGTAGCAAAAGGAAGAACAAAGAAACAGTGGGGTCACTCAGAGGAGAAGATGGTGAAATGCAAACAGGGGACACAGAAAGGGCTGAACTCCTCAATGCCTTCTTTGCCTCAGTCTTCTCTGATAAAGAAAACAATGCCCGACCTGAAGAATTTGGAGCAAATGATTCAGCAAAGGAAACACAGCCCAGAATAACTAAGGAGATAGTACAAGAATACTTGGCTAGTTTAGATGTATTCAAGTCTCCAGGGCCAGATGAACTGCATCCAAGTGTATTAAAAGAACTGGCAGATGTGATCTCAGAACCACTGGCAGTCATCTTTGAGAATTCCTGGAGAACAGGCGAAGTCCCGGCAGACTGGAGGAGGGCAAATGTTGTCCCAATTTTCAAAAAGGGGAAAAGAGAGGACCCAAATAATTACCGCCCAGTCAGTCTGACATCAATACCAGGGAAGATTCTGGAGCAGATCATTAAGCAAACAGTCCATGAGCACCTAGAAAGGAATGCTGTGATCACCAATAGTCAGCATGGATTTCTGAAAAATAAGTCATGTCAGACTAACCTGATCTCGCTTTTTGACAGAATTACAAGCCTGGTAGATGAAGGGAACGCAGTGGATGTAGCCTACCTTGATTTCAGCAAGGCATTTGACAAGGTGCCCCATCGTTATTCTTGTAAAGAAGCTGGTAAAATGCGGTCTTGACTATGCTACCACTCAGTGGATTTGTAACTGGCTGACTGACCGAACCCAAATGGTGCTCATCAATGGTTCCTCTTCATCCTGGAGAAGAGTGACTAGTGGGGTGCCACAGGGTTCTGTCTTGGGCCCGGTCTTATTCAACATCTTTATCAACGACTTGGATGATGGACTCAAGGGCATCCTGATCAAATTTGCAGATGACACCAAACTGGGAGGGGTGGCTAACACCCTAGAGGACAGGATCACACTTCAAAACGACCTTGACAGATTAGAGAACTGGGCCAAAACAAACAAGATGAATTTTAACAGGGAGAAATGTAAAGTATTGCACTTGGGCAAAAAAAATGGGAGGCACAAATACAAGATGGGGGACACCTGGCTTGAGAGCAGTACATGTGAAAAGAATCTAGGAGTCTTGGTTGACCACAAACTTGACATGAGCCAACAGTGTGACGCGGCAGCTAAAAAAGCCAATGCAATTCTGGGCTGCATCAATAGGAGTATAGCATCTAGATCAAGGGAAGTAATAGTGCCACTGTATTCTGCTCTGGTCAGACCTCACCTGGAGTACTGTGTCCAGTTCTGGGCACCACAGTTCAAGAAGGACACTGACAAACTGGAACGTGTCCAGAGGAGGGCAACCAAAATGGTCAAAGGCCTGGAAACGATGCCTTATGAGGATGTTTAGCCTGGAGAAGAGGAGGTTAAGGGGTGATATGATAGCCATGTTCAAATATATCAAAGGATGTCACATAGAGGAGGGAGAAAGGTTGTTTTCTGCTGCTCCAGAGAAGCGGACACGGAGCAATGGATCCAAACTACAAGAAAGAAGATTCCACCTAAACATTAGGAAGAACTTCCTGACAGTAAGAGCTGTTTGACAGTGGAATTTGCTGCCAAGGAGTGTGGTGGAGTCTCCTTCTTTGGAGGTCTTTAAGCAGAGGCTTGACAACCATATGTCAGGAGTGCTCTGATGGTGTTTCCTGCTTGGCAGGGGGTTGGACTCGATGGCCCTTGTGGTCTCTTCCAACTCTATGATTCTATGATTCTATGTTCTACCTTCTATGTACACGTTTCCGTTCATGTTTTCTGGCATGAACACATACTAACATACACGTATGCACATACACACACCTGCCTACACAAGCAACTCTTTAGTTCCCTTCAGGAGACTTGCTCTTGCACCAATGCAATGCAGTACATAAAGAAACGCTAGCAAGGGGAGGGGGAAGAAAGGGACTCAAAAGAAGGGAACAACAGCTGGGAGAAACCCAAAGCCTCAGTGGAAGCAGATTTAAAGGGATTGTATTGCTCTTTCTCTATATATCCAAGTAATGCCAGGTACTAGGGCTGGGCAATATCTGGTTTTCAACATCACGATATATCACCAGCTAAATATCACAATATCATGATATATATTGGTGGTGGTGGAGGGCCTTGCTGGGCCTCCTCGTGGCAGCAAAGGGTCCCACCATACCTCCCTGCAGCAGCTGAGGGTGCACCGCGGTCCCCCGCAGCAGCAGAGGGCCTTACCATGCCTCCCCGTGGTGGCAGAGGGTCCCGCCATACCTCCTGACAGTGGCGGAGGGTGTACCTGCAAATTATCTGCAAAGCTACCTCCTGGGAAGCTGTCAAGTCTCCACCTTTTGTTCACTGGTATATTGCCTTGTTGAAACACTTATCGCAATGTTATTTCAATATCTGCATTCAACGATATGGCGATTTATTGCACAGCCCTACCAAGCACTTGAACACCAGTAAGGCTTTTGCTGAAACTCGGGGGCAATTTATAAACCAAGTGGCAAGGGAGAATGCATCTTGGTACATCTGAACATCCACCCATCTGAAAAGGCTTGGGGAGCTTCAACTGGCCCTTTGAACACTTCTGAGCATGCAGGTTCTCTTCACTTTGAGGAGACATATTGCATTTGGGCAGTTAGGTGAAAGCGTAAAACTGTTGTTTCATTTAGACCACTAATAATTAAGCAGTACCACAAATTTGCAATCAGAAAAAGTTACACACTGATTGACAATTTCTCCTCCTTTAGATTTTCTAGGGCAGATTTAGTAAACCCATGATATCTGCTCTATTTGCAGTATATATATCATACGGAAGGCTCGCCATGCTCTATGGACCTCTCAGTACACATTTTACAAAGTGTGATTTGACTCCTTCATTTTCAGCTGTGCTGGTACCCAAGTTCCAGGACCTTTCCAGGAGGAGGGGGATGAGGAGGAGGAAATAGGTCAAATCAATCTATCAAATGGCCTTGACACTTTTAAAAAGGAAAAACACAATTGGAGGAAAAGTGACACATTGTGCAGATGAAGTGGTCACCACCGCAACAGGAACACACATCTTGAAAACTGTTGCCCATGAGAGCAAACAGCCACTGGACCAATTCTCCTCTTGAAAATAAGTATTCAGGCATTCATGGGAATTCAGGGGATGGTACAGTACTGGCATAGGCAAATTCGGCCCTCCAGATGTTTTGGGACTACAACTCCCATCATCCCTGACCACTGGTCCTGTTAGCTAGGGATGATGGAAGTTGTAGTCCCAAAACATCTGGAGGGCTGAGTTTGCCTATGCCCGGTACTGTAGTTCACTCCGGTCTAAACCCCTCCAGGGACAGTCAGTTCTCTTTTAAAAAGTTAGTTTAAAAACTGTAGTCAAAGCAAAGGAAACAAGTGCATAAGAGTAGGGCTGGGCAACATCTGGTTTTCAACATTGTGATGTATCACCAGCTAAACATCACAGTATCTCAATATATCACAATATAGATACGCAGTGGCAGGAGGCCTCGCCGGGCATCCCCACAGCGGAGGAGGACCTTGCCGCAACTATCCCTGGTGGCAAAGGGCTTCTCTGGGCAGCCCTGCAGCAGACCCTGGGGCAGCAAAGGGCTTCCCACACCTCCCCATGGCAATGGAGGGCTTTAAAACATAAGGAAGTAGTAGATTTAATAAAACTATTAAATAAACTTCCATATTTAATATATTTTCAACCAATTTAAGAATAGTTTGAGTGATTTCCAGTCAAGTTGCATCTGCTTCCCCACTCAGAGGATTAAGTGGAATCTTAAGCCCCACTGAATTCAACTAAACTTACTTCTACTTTCCTGGGAGTAAGCCTCATTGAATTCAGTAGGGTTTGCTTGTGCATAGACATGCATTTGCTTGCATTGCTTACCGACAAGCCTTCCTAAATAAATTGCAGGGAATTTTTTTTTCTTTAATCCTACCCATACTGCAACTGTTGAACTGTTAATCACTAGTAGTAAAGTACTTTTGTTAAGAATTCCCCCACAGTCAAAGCCACACCACTGACCCTAAGGTTCTGTGGTTTTAGCTCCAATGCAAGAAAATGGCTTTATAAGGCCTCAGTATCCCTTCTTCAGACTTTGCTACACACGATAAATCTTGCACTGTAGCAGTTTCACTCTTTCCCATTTGCCAACTTTTGTCTGAAAACAGAATAGTTTTTGCATGCATCACACGTTTCTGCAGTTTGTGGGAGGATGGTAATTAAGAAATTGTTTGGCGTATGTCTTCAAACCATTCTGAAATTTAATGTTCCCCTCCTTGAAGAACGAGGTATTACAGCAGGAACTGGTGCAATGTACTCACAGCATTTTGTCATTATAAGCTGGTAATCTACTGGACCCAAGCAGTGTTCGAAATTAGCATTTTGCACCTGGTGTTCAACCACTTGCGACCAAGTGAAGATTCCTAGGCACCAATATGGCGCCTGACATCTCCACCATCTGGGAATCACTGGATCTGGACTATTTTAATACCACATCCTGTAGAATTCTATCAGTTATATTTTATCTGCCCCATCAGAATGAATTTCTGGGACCAAATTGCTTTTTCTGTGCAGCCTGACCAGAAGCAGTCACCATTAAGAAAAAGAGATTGGAATAAGCCAATATATATGTGGACTGTCCCTGGACCAGGTGGCTTTTCATCTTTAAGTTTTCAAAGCTCTTAACCTAGCTCAAGGTTGTCATCTGAACTAGCAAGATGTTTAACTGAGAATCAATCACAGTCAGTTCATCATTTGAAAAATCAGACTTTGGGACCATCTTTCCCAATAAATGGCAACTAGACAATTCCATTTTGGTGTCTGCAACCTTGGTTTAAGGAGCCATTTGGTGCCTAGATTATATATCTGGGTTTCTAACACTGGACCCAAGTCCTCTTTTCCCAGAGTGCCAGTCAAGTTGAAAGCAATGCTACGCCATATGTTTACATCAGTCCAGGAGGGCATTCCCCTCCCCTCACTTGGCTGGCACCTCATACAACCTATTGCAAAGACCTCTGGGAATGTCCAGGGTGGCTGCAGGGTCAGAATTTCTCCACATCTTTCATATAATCTGAGGAATGAAGGAAGCTTTAGAGAATTCTTTGCCCTAACTTCATCGACTCCATCCTAAAAGTAGCCTGCACCAATTCATTGGGACTATGACCTGGATGGTGGTTATCAATACCTTTGTAGTTTTCAGTCTGGACAGGTGAAATACACTGTTCCTTGTGACATGTAGGGACTCATTTGATGATTGCTTAGAAAAGCCAGCTTCATCCTAGTGACTGAATCTAAATCACTCTAAAACTCGAATCTCTGTGAAGCACCGGTTTTTATTTCCTGGGTGCCCTGTGCAAAGTTCTGGGAGTCTAGGCTTCTGGGGCACCTTGGCATGTTGTAAGTACCATCTTGCCCACAGCTAGCATTGAGACAGATACCGCTTTGCCTGCATAGAAGTATACCTGATTGAACTGGATATATTTACTGCACCAAGCCCTGTAAAAATTAAGGTGTTTTGTTTTTTTTACAGGGCTTGGTGAAGTTTTTTTCACCCTGATGATTAGAAATGAGAAAACATTGCCAGCCCTTTGAATGTTAAATTAAGATAGCTGTCTTAATTTATTCAATTTACTGAATACATTTTGGTTTTGCTGTTACAGCAGCTGGGGTGTTCCAGCACAGAATTTAGGACTCCCAATCACATAGCAATAGACTCCACACCTCAACCTTCCTTCCTCAACAGACCATCAGCTCCCCTTTACTACCGTATCAGCTGATCTACTTGACAACCAACTGAACATTTTAGAGCTGTCAAATACAGTATCTCCAATGAAATGGATGCTGGACAGATGTTCTGTTGCTAAACCCTGTACTAAAAGATTCAATAGCAGCTAAAAGCTGAAATGCAGATGGTGCCCTTCAATTCAACCTTAGTTTTGCACTCTCACACAATGAACTTGGGGTTTAAAATGTCTGAGTTCCACAGCCACTTTGCAAATTTGAAGCAAACTTGCAATGTTTGCATGCACTTGTTTCAAAATACTAAAAATAGCTAGACAAGCAAAAAAAAAAAGGAAAAAAAAGGAAAAAAAAGGTTTTTTAATTCTGTCACACTGCCATCTTCATTTCCTGAAATTAAAAGGTGAGGAACCTGAGGAAACTTCATCTGCAACATTCATCCTTAAAGAATGCTCAGACTGAAAAAGTAACAGAATCACAAACATGACAAGCTGTACCAAATTAGTGCCATCATTTAATGTTGACCTCCACTTACGTCAGAAGTCAACAGCCTGATTCCCAGAAGGGGAAATGCAGGATCTGGGAACTTGAATAACTTGGCCAAGGGTCGAAGAGGGAAACTTTGAAAGAAGACCATTAAAAAGGACTGATAAGCACCCAAATCTTGATGGCTACAAAATTTTTGAGGCCAGGCAGACAGCATCCCAAAACAAAAGATGGACAAATAGCTCAATATGTATAATAGGGAATGCTCCTTCCACCCCACTGTCAAAACAGGCCCCCCCCCAATTTAAAGACCTAAGTGCTCCAAGGGAAAGCGGAAGAGTCCAAGCCATGTGCCCTAAAGAGAACACTGCTTTATTACTGCTTTAACATTTGCTTTGATTAGTATTTTAAAACAAATACTACTTTGAATAATTTGGAAGAGCAACTTATTATCACTGTCAATAAATAAAATTAATTACAACTAAACTTAGGGTTGTATTCAGCTAAGTTCTACTCAGAATGAACCCTCTGAAATTAATGAACCTGAGTTAATCATATTCATTAACTTCAGTAAATCAGCTCCAAATAAAACTAGAATTGGATACAACCCTTAAATTACAGTTACAAATGAATTACAAAGTCACACAGACGAGCTTGATTGCCCCAACTTGCATTTTCAAGATGGTTTCCCAATTCTGAGAAAGTTGGACACCTTTGACTTTTCCTGCTTGCACAAGGCTTGATGAGACCATCAAGAGAAAGAAGTTCCCAGATCATCATTCTGCATCTACTACCAAATGCTCCTGAACAAGGAATCTATCCGTCTGTCAGTCTTGTCTCATGTGGATTAACAGAAGCCCCTCTCAGAAAACTGTGCAACCCTGATGTCACTGTATGCTCCACCAAGATAGAAGAAAAGTATCTGCATGCTAGACAGCCTCATGATTAATAGTAAAGCAAGCCAACATGTTTCCTTAAATTGTGTAAATAAACCTGCTACTAGGAACAGGTTTGGGTGTTGTTCTCTAGAGATATGATAATGCAGAGTAAGAAACTCTGCACTTTATTTAGGTCACTTTTAACCATTCAAATTCACCAACATAGAAAGACGCATGCATAGGAAGACATACAGTCAGACTATTGGCACATCTAGTTCAGTATTGTCAACACCGATTGGCAGCAGCTCTCCAAGGTCTCAGACATGGGATAAGAAGGGCATGAAGGCAATAACATCTCCCACTGTTGCTCCCCTGGAATCTGCTGGGGATTGAGCCTGAGACCTTCTGCATTCAAAGCAGCTGCTCTACCACTAAGCAATAATCCTTTTCCTGAAGGCCATTATTTAGCCATTATTGGCCTCTTGGAAGGGAGGGATCAAGCGCATGTTCAAATCCTCCTGCTCCTGCAATGTGTTGGAACCAGGAGATACTGTGTTTATCTGAATATGGTATTTCCTGCGACTGCAAAATTAAACCCTCTCTAGAGGTTAGACTTGTGCAGACAGCTATCCATTTCTCTTTTTCCATAGAATATAGCCTCCCTCCTTCCAGGCCTTTTAGGAACACCTCCCGAATCAGGCACACTGTAAAGCAAAACAACAGTGTTAGCCTTAATGTTAACCAAGTCACCTGTTTTTTAGCTGTTTGAAACCATGCTCAAATGTTGGTTCCAGATCCTACTGAAAAATATTTCCCTTAATCATGGTTATCAGTTGGTGTTGGGGGAGGGAAGAGAGATGATGAAGCAGATGTTCCTGCAGCTGCCTCTCAATCCCAGCTGCTGTTCACAGGCTGCAAGCATTACTTCTGAAACAGCCAACACAGCTGAGATCAATACAGCAAAATCCATTGGAGGGCTGTAGATAGTCATTTACTGGGACACTGAATCTCTTGTAGCCATCAAGCTATTGTCTAGAATGCAAACGGGGAACCTGTCTCCCCAGATGTTATTGGATGTTATTAGCTCCAGCCACCATGGCCAGCAACCAGGGATGGTGGGAATTGTAGGCCAGCAACATCTGAGTCCCTCTGCCTCTGGCTGCAGTTTGCTTCTCCCTCGGCGCACTGGTGGCAGAGGGACTCAGAAGTGGTGGCAGTTTCACTCTCAATGTACCGCCAAGTGAAGCCACCATTGTGGTCCGTCCCTCATATCGGTCCTGGGTGATGTATCAATACATCGTCCCAGCGTACTGTCCACTCCTTGAAGAGGGGCCCAATTTGGCTCCCTCCACCATGCCAGCTAGGAGCTGGTGGTGCAAAGGAAAATCCCTGCCTCAACTTTCACCCTTGGCTGGTAAGGTTGCAGTGGAGAGCCCGCATATGGCACTTTCCCAGCCCCTCTTACAACCACTCTGCTAGGTTGCTACATTACGCACGGCAACAGTATACAGTATACAGCTGATACAGTAGCGCCCCTTAGAAACTGCTGAATCCTTATGCTTCAGAAGTGGACTTTAAAAGCTTGCCTTCAGCAGTAAGGATGCAAATTTTTAGCTCAATGCAGCGTCTCGTTTGCTCTGAGGAAATAATATATAAAGGTTCCCAGAAGGGTAGCTGTGTTTAGTCTGCTGCTGCAAAAATAAGAGTCTTGTGGCTCTTGAAATTTATTATTTTTAGATCATATATCATGTATAAATATACAGTGTGGTGTAGTGGTTAGACCGAGTGTCAAACTAGGACCTGGGATACTCCGCTTCAAGCCCTTCTCAACTATGAAGCTCGATGGGTGACCATGGGTCAGTCACTGTCTCTCTCAGTCTGACCTGCCTCACAGAGTGGCAGCAGTGGCATGGGGTATGTTCCTTGAATGAAAGTCGAGATGTAGTAAGCAGATGCTGCTTGCAGAGGACCATATTTCAGTGGCAGAGAACTTGCTTTGCCTGAAGAAGGTTCCAGGTTTCACACCTGGCATGCCTCTGTTTTTGTTCTTTAAAAAAGAATCAGCTAACAAGTGATGGGAAAGACCTCTGTTCTGAAACCCAGGAGAGCCGCTGCCAGTCTGAGCAGACAATACTAGGCTAGATGGATAGCCTGGTACTATACACCAATTATGCTACCAAGAAGAAGACAAAGTAAGCTGTAATTTGTCTAACCCAGGGGTTGGGAACCTCCTGCCTGTGGGCCAGAGCAGGCTTGCCAGGCCTCCCCTATTGGCCTGTGAGGCCATTGTGGCCAACATGGCCCAAGCCCAGAGTGAAGTTTGTGGACACCACTGATCAGCTGATTGGTGGCATCTACAAAGGGCTGTGGTTAAGGGCTTCACAAGACTCAAAGCCAGCTGCTTGTTGGCATTTCATGGGCTGTGCAATGTTACGTGACTGATAAGTGAGTGGCCCCACCCACCTGCCAATCTCGACCTATGGAAGGTGGGTAAGATCCAGTTCCCCATCACTGGCATACCCAGACTGCAGCAGTTCTCCAAGGCTCCAGGCCAAGGGGCTTCCCCATCCCGACTACCTGTAATGCTTTTTAACTGGAGATGACAAGAACTGAACCTGGGACCTCCTGCACACAAACACAGTGCTCTATCAGAGAGCTATGGTCCCAGCCACAGGAAAAATTAAATCTAGATTATTTCAGGTGAAGACTGCAAACCCTGGCATGCATGCTTGCTTGGGAATAAGTCCTCCTCGATGCTATAAGACTGCCTTCTTAAGTGGCAGAACTATGCAATGGATCGGACTCCATGGTGACATTCACTAAAAGTCGAATTTGCATGATGCTCTGATTAATATATTGTATACTAATGGTGGCTGTTCCCAGACTCTGGAACTCTGGAGGGATCCCTGGAGAAGCTAGACTGGCTCCCTCCTTGTTGTCCTTCCACCAACAGGTGAAAACCTCCTTGTTCCGACAGACTTTTGGGAATTGACTGCTTTTAATGAAAGGGCTGGTGCCAAGCTGTTTTTATTGTAATTATTTGAATGTTTTAAACAAGTTTTTGTGTGTGTGTGTGTAGTTTTAACTCTATTCACATTTAATGGTTTTTTTTAATAATTGCTTTTTCTCTGGCTTACGCAAGCCGGAGGCCAGGTGGGGGCTCCATTCTACTTCTTCAGCTGGGGGGTGCAAAGCCTCCTGCTCCCCAGCTGAGCAGCCCTGATCCTTCTCCTGCTTGATTGCACGGAGGAGAAGAATCGGGGCTCCCTCAGCCGGGGAGCGGGAGCACTTTAATGGAGCCCTGGCCCACCACTGCTTCGTGCAAGCAGGTGGCGGGCCGGGGGCTCTTTAAAACTGCAGTGGCCTGTCAGGCTCCTCAGCCAAGCAGTTTAAAGAAGCGGAGGGGAGAACAAGCTGTATCACGCCTCGCCAATGCAACTTGTTTCTCCCTCTGCAACGGTTATGAGGGCAGAGTGGTAAATCACTGGTGAAATCACCGCTGTTCCTGAGTCCCCCTGCCTCCACTGTCAGCTGCGGCTTGTTTCTCCCTCGGTGTGCTGGGCACTGGTAGCAGAGGGACTCAAGAGCGATGATGGTGTCACTCACAATATACCGCCGAGTGAAGCTGCCATCACGGTCTGCCCCTCATACCTGTCCTGGGCGATATATCAATACATTGCCCAGGCCTGCCTATGAAGTATAATACTTGCATGGTACCTTCTATCACATTTTCCATTTGAACAGTCCAGAGCTAATGGGAATTCCTAATGCTGTACTATAATCAAGCAAAATCAAGCATGCAGAAAATTATGCCAGCCCTTCAGGTTTTGGATTCCAATAACTACAGTTAGCCCAGACAGAAAACTTCACACATGAATTTCCAAAGCCACTGTGATACGGCTAACCAAAATACTGGATAACTAAGAATCCATAGTGCTGATTGGTAGGACAGAACATACAGTACAGCCTCATATGAGAAAGGTACCATCACCTGGTGTATGTGAGCAAAGTTTAATGGTGCTTTAATGTTGCATTATAGAGATGAAACAATACTTGAAGAAGGGTCATTCCATATCAAGTGATGCAACTTTTTTTACCTCATGCCATCCAGTTTTGTTAATATTTTGTACACTTGTTGAATGATCAAAACTATGTTTAAATCTAAAATTTTAATTATTTATCTCATCCCATTTGTGAGTTATGAAGGTTTGAATTTTTTTAAAAAACTGACAATTTTGGCCTTGACAAACAAGGGTCGAACCAAGGACTGCAACTGGTCACACACTTTGACAAAAATGAAACGTGGTGTGCAAGAAATGCTCTTGAAAGGCATTTGGTGTAAAGTATAAATAATGGAAGAATAAATGTTTTCAGACAAATTTCATGTGCAAGGCTCCCCCCCCCCCTCCATAATTTTACATTTGTTTGTAATGTTCATGAAATGAAGTACTAACAAGAATTCTTTCAAGGTGTTAATTCTATCATGCAATAGCAAGCTATCACTCAGCTTTGGAACACATTTTTAAAAGAAAAGCCTGAGTAGCTTTTCAGATACCTTTTAACTGAATAAGTTTCTAAAGAAATGCCTGGAGTAACTGATAGTTTGAAGTCTTGTTCATTCTGTTATATTTTACTCCAAGAAGACCCATTTATCCTAAATAAAACCCAATAAGGCAGACATGAATGTACAAATTATTATTTTTATGTGATCTCATTGAGATCCGAAGATGAAAATTTGCAGGTAGCACTTCAAAATATTAAATAATCAATACATTTTGGGAGAGACATTTTATGATATTAATTTTTTTAACCACTTTTCAACATTTCCAATTTTGTAACTTAAATTTAAAATTTAAAGTAAGTCCATCATGTGACATATCATATTAAAGCCCATGAAGTTCTGAAGAGTTGTGTGTTTTTAGTTTTGACATATCACAATTCTGGGCTGAGCTTTTAAGGTTTTTGTGTAGCCCAGCAAGGCAAAAATTGTCAATTTTTTGAAATTTCAAACCCTCATAACTCACAAACAGGATGAGATTTTTTTAAAAAAAATGTAGATTTAAATTTAGTTTTGATCATTCAACAAGTGTAAAAAATATTAAGAAAATTGGATGACATGAGGTAAAAAAGTTGGATCACTTGCTATGGAATGACCTAGAAAGGACTGCAAGCAGACACCTGCAGGTGTCAGTGGAGTTGCACACCCTTAAAAACACACCCCACTTTAGTCTTAAGTGCCAATGAGCATGGAGTTTCTTCGTGGTTTTCTGAGTTTACTGCTGATGTGCAGAACTCAAGAAAAAGACAAGTATATTTCCATGAACATGTGGCTGTAGTATCACAGTTACATTGTCATGGGCAATATCAAGGGTTAATTGCTCTTACCTTCAGCTACATCGTCATCCACAGCCCCTTTCACCTGAGAAAAACACCACTGAATGTCATTCCCGCCACCTCCGGCTCCTAGAAACAAAACAAAAGTTAAACAAACGTAATCCACACCCTGCCCATTAAACTCTGCCAGCATTCCACTCTAGTAAACAGGGGTTGCTGGCATGGGGAGTCAGTGGTGCTGAGAAGACAGCACAGAAATCAAGTATTTTCAAAGCAGATGTAAGAACCTAGGAACCCAATCAAACTGTTCCACTTTCACCACCCCACATCCACACACACAGACACACTTTTGTCGATGAGGATCAGTCCAGATTTCAAAAATATTTATCAAGCACAGAGTAAACATCAGTTTCTCTACAAACTGTTGACATCTCTCAGAACCATGTAACTAGTAAATCCAGAAACCATACAAGTTTAGAATACGAGCATGCCACTTATGTCTGCTAGAATTTCACGCAGGAAGCAAAACACTTTACTCTTCTTACCAAAGAAATTAACTTTCTGCATTCATTTTTCCTACACTGCTATTAAGCTGCTAGGATCTAGAATGAAATCATGTAATTTATCACTTAAAACAAGCCCATGTACTTATTTTAGGAACCATGCTTCACCCTCCGAGTAAAAGGCTCTAAAGAATTAACACAGAGTCTTTTATGAACATAGACAAGTATGTTAACATTCAAAGTATTTATTTAAAAGAAAAACAGGAGGACCTTCAGCCCTCAAACCTGGATAGATTGGGTTTGAGGAGCTTTGTTTTGTTATGTTATGAATAAGCTTTAAACTACCGTAAAAGATGGACCGGAGAGAAAATTTCAGGAACATTACTGCCTCAGCGGAAGACGGTGAATCATTTGAACCTTGCCACCAAAACATGTAGAAAAGACACCACCCATTTCTTCTGCATGTCATTTAGACCAAGTCATTTGGGCTGGGTTCATACAGGAAGAGAGAGAGAATGAAGAAAGAGCGAGCCGTCCTCAATTCCTGAAAGATGTCAAAATGGAGCTTTCCCTAAGACATGTTCCCCCAAACAAGAAGTCGTCTCTCTGGAAGAGCTGAGCAACAGTTGCCTCTTGGCAAGGGGGAACTGAGGGCGGGTTTCCCTCTCCACACAAGGCTGAGCAACTTTAAGAAAAAAGTTCAAGTCGGGAGAAGAATGAGCGTGCCAGAAGCATAAACAACCATCAGAGCACAGGAAAATGGAAACAATCTACAAATATTCTATTCCCACCATTCTTTGTTACTTTGTGCTGACACATTCTACCATATTTAGGCACCCTGGAAATGTGAGAGGATGTTTAGCTACATGTTATATAGATAGATGTATTTTAAAAGTGCATCTAACTGCAAGAGCTCCTAAGGCAGGCGAAGCCAGCAGCCGCCTCCGGATCCTGCAGGACTCCAACTCCCATCAGCCCTGACCATGAGCCATGCTGAGGGGCTGATGGAATCAGACGCCACCTGGAAAAGAGCACATTGGCGACCCCTACCCTAAGGCCCACATCCGGTGCTCGCCCCCAGTTTACTCTTTCCTTGGGTGGGGCAGGGGCTTTTCATGAAAGGACAGAAAACTCCACTTTTATCCGGGGGGGGGAAACTGGTGCATCCTTCCCCAACATCACATATATAATCTGCTACATTCATGGCTTTCCTCCCATTGATGAAAAAATAAGGGCAAGACGGAGGCGTGTGGCTTGTGCTGCGAGACTGCAAGGCAAGGATCTAAATACAGCCGCCCATGCGACTCTTCCCAACACAAAGCAATTAAATGTGTGGGATGTGGGTGAACGGATTCCAGAAAAAGGAACACAAATGGGACAGCACCACATACCCTGCGCAATGAGACAGATTTGCAGCCTTTACACCGTGCAAGCTCCAGCACGCTGCAACATGGGGCATCTCCTCTCAGAGAGAACACGCCTCACACCGCCCCACATGGAGGAAGCCCAGGCTTCTCTATCTGCCTGCCAGACCCAACACCCCAGGCTGCTATAGCCCTCGTTTTGCGCGCAGATTATTGCCAAGCTGCACCTCCACTCGCACCAGACCCATCATTTCAGACATAAGCAAGGCTGCAAAAGCCTCGACGCCAAAGCTTGCAGAAACACACACTTAGGAAAGCGAGATCAGAAGGCAAAGGATGAGACCCTCGGCAACACCCCCACCTCTGCCTGGGGGAAGAAGAAAATCCATCTCTGCACGCCCATCCCTGGAGATTTCTCCCCCAACTTCTGCCTCTGCCTTCGCAAGGAAGGGAGACTTTCTCTCTTGTTAGAAATAAAAGGCTAAATGGATGAAGGTGCGTGGTCGAAGGAGGGAAGGCGAGGAGGAGAGCAGGGGAACGAAGACCAAGAGCAGGCATTTGTGCTTCGGCGGTAGAGCTATTGGCGGAGGACAGCAAGGAAAATGAGGATGCAATAATAATAGTAATGGAGCAGCGGAGCAGATTTGCAGAGGGAAATGCATTGCAAAGGACGAGGGGGGCGAGGAAGAGGAAGCAGCCCAGCGCCTTCCCCCAGGTCAGCCTGCAAGTGCAGGAGCAAGCAGCAGCCGCGCAGCTCCGCAAGCTCCGCCAGAGGCGAGGCCGGACCAGCTCCCTCACCTGCCTGGGCCGCCCCTGGGCTTGCGAGGAGCAGGCGCCCGTCCCCGGGAAGCGCGAGGGTCTGCCGTGCCCTTACCTGCCATGTTGGGCTCCCAATGGTGGCCGGCCGGGCTGAAGCGGCCTCTCAGCTTCCCGCTGCTATCCCCGTCCCGGGCTGAGGCGGAGCGCGGAGGGAGGATGGCGGCGGATCGCGTCCGGGGGGCGGGAGCGGGCAAGGCGGCTTCGCTCCCAGGGCTTCCCCCGCGCCCGGCTTCCTCTCCCGACCCAGCCCCTCCCCCGCTCGGGTTCCACTTTCAAAATGGCGCCGGCTGAGCCCAGCGTGACGTCACCGGCGGAGGCGAGGGAGGGTGGGGAAAGAGGAGGGGCGGCGGGGGCGGGGCCTGCGGGGGAAGGAGGCGCGCCCATTGGGTGGCGCTCCTGCCGCGCCCGGGGGTGGCTCCGCTGCGCTGGGGGCGCGGGGTGGGCAGGGGGTTGAAGCCGCCCGGTCGGATGTGGCGGGGGCGCGCTCCCTCCTTACGATCCTGTCCACTGCGCAGAGAAAGGACGCAAAAGGAGTCCCACGGGGCCATAGCTGTCAACTTTTCTCTTTTCTTGCGAGGAATCCTATTCGGAATAAGGGAATTTCCCTTAAAAAAAGGGAAACGTTGACCGCTGTGCACGGGGCCGGTCCATATAGGGACCGATCATCCTGAGCGGGTGGCTTCGTTTTCTTCTGAATGTCGAATAAATTCCGAAAAGTGGTGCGGTGGGACAGAGCGCTCGTCTCTGACTGGGGACTCCTGGTTCTGATGTTACCTGGAAATCCCAACTGCTGAGATCAGCCTAAAGGAAACTTAGGAAGACCCAGCATGCTGCGGCTGAATTAAGAACGTGAGCTTGCAGGCAGGGCAAAGCGAGGCGGCTCCCTTGGGTGCAGGATCCGCAGGGGCAGCGAATCTGGCCTCCAAGAATGCATCACCCGCTGCTGCTGCTGCTGCTGCTGCTGCTGCTGTGGCAGAAACCTTGGAGCCCCTTGGAGACTGGATCTGCCACCTCCTCTGCTGCCTCTAGCGCAGCCGCTCTGCAAATAGGGGGCACTGGTGGTCCCTTGCCACTCTTAGTGAGGAAAGGGCAGCAGGGGCTGCCCTCTGGGGTCCCCCGGGCTCTGTACCTGCCCAGCATGTTTCAAAGTGACCCCCTTCCTCTCCCCCCCCCCCATGATGGCCTTTGATTCCCACCTCAACTATCAGGTAAGGTTGATTTTATTGCCCCCTCCCCCATTCCTGTTATAGGTCTTTATTTCCCCTGTTGTTTCACTCGCCCCCTTCTTCACGGGGGGGGGGTGGACTCCAGAACCCCCTGCTGGGGTTTCCAGCAATTGGTATTCAGAGCTCTAATCGAACCAATGAGGTAGTGCCTTCAGGATTGGGGGGGGGGGCAGAGTGCCTCTGACAACCAGTTGCTTTGGAACAACAGTGGGATAAAATTACTGTGCTCTGCTTTTCTGGCTTCCCAGAAGCACCTGTTTGGCCACTGCAGGATTCTGGACTAGGTAAAACTTTGGATCTAAATCCTACAAGGCTCTTCTTAGGTTATTTTCATATTTACTCAGGGGTAAGCCTCACTGTGCTTACTGCTGACTAAGTGCATATTGTATTGCAGCTACACAGTACAGTCTTGTCCATGTTGACTCAGAGGTCAGCCATTGAATTCGATGGTGCTAACTCCCAAATCATTGCACACTGAACGACAGCCTTAGGCAAAGGTTAGAAACTGCCATAAGTTCTGTCACGCGGAAGACTATGATCCTGATCAAATTGCCACCTCATTGCCTGCTATTCACTGGGAGAAAAACTCCCGTGCTGTGCCAATGGGAACTTTTCTTGCATTGCAAAGTGCTGGCACTTGGGAACAGGAGTCAGGATTCGGACTGGGATGGTGGTAAGAACAGAGTTAATGACCACACCCCACATGCTGCAGTGCAAATCTTGCTCCCCTCTCCTTCCAGTGTCACTGGCTATTTATTTTTTTAAAAAATCAAGCAGGCCAGGGAAAATTATATGACCCTAAGGCTTCATTACTGTGCACACTTACCTGAGAATAAACACCACTGAGCACAGTGTGACATATTTCTTTATTGCATTCAGACCCCATCCTCCAAAGAGCTCAAGGCAGCATTACAGTGGTCCTTCACTCCACTGCTACCACAATTCTATCTTGACAACGACCTTATGGGGTAGGTTAGGCCAAGTCACCCAGTTAGGCTGTGTGGGGATTTGAACTAGAGTCTCCCAATCTCAGTCCAGCACTCTAATCACTCCGTCATACTGACTGTGGTATTATCTGAGAGTAGGCTGCGATGATGCAGATGAGAAGGAAGTACAGCTCCACAGCTGTACAGTAGGAGCAACGATGCCATCTACTGGAGCACCAAGGTGATTGGCAGGCCCTCCACCTCTGGCAAGTGAGTGAGGTGATAGAGAGGCTTTCAAGCTTGTTTGTGATAGAATAACACAAGTCCTCAGATGGATTCTTAGTGCCCAGATCAGTGAAGGCTGTCTTTTATTTTATTTAGTTGAATGTTCTCCCACCCCACCCCCCAACCCTGTGCATCTTTTCTAGTCTCCTTGCTAGTCCCAGCACACAGCCAGCCATGCTCCTGAGACATCTTTAGCTGCAAGCACCTTTCATGCTGACAGCCTTGACTGTACCATCTTCAGAGAAAGGCTTCTGGCAGAGGGCAGTTGGAAAAGGCTGGCTTGGAAAGGAGAAAGCTCTCCGGTAGGGTCTTGTACTTAAACAGGTGCAGAATGGGCAGTGGAGTCGTATGAATCACAGTTCATAGCATTGTGGGGTTGAAAGGGACCCCAAGGGTCATCAAGCCCAATCCTTGCAGTGTCCAAATGGTGTGTGTTCAGATTTATTATTAATTGATCATTTGTGAAGCATCTCAAAGCAATTCCACAATACTATAAAACATATATTTAAAAATTGCATATATTAAAACAGTTTCGCATCCACTACAAATACTGGCTGCGGATTTAAAACAACTCCACTTATAAAGCTTTCTGTAAGAGGAGAGTCTTTGGCAGGTGCTTAAAGAAAAACAAATGAGGTGGTGTCTGCAGGAGGCCCTCTCCTGAAGAGTGCAGTGATCAGTTAGGAACTAACATAGGAGCCAACTCCTAGGGGCCGTGGGGGCTTCCTCCCCAATAAAATATTAGAATGGCAATGCCCAAAGTTGATGAGCATTGCCATTCAAATGGTGTGTGTGCATCGTGTCATGTGATCAGTTATGCAGGACCGGGCTTACCTAGGCCCCCACAATATTTTATTCAAGTTGGAACCGCTGGAAGCTAAAATTAGCTAAGGGAGATGCTAATATTTCAGGTATCTTAGTCCCAAACCGTATGGGGCTTTGTATACCACCACCAGCAGCACCTTGAACTTAGTCTGGTTACTCTGGAAATTATTTCATCAGCGGTGTGATATGACGGCGAATTTCTGCCCCAGTGAGCAGTTGAGCCGCCACATTTTGCACGAGCTGCAATTCCCGGCATTCGTTCTGGAGGTCATCAGTGCATGGACAGCATTGTTCAGGATAGCTACCCATTGCATTTTAGATGGAATCCTTTAAAAAGGCCTCATTGTCTTTTCTGAGGTCAGAAGTAACCTTGGAGTGGAGGGTCAACAGGAGCACCTTAACCTGGGTGTAGCCTAGATAGGGGTGCACAGTGGGTGTCAAACAACATTTATTTATTTGAAATGTGTTCTGCCCTTAATCCAAAGATTACAGGGTGGAGAACAACAATGAAACAACAATGTCAAACCAAAGCCACCAGAAACCCTCTGCACAGTAACTCAGAGTACATCTGATAGTGTGGCTGCCCCTCTTCTATGGAGCAGCATTCCCCTTGAGATTTGACAGGTACCTGCTTATCTGCACTGTCTGCAAACAATTGAATACATTTTTGATATGACAGGTTTCCCCAGCTGGATGAATAGGCAGCTGCCAGAATGCTACTGGGCCAGTTTCAAGGCCCTTAAGTCGAAGTACAAAGCCATGAACAATTTGATCCTAGGATACTTTAAGGATAACCTGAGCCCTTATATCCCAGCCTGATCACTGAGATCATTTGGAGCAATACTATTTGTTATCCCTCACATTGCAAAGATAGCCTCAGCCAGAAATTGGGCATTTAGAGTCACCAGTACCATGCTGTGAAGCACACATCCAGCAGAGATACGACAGGCACCCTCGCTTTTGACTTTTAGGCTTCTCTTTAGGACTGTTTTTAAATGACAGCAGGCCTTTGCAGCTCTGTAAAATTTTATTGGGTAGCCAGCCATTTTAATGATTCTTCTGTACTTTTTAGAAATGGATTTTAAAAATTGTTTTTATATTGCCCTCCCTGATATTTTACGATATGATGGCAGTTGGGGAGTGGATGGCGGTCAATGGATTGAGGTTGAATCGTGACAAGACAGAAGTACCATTGGGGGAGGTCAGGGGGGACACGGGGGGGGCTCCCTGGTCCTGAATGGGGAAACTGTGCCCCTGAAGGATCAGCTGTGCAGCCTGGGAGCCATTTTGGACACACAGCTGTCCATGGAGGTGCAGATCTGTGTCCAGGGCAGCTGTCTACCAGCTCCTTCTAGTATGCCTGCTGAGACCCTACCTGCTTGTGCACTATCTTACCAGAGTGCTGTGGGCTCTGGTTATCTCCCGCTTGGACTACTGCAATGCGTTCTATGTGGGGCTACCTTTGAAGGTGACTCGGAAACTACAATTACTGTAGAATGCAAATGCCAGACTGGTGACTGGAAGCGACTGCTGGGACCATATAACACCGGTCCTGAAAGATCTGCATTGGCTCCCAGTACGTTTTCAATCACAATTCAAAGTGTTGGTGCTGACTTTTAAAGCTCTAAATGGCTTTGGCCCTGTATACCTGATGGAGCGTCTCCGCCCACATCGTTCATCCTGGACACGGAGATTTAGCTCCAAGCGCCTTCTGGTGGTTAACTCATTGTCAGAAGTGAGGTTGCAGGGAACGAGGCAGAGGGCCTTCACTGGAGCCATGCCCTGTGAAACACCCTCCCATCAGACTTTTAGAAGACATCTGAAGGCAGCCCTATATAGGGAAGTCTAATGTTTGATGTTTTACTGTGTTTAATGTTTTTCACTTGTTAGGAACTGCCCAAAGAGACTGGGGCAACCCAGCCAGGTGGGCAGCATGTAAATAATAAATAATAAATCTTGGCGGCGGCTGCTGCTGCTGTTGTAATACTTTTAGAAATAGAAAATGTTTGGTTCGAAGTGAAGATTTTCAAAAAATTCCAGCAAACTGACT